ACCATGTGTGTGTATATGTGTGGGTGTGTTTGTGGATTTGGCTTATGAATTATTAAACTTTTACTATGTAGCCACAAACGAATCATGTTTGTATTCATATGAGTATGCATTCATGTTTCTCAGTAAATATGTACATATGTATATGTATATGTTTGGCTCTCTGCGTTTGTCATGCCTGTAGTTTTTGCCTGACTGCTTGATTGACTTTGAAAGTTGTAGGCAGTCGAGTTTATTGCATTACTCGATTATATTACTATATACGCAAAATTAAATTGTTTTATTTTGCTAGGCGCATTTCAATTTCACACACAGTTGGTTGCATACTCATACGAGTACGTCAATGTCATGTTAATTTGATTTATGCTCGCTTTTATCAGAGTAGCATTAAAAGAATCGAAAACATACTTTTTGCTGGGTACGTACGGGTATATCAAAATTCCAAAAATTCCTGAAATGAATTATTTCTTATAATTTGGTTTTATATTCATTCAATGAACCTAACTAATTTTGTCAAAAAGTGATGTGAATATTATTAAATCAATCTAAAATGGTGGACAAAAGTAATAAGTAAGAAAGTTAATATTGGTGAAAATAACTTAATCGTTCTTCTGCTATGGACATTTCAATAATGATTAAGAAATATTTAAGGACAGAAGAATTGTTAAATTAAATTTCCCTTCATAAACTGTTAGTTCGTTGGTTGGTTTTGATATATAGATAAGTACATACAGAATTATTAAATAACGAACGAAATACGTTTTTTTCAACTCACTTTATTGACATATCTTTCTCATAAAAAACTAAAAAAGCCATGATATTTATTATCTGCCAAAATATTCTTTTTTTTTCAATATTGCTGGCCACTTTATTTCCAATTTTCACGAACACCATATTGGTTCAAAACACCATATTTGTTTCGGCTGTAAATATTTGCATATGGTACTACTATAGAAATAATCTATATAATCGATCTTGTATCGTCTTAGTAGCAAGCAGGACTATAATTTGTTCTATTACTACTTACTCTGTTTGCCAAATTATTATTAAATAACTCGATTTATTAAAGGGTTTTTAGTTATATTTTCCCGTTGTGTTTTTTAATGAAATGTCATCAGATTATTCTGCATCTCGGCAATTCCGTTCTGTGTATAAATTAAAAATTTATTTACCTTCTGCACCACTGAACATGGCATGCAGTGTGTGTGTGTGTGTGTGTGTGTGTGTGTGTGTGCAACACTTTGTGCCTCATCAGTATTTATTATTTATAAGTTTAGTTAGTTCTCAAGCAAATGCATTTAAGTCTTCTATAAATCCAGAAAATATCATTTAATATTAAATTTTGAGTATTGTAATAATTGAAATGGAACTGTCATGCATGCATTTGCATGCTTGCTTGCTTGCTTGTTTGTTTGTTTTTTTTATTTTTGTGGCTGGTTTAATGAGCGTTTAATGGCTGCCGGAGCAACTCATTTGGTTGACACACACAAGCACACTCGCTCGTCCTGTTGAGGGTACCTGCACTTCCGTTTACCCTTGCCTATCATCAGACGACGCCTATCTCTGCTTTACTGCGCTGCCTAATTTCGTTTTTATTGTTCTTCCTTGTTGTTTTTTCTTGTGTCTTCATGTTTTTGTTCCTTATGCATTGCAATTTTCAAATTAGTGCTCCTTGCTTTCTTTTCATTCATGAATTCCCGGGAAATTGTTGTCTGTCGTATTTTTATCTCGCGCCACTTGAGAACTTCTTGGAAATTCTTTAACAACTTCTGCTTTACTTTTGCCCAAGAATCAGGTATTTAAGGCTCTGTGGTACCCGAATGTGTGAGTGTGTGGCTATCATGTATGTTCCTAGGCATTGTTATGGGTGCGGAGTTCATTTTATGCGAGTAGATTTAGCGACGTTTAAAACGTGTAATTAGACAAATTAACATTTTGTTGGTTATCATGTCAATGCCTAATTAACACAAAATGACGGTCATTGCAAGTTGCGGTTGCCAGTTAGTGGTTAGTGATTTAAACATTTCCACATGCAGCTGTTAAAGCTGGTAGCTTACTTAATTCATCCGTGTAAGAATGCTATTGACACCGACACCAATTCCACCATGTTGGCAAATTATAAAGACGACCTCCATGTTCTCTGTTCATCCACATTTCTGTAACTGGTTTAAATAAGTTTGTTTTGAATTTTGAATACGCATATTAAATATGCACTAAAATCTGTCAGTTGTAGTTGGCTTTAATATTCCATGATAATTATTTATTAAGGTCCACGTGTGCATTTATTTTGAACTTTAAATTAAATACGATTTCTTATCTTAAATCTTAATCTTAAAATGTTTAATTTAGTTGCAAAAGGGCAAACAGTTAGCTACAAATATAGCCATGGGATGCTTACTATATAGTCGGCCAGTCTAGCAGCAGGAGTACCTGGCATTGTTTGTCATCAGTGCGAGGTTATTGTTGTTGCCGATGTTTTCCCTGTCACTGATTGTGCTTGTTAGTTGTTGTTGTTGTTGTTATTGTTGTTGCTGGTGGTTGTGGCAGCCACAAGCAATTTCTGTTACCAGTAATTTCTTTATCAAGTAGTTGTAGTTGTTGTTACTACTACTGTGTGCCTCGAGCGGCTGTTCTTGTCAATGATTAGTGAATATTTCTGGCAATTCTTGTAATTTGCGTGACTGTTTTCTGTTCACTTGTTTGTTTAAAACATGAACTAAATGTCAGCAGTGAACTTTTCGTTTGCCAGTGATCGTTGTTTGTAGCACAGATTAGCTTTATTGTGTTGCAAGTGCTTTAAGCGGAAGCAGCTTATCATCTCACGCCACACACACACACACACACACACACACACACACACACACACAGCAACAGAGTCGCAGCTTATTGATTTCACACGCCACTCATAAATCATAAACAACAACAACATCAAAGACGTGCCCAATCTTGCGCCCTTTCTGCATCGTATATAGAGCTCCAATCCGTGCCACATCCATCTCCATTTGCTCTTCAAGCCATTCCGCGTAAACTTTTAATGCACTACAACTACAAATACTCACCATTCAACTGCCAGCAGAAAACTTTGAGCGCTGCGCGAGAAAAGTGCCAAGTTTCCCATACATATTCCCAAATGCGTTTATTACAAGGAGAAAACGCACATGCACAAACAAAACAAACCTACACACACGAGTACATGCACACATATGTACCTAGTATACTATATATGTACATATATACATATGTATGTAGGTAGATGTGTCTGTGGGGGGCGATGCAAAAAGCGATGCCAAGCACTTTACAAGTTTAAGCAACAAAGACTTCTTGGATTTAGCAACGTATGCGAAAAATGTCATCCGAAATGGGAAAGCTATGGCAACAATGGCACATTGAGGACACTTTCCATGTGCACTGGCAAGGAAAACGTCTGGGGGAAAATTGATCATGACAGGCACTGCTTATGCTCGAATAGGAACTCTCTTTGCGCCTTTTAGGCACTCCGTATTGTCACTTGAATTTATAATTGAATCTCGCAAAATTATAATCAATATAGTTGGAATTTTTCTAAATTGAAAAAAAAAAACATTTAATTAGAGAGCTTTCGTCATTCCTACTTTTATCAAATCTTTATCTTTATTTTTATCAGTCTATTATTTTATTATTAATTCTTTCTCCACTCCACGCTTCTTTCAAGTTTACACCAAAGCATAACACTGATTTGGATATATCCGGAACAAAAATTAAAACAAATGAATTAGATGCAATTCAGACTAATATATTATGCTTCAACATCAGTTAGAAAACTGATGGCGATGATTTGTAAATTGTTATTTAACAATTAAAACAAACCATTTGTGGCATGTCAATTGTGTATGCCGCGTCTGTTAAACATCTTACTACATATAATATAAATCAAATAGTAGAATAACTTTCATTTAAACAGCTGATACTTAAGACTAACAGTCACTTTTTCTTCATAGAAAAAGAGAGTTCTTTAGCGCCATTCAGAATTTCAGTCAACTGATTTTCTACAAATAATATATTTAGGATGTCAACTATATTTAAAAAATATATATATACAAGTAGCTTCAGAGTTCGGATATATGTTAATTTTATTGAAAACTGCAGTTGTTCTTTGTAAACAGTCATTTTTTCATTTATTATGCGTTATTTTCGTTCATGATTGATTGTTTTATTTCATTGCTCTTTTCAGCATAAACAATTTATTAATTCAATTGATTCTTCCATAATCGCATCTCTTCGGTGTTGCTAGTGTGATTAAATTATTTTAATCAATAGTTCAATTGGAATATTTTGTTAAATAGAATGAAATGAACAAAATAAAAGTAAATAAAAAGAAGACTTGAATGACACGTTCAACTCAACTTATTCTGAACTCCATACAACTGCATAAGCATTATAAAGATATTTTCATTGCTCATTCAATTGCTCTAGGAGTATTATCTGTTCTTAGGTGCCAGGTCAGAGTAGTGTTACGTAGACAGGAGGCAGAGCAGCAACCGCGTAGGGAAATGGAAATATGGCTTGCATCAGTACACTCACAGAAAGCTTAACTTTCGAGAACTGAAAACCATTCCACTCGACTCACTCACAACAGTTGGCATGCCACAACTCACGGATGGCGACTCATCTGAAATCGAAATCTGCATATGCACTCGTGCTTGCCGCTGGCATTGACATCATTGGGGACTTGGGCGACGTTGACAGCTTTCAAAATATTTTCGGTGGCATTGAGAGTTGCAGGGTAAGTTGCAGCCACGACTTTTGCGATGCTGGGGAAAGTTCTGTGAAAACTTTTATGCAGCTGGCGCTTTGTCGCGTTTCACTGGGCACAAGAATTATCGCCGAGGGGCTGCTTGCTCCAACCTCCTGTTGCTTGCTGGCGACAGGCCAAGCCAAGCCATGCCCAGCCAAGCCAAATGAAATGAATAGTTTCGTTATTACTATTGCCACAACTAAGACCACACTTTGTCTTTTATTTGCAGTTATCAAACTGGCGGCGCTCGCCGAGGAAGTTGCCACATCAACGAGCAGCATCTCGGATGGTATGACTTTGCTCTTGGCTTTGGCTTTTCAGCTCTGTTTGGCTTACATTGCGCTGACACTAACAATATTCTTCGCTTTCTTGCAGAATGGGGCTCCGGCATGATGGGCACCAATTTCCTCGTAGAGATCGAACAGACTGCGGCCATGGCGCCCGCCAGTGGCAACAATGCCGATGATTACTTAAACAGTCAAGAGGAGGACGTCGGCTCGACTACAACCATAACTGGAGCTACGAATGGCACAAATGTGGCGACGGGTGAGTCACTAAACATTTACATATTACCAAAAAAAAAGAAGGGAATATAGGAATATAAAGTGAACACATACCGCCAAGAGGAAGGTGCCTCTTTCAGTACTTGTAGCTGACTGACTGACAAAATAATTTCCATACATCGTTTGTCTATACACGATCAAATAAATAATTAAAATAAAATAGATAGTTTGGTTGTTTCTGGGCAGTAACGAGTTAATGGGTTAATTGGTTAAAAGGTTAAGCAAAATGTTCATCTCATCAACCCAGATTCTTGTTTAGGAGTTATCAAATTAATTATTCTCAGATCTTTTTCGTTCTCTTGTTGCTGCATGCAATTTGGGATAAATTGAAGAAGAGGAAAAAGCCTGAAGTCCTGACAATTCGAATTAACCAGTTAATCGTTAGGCAGTGTATTCATCGTCAATATAGATTAAATTCATTTCCTTACCGGTTAGCCCTTAGTGAAAAAACATTAACCAAGAAACATGTGGGAAGGGTAGGGAAAAATTTGGTAGGTAGAAGCTAAATACAGGAAACATGCATAGAAACAGGCAGAATATTTATGGATGCATTTCTAGAATATGATACCAGAATCGAGTGAAATAAATCCTAGCTTTATCTGCTGAGTCTATTGTGCTCTTCCGATAATAGCTATCTGCTAAATCTATTAGGTTCTCCCTATAAGATAAGTTAGAAGGCACTTATTTAGCAGACTTATCTGTATTACACTCCTCTAATCTGTTCCGTACACTCAACAGTTCTTATATAGTTCTATGAAGCAAAGTATTATTAAACGGTTTGCATCCTCCGTATGGATTTTTCTGCACATGGATCTTCGTTGTAATGATGCACAAAGGGAAGCTTTTGGCGCATTAAGGGCACCAAAAGATAAAATATAAAATAATATGTACTATAGTATTTCTGCAGATATATGTTCTGGCCAACGCCTGTTGTTACCGATTTACTCATATTTGTACCAATAAGTGTGGTCGTTAGTGGGGGGATATATCTCACTGGCATTGCGATAATTGCATTTCAATCGGGCTTTCGTTATTTATGCGTCGCACGTGGCACGTAAAGTATTGCGTATAGCGCGAATTTAAAATCCAAACAAATCCATTATGCTTATAACTGTATGCGAGTGTTACGCCAACAACAACAACAACAACAGCAGCAACGACAACGCAAACGTAATTCAAGCATTTATCATGCCGCTTGGCATTAGCGAAGAAGAAAGTACATACCCGTATATAAAATAAAATAAATACCATTTTGACATAAACATTTGTACTTGCTGGCGTCTTTTTTTTTTTGTTATTGATGTTCTTGTCGCTGTATTTGTTGTTGCCGTTTCCGTTGACTGTTTGGTTAGGCAAATCACACGGAACTCATATAAATCTGCGCACACAAGCACATGAACAAATAAGGCGTCGCAAAATTACCAAATTGGATTTACCTCAAAGGCATCAAGTAAGCCAAGCATTGTGCGACTGTTCCCACAGGAGACGCGTCAGTCTAATCCAAATATTATTATGCAACACAAATGGTTTGTAGATCTAGCGAGTACAAGTATTAGTGTTTTTTTTATCGAGCTGCCATTTGGTCCTCAATGCATTGAAATCCTTTTCCATTTGCATAGCTTTTGCATTCGACTTCATTCGACTGTTTTCAGATTTTTATAAAAACTGCAATGCACTCGATTCTCGAATATTGGTATTCTTGCAAATTAAGAATTGACAGCAGGCAAAATATTCAATGAAAATAATTTACAAAAAGCTAATTAATTTATGGTAAGCTGGCCCGACTTTAAAATACTCTATACTTATGTGAATAATAATTATAGAAATTTTAAGAAAATAAAAAAAATAGCAACTAAATTGTAACATTAAAAAGACATATTTTGATCGATTATACCCCTCTGGGTATTCGTAACTGGAAGCATTTTCCAAATAATTCTGAAGTATACATACACCTATAATGCATATTCATATGTCAGCATCAAGGACTAAAATTTTGTGTCTCTAGCTTTTATAGTCTCCGATATATTATACAATTATAATAAACCTTTTAGCTTTAAGTTATATTTTACCTTTCATTATTTTAATTTTAATTTAATATCTTCTTAATTTAATTATACTCCTTTTTTTGTTATTGATATTTCTTCATCTTCATTTCGTTTTTGTTAAGTCTAATAAGTCTCTGACTTCTCTCTGGCCGTTTGGCAAATAAAATTTGTATAAGTTCTTTATTATTTAGTTTCATTTTGCTTAAGTTCTCTAAAAATAATATAAATAAAATAAATATAAACAAATCTTTTAGGTTGAAATTATAACGTTGTGTTATTAAATATCTTTGTTTTATTTTACAATATTTTATGATAATATCATAGTTTTCGTATATGTATCGACAGCACTATTTGATGATTTTCTAAATAAATAAATATTGTGTCAAAAAAATAAAAAAATAAACTCGTAATGCATACATACTCCTACATAGGGCAATTTTGGGTCTCTATCTCATTTAGTCTCTGAGACTTAGGTGTTCTTACGGCCGAACAGACAGACAGGGCTAGATCGACTCTTCTTGTCATGCTGATCAAGAATATACTCGTATATACTTTGTGGGGCCGCCACGCCTTCTTCTGGCTGTGGCGTTTTTCACTTCGCACAAACCTAATTTACTCCTATAACTTACAAGTACAGAGTTTGAGGATATGATAGACAAAGCTTTTCATTAAACTAATTCTTTCGTTAATTTATTACAGGCCCCAAAATCATAGTTCGTACCGAAGAGGTGCTCATTGTTGGGCTCGTGCTGGTGCTCTGGGTCGGAGCTATAATGCTGTTCTTCAATCGCTGGGGCAAGATACGAATGCTGGAGCCATACCAGCCCAAGTTTCAGCAGCAGCATCGGTCTTCCTGCCCGCTGGTCGACTTGGATGCCGTGCAGGCGCATCAGGTAAGGGATTTGTGGTCTACTTTACATCGCTTTCGTCCTGACAGTATCCTGACCTCCATCCTCAATCTTTACAGCGCGCATCTGTTTCGCGCATGTCGATGGGCATGGTGCACAATTTGAATATGCCAACGTGTCAATTTACGGCTTATAATCCAAGTGTATATGCGAAGGGTATGTACAATAAGTGTGCTTTAGTATACAAGTGTGTGTGTGTGTGTCTGTGTGTGAGAAAAAGTAAAATGCAAATGCAATTAAAATCGAACATCTTCATGCCACATCCACTCATGCATAGTTATAGTCATAGCCATAGTCATTTGTATGTATATTTATATACTTGTATATATACATATATGTATAAGTGCGCGCGCGTGTGTGCAAGTGTGTGTGCGTATTGTAATTCGAAACCTAGTGCTGCGTTATGTGTTGCATACTTTTTGTTTGTATTGTCCTCTGCACAGTGGGTCGTGAATCTTGCACGGTGAAAATTGTACTTGAACCTTAAAACCAGGATGCGCATTTCTTTACTTTACTTTACTTATTTCTATTTGACCTTACTATCCAAATACATACTAAATAGAAGAACACCAAAAAGCCAAAGGGTTTTTTCCTCTCTTCTTCTTAATACTTAGTTGGTTTTTCATGCGTTTATACTTAAAATAAAAGCTCATAAGCTGGAACTATTTAATTTTGAAACTTTAAATTCGAAAGTAGCATTCAGCTTTGCCTATTCTAGCAACGGCAGCATTGGAAACCATTACCAATAGCCGATAAAGTGATTAACTTTTATTGAACCTTAAATGAACTTTTATATCTCATATTAAATTATTAATTTATCATAAATGTGACCGAGTCTTATCAGAAGTAGCAAGCAATTATATTCCAAAACACGTATTCTCTTTTGTGTATTTTCTGAGCTTAGTGAGAATCGATTGGGCCAGTAGTAACGGCTAATTGTGTTGCCTTCAAGTAATGTAATTCCATCTTAAATCTCTCCTGTTTCCTCTGAACTTCAAGCATTTGCTATGACTTCTTTAGCAGTTTCATCTTATTGTGAGACATTTCCTAAGTATATATAAGTTTTTGGTAATTAAAAAATACTTATGCATCGATGATATTTAATTTAAATTTATTGTTTTTAGCTTTCTTTTAATTATCGACACACGAGTATATTCGAGTGAAAATGTGAATGATTCCACAATCAACATTTTATTACTTTTCTAAACCATTTTGTTTTTGAAACAAACCATCGTTGATTGAGAACGAAAAAACAGTTCATTAATCAATAAACAATAGATTAATATGAGTTTTAAAATAAAAGTTTTTATACATAGATATATGTATGACATTTTAAGTTCTTCAAAAATTATAATTTGAAATGCAAACAGATAAATTATTTTGCGACTGCTATTCAGCCCACTGTGCAGCGCCAATGGCAAAGAAAGTTTGGTGTAGAGCAATGCAGCTAAAGTGTGTGGCCCAGAGCCAAGTCACTCAAGTGAGTGAGTTGAATGCAAATCCATTAGAGGTGAAGTGTGTACAACAGACATGTGTATGTTGATATGCCTCTACAAGCCCTTGCTCGTAATACGTATGATTGTTAGTTTCTGTTTTAATGAGTTGCCAGACAATTAAATCGCGCTAGCCCAAAGGCGAGCGACCGACGCGCCAAAGGACAACGATAAAGGGCAGGACGGATTGCAGTGGACAAGTTGTCGAAAGCGAGGCAAATAATAATACAATTTGAATGCCTTTGTTGGCGGCTGCTGCTGCGCTCTGTCGCAATCAAATAACACCCACACACGCACAGCCAGACCAGCGAAACAAAGGATGATGAATATAATGATGACGCGATCCTGCTACGCATTTAGTAACTGAAAACCAGTCTACTGACTGACTACTCGCATGTATATGCACATTTAAGCGCACATTTCCCGTGCAGGCAGAAGCGTGTCCGTGTATGTAACAAGGAACCCTCGTATGTGGTTGTGTGTGTTTGTGTATGTCAAACAATTAGACTGACGATGCGTATCTGTTGTGTGTGCGTGTGTGCAAGTTGACATTTACGCTTACTTGGTTATTGTTGTCGTTCTAATGAGCAACAATGAGGCAGCGTTTCGTTTGCCTTTATTACTACTATTTTTTGTTGCCTACTTTCAGGCTACGCCTCACACATCTCGCACGTCTCAAGGCCCCGACAGAACTCAGTGTTCGTTGGCGCCAGTACCAGTCACTTTTTGATGCCAAAACCACCACGTAAGACACGCTCAGCCATGGATCTGCACTCGATGGTGTTGGACGAGAGTGCCGAGCAAGTTTAGGAGCCCAAAGAGCTCTACAAAACACATACGAGTACATATGTAATAGCACATATATTTTTTTGTGAGAGTAGTATATACACTCGTACCACTACTATATTGATCGTATTGTATTGTATTGTATTGTATTGTATGTGTTTACTTATAAGTAAGTAGCTTATTAAGCCGGTAAGCATAAGTGCGTGTGTGTGCGTATGTTTTGTACAAGTGAGCGATTGAGCGATTGAACAATGATGATAATGCAGATGATTACAATGATGATAGCGATGATGTGCACAAGCCATTGGTAATGGATTGAAAAACTGTTAACGATCTGAGGAACAACACTGTCCAATTGCAACTATTTACAACACTTATTCGCATATAACTCATAACTTAACTAACGCACCATCCACCTCCACATACACACACAGAATTCTATCCTGTTGGCCTCTCTATGTGTATGTGTGTGTGTGTGTGTGGATGCTCGGGCAACTCGTTGAATAATGGAATATCTAGTTGGCCGAGCATCATTATCAGCATCTGCTAATGGCCAGCTCCAAATGTCATTTTAAAAGTCAATTTTATGCGCGTCCGATGCGAGCAAATATCGGTGCCTGAATTTGCTATAGTTTCTGCTAGTATTTGATATAATTAAATTTCTACTACTAATATCTATCTATCTGTCTATCGATTTCACTCTCTATATATTTTAAACTAAAGTAGCGTCTTAGCTCTTTTCTACTCAATTGTTGCGCTTTCCAGCTATTACAAATAGTTTTTACTTACATACTTACAAGTATATACCAAGGCGTATTTACTAATACAAGAATAAAGAATAATAATAAATAGTATTTCATGTGCATATTACATACACATGTCCACATACAGGATCATCTCTTGTAGTTGTCATTTTTGTTCTAACCAAGTTCTTATGTTATGGCCATGTTTCCAAATAAAAGTTAAATAGGTGTTTGCTAAAAAGCCTGTTTCTATTTCAGTTTCAAAGGGTTTGTCTTACAGTTTTCCAAATCAAGGCTAATCTCAAAAAAAGACCAAATAATTTGCATTATAATTATGGAAACACCAAAGGTTTGCTGTTTTTATTTTTAATTTAAAATTCTTTGTTACTTCTGAATGGGAAATTATTGTAGAAAAGTTTCGAGAATTAGCCAAATTTTGTGTTATTATTTTTTAAACTAGCAATGGTCTCAAATTAAAATGTATTTTGATGTAAGTTGCTGGAGTGAAACACAGTTCCTTATTGTTACAGACGAACTGTACAAGATCTGTAGGTATTTTTATTTGCATACGAGTAATACTTAACATAAATAGATGAGAAAGATCTTCGTCCGAGCTTTTCATCATACTATATTTTCAAATAGTAATTCTTTTCATATAATCTAGACAAGGGCCTACAAACGTTAATCGTATCAATCGCGTTGCAAGCGAAAAGAGAATAATATGCTCATATATTCGTTTTTCGTTCAGGCAGATTCGATTTTGGGGACCACTGCTCAAGATTTTGGGCTACAGAATTTTAACAATTACCTATACAACTTTTGTTTTTAAGAAACACTACGAAATGAACTTACGATTGTTCCCTATTTCTATGACCCTATCGATTTTCCTTAAAACTAGACAGATAATTTAATTTAAAATGTGAGAAGATACGAATTCGTATGCTTTGTGTGCATGTATATATATGTATGTGTGTGTGTGTGTGTGCGTATGTGCGAGTGGTATGAGTAATTTCTAGGAAGACTCAAGGCCAACGATAATTCAATAGAAAGTTGTTTTGTTTGCCTGCAAGTCATTCAAGGCATGTGCAGCTCACATTTGCATTTTTAACGAAACGTGCGTCCTGGCATCTTTTTATTGCGAATATGCAAATATCATTGCATAGCTTCAGGTTGTGGCAAGCAAACAAACCCGACTCTTACCTACACATATGCACATATATGTGTGTGTGTGTGTGTGAGTGTGAGGCTACCTTGGTATTGTTACTTTTTATCTTTTTATCTCTTCCGAGCTTGCAACAGCATTTGTTGTAGTGCGTGGGAATGATTTAGCTTAAATACCAGGTTTTCGCAGCTCAATTTGATGCTTAGACCTCATTACTTAGCGCTATAACCCTTTTAACTATCTATTACTAATCGAACTCCTACACATACGAGTATTGCACGTACGAGTATATATATCGTTAAGTATCTATTGTAAGTAGTAGTTGTGCTAAGCTTCGACCAACTTTTTAACTACTACAAAGAGGCAAGTGGAAAGAAATAATAAACAACAACTAACGAAAGCTTTAAAACCCTCAACCCCCGGATCGGTTGACACACACGAGTACCATAACTAACACACAATATTTTTTAGACTATACCAAATTGTATCGGCAACTTTGCAACCATTTTGCAGTTGACCAAGCCATCCAAACTATCTTAACTTAATGTACTTTAAGGCAATCTGTGTAAAAAGTCAACTTAAATCTAATTCAAAAAATAATGTGGAACAACTAAGCTACACACATGTACTAAACACAACAGAACTAAAGTAAACAGAATGCAAATGTACGTATATCTGGAAATTGGCATAGATTTTTTTTTTTTATTTTAAGCGAAAGTGCGAAATGAACAATACAATTGTTAAAGCTTATTGTGTGCTCTACATACTTTATACATACTTGTTTATCAAAATATACTATACTATACCTACTGTTGAAATTTGCCGAGCGCATTACAAAATATTTACATATGTACATTTATGTATACAAACGATAAGTACTACATACAAACTACTTATGTTAAGCTGTTGGGAACTTCTAGTTACATATATGTATATGTACGTATTAATAATACTCTTATTTACAAAGCCAGATCATAAACAATTATATACATATGCCTATACATGTTAACGAACAAGTAATATTCATACCTATATACACATGATTATTGAAAAGTTAATTACAAACAATTATATACATTTGGAATTTCATTTAAATAAAAATATTATTTAATATTACAGTAATCGCACTTTTCTATAAATCACACTTTCATCTACAAAGTAAGCAAATCGGACTTCATGATTTAGAGCCTGGTTAGTGATACATAGCTATAGAAAGGCCAACATAAGAGTACGAGTATGCACTGGAATAAATTGGAAAAAACAAAACAACGACGCAAAAGCGTTCCAACGAATTTCCCGATAGGAATTGCGGTATGAAGAAATATTGTCATATAAGTATAAGAAATCGAATGCCCTTTAAAAATTTCAGACCATCTACATAATTACCTACAATTGATTTTTGTGTAAAATTAATTTGAAATAATCGTTGCAATCCTTCAAACCATTTTGAATATTTGTGTAGAGAGCATTTCTAAAAGGCCTTATATTTAAAGCTCCACATAGAGAATCTTACTTTAGGCTCTTCCAACTATTTACTATTTATTTTAGTTAAATCTTTGGCCTGCTTTGCTCTCCTAGTTGTGTACAATTTAAAAGCCAAGATGCATATAAAATGGCAATTTGAAGCCAAAGCGAACATTTTATGAGATACATTCAAGGGCGTAGGCAGGAGGGGGCAGGGGCGGGCTCTAGAAAAAATTTTACCATATAAAGTCGAACACACGTTCATTATTATGACGCATTATTTCGCCTTAAAATGAATCTGAGTTGGATTTGTTGAAGTTTTTTCATTGTTCATATGCATAAGTTATTTTTTAAATGCATCGTGCATTTACCCTTTGGTAAAAGCTGCCCTTGGGATACATTTATAATACTGGACAGGCTAAAGGGTGGACAGAACTTGCCACATGCAGCAGACATGAAAAGATAGAATTTAAGTATGCATGGATAGATGCATGTTTATACGAGTATGTTCCATTTGCCCTGCAGTACTGCTTACCTGAATACCCTACAATTCGTTATTTATCAAATATGAATTATGTGTATCACAAAAGAAAAGTCGGAGGGCTTTTAGTTTTATTTATTTACGGTCAAGTACTCTAATTGCCGAAAGTATTTATATTTGTTGGCTTGATTGAAAAGTTCAGTCTTCCGGTTTCTGCAGGGTATATCGAGGCACACACATACATATATAAGAGTATATATTTATGTACTATACTTTCATACGAACAAGAACATGCATATGCTCAATAAAATGAAAGACGCTTGACCATTGACTGTGGTCTGTGGACTGGCAGGCCGGCTCGATGCCGAGCGTCGTGGACGTTAAGTGATTATGCTGTTGATGGCCAATAAACAATTTTACAAAATGGCCAAGCGTGGCGCAAAGTGCTGACAAAGACTGTGCCATAAAAATAGCGATGTCGCCGTTAAGTGTGGCCAAGTGTTGCCAAGTATGGGCGAGTGTTGAAAATTGTGGCGTTGGTTGCTGCTCCTATTGCTGGCCGATGAGTTCAGCCTGCATGTGGATTTATGATGTTGCAGCAAGCATTTCAGCTCTTGGCACTCAAATGGCAATTCATGCAGCAGCAGCAGAAATACGAGTCGCTCCACCAGTGTGTGGAAGGAGTTCCAGCTGAATATACAGTATATATGTATGTATGTACATATGCCATACACCCAGGACCCAGTGTGACCTTGTCCACAAATCAACTTGCTGTTTCTGAGTCTGTTTCTCTTGCTGCCAAGATGCTGAGAAAATTGCAACAAAATTAACAGCAGCCCGCTGTTCAGTAGAAACTAACAGGACTGCGTGCAGCTTCGTGAATAATACCAATTAGCTCAGATATCGTATAAAAGAAGTATAAAGTAAATAAATATAGATATTATATTATGTCATTTCATCTAAATTTAAAGGTTTTTACAAATTGTACAGAAAAGGTACGTATGGTTTATGTGGCACATTCAAATCTACCTAAGCAAGAAACCTCCTGATTCAAGATAAGAAAGTGTTATACTTTAAATAAAATATAATGCTAAAATGCATCTAGAAGGGAGAAAAGTAATATCTTATATTATTTGTTTTATTATATTTATTTAATTACAATATTGTTTTGAATAAAAGAAGAAGAAAGAAGCGTCAACTTAAAATCGAAGATATACGTAAATATTGAATCTGATAGTCAAGCCATAGCTAGAACATCTTGGTGATGGGATCTGTAAAATATTTTGGTTTCATCGCAACTCACTATGTTGAGCTCACGTGATAAATAACAAAAATAACGAGCCACTGACTTGAAGTTGCAAACACAGCATCAACTACTTATATAGTAGAGCCCGTTGATTTCATCGAGTACGGGAACTCGAGTCGAGTCCAGTCCAGCCCAGTTGAATGCATGGATTTTGTTGTCATAATGAGCAAGTCCATTTGGATGTGGCTGGTCTGCGTGTGTGCCCTGTGTGTGGGAGTGTGAGTGTGAGTAAGTGTTAGCCACATTTAATATCCTGTTCTCTGTTGAAATTGCAACGCTGATGCTGAAGCTGCTGAGGTTGTTGTTGTTGTTGTTGTCAGAGCTATGAAAGATGGGTCGCTGCTCATGAATTGTGGCTGGCCACATAGTACAGGGCACAAGGCAGAAGGAACTTTTGCGTGACTGCTGCAAGGAATGTGGAGAGTGTGACGCACAAGCATGTAGTATACATTCGAATGTGTGTGGGTGTTGTGTGTATGTGCGTACCTAACTAATGGTGTACATTTGAACGTCATTATGAAGATGTTCATCATCTTCAGCAGCAACAACAGCAACAGCGACCACTTGGTCTGACATGTTAAAGGCGGAAACCAGGAGTGGCCTGCCACCGACAACATAAACACTGAAGCATTGGGGCAACACAGCCAACAAGAAACCACCAAACTAGTTGTACGTAGTCTCTGGGTAGCCAGACAAAACAAGATTTGAAAAAGAAAAATGTTATGTAAAAACATTTATTAATCGATTTAGAATTATTCATTAATTTTTAATAGTAGCAGTAAAATATTTAAATAAAAAAACGTTTTTTTTGGTAATTACATTAATGATAAGAATCAAGGAAAGTAGAGAGCAACACATTTCAGAAAATAGTTGATTATGTGGCTCAGCGAGTAACGATGCCAAGGTCCAGATTTGAATAGAAATGTGATTACTACTCTCTTCCTGTCTTCCAGTCTTTCTGGCTCTGTCTAGCGATTCTTGCGCTCGCCTTTTTGCTGATTCCTAATGACGTAATTGCCTGCAATGGAAAATAGAAAACATAACTTAATAAGTCGGAAGGTATTTCCACACAACGTTCAATTCAATTGTTTTTTACAGTTCCTTGTGATTGTCTCTACAAATTTGGGACTAAATCCAAAATACATCGTTCGACAATTGAATATAAAAGTGATTCTCATCCTGATTATACACATCTTGATATGCGAAGACAACTACTTACTATGCTAAGCGAGAAATAGTGCCAATGACTGAAAGAGTGATTTTATCACATCTGGAATCCCCTAATTAATTATTAGTTGAATGAAAGTAGTGTATAGCTACTTATAACTTTAATCTGATCTTATCTATATCTGCCGTTCAGGGACTGTCTCTTCATAAACGACTTTAGCTACGATTGTCAAGATTGGCGCAAGAAAGCATTCAAATAATGAGACATGCTCCGAGATGACGGTGCATTCAACTAATTCATTATTCGTTTCATGCCCCTTGATATCCTCAAGTCTTAAATCCTATTTCCTTAGCCTAGTACCATTTGGGAGCGCATCCTCACCTTCATCATCGCGGTACCAATTCCGGTGTGAAATCTCCTCGCGTTGTTTGTAGGCAAAACGGCTGGGATTGTTGTTATTGTTGCGATGATTATTGTTGTAAGGGGCATTATTGATGCGATTCTCAAAATATTGACCATTGCGGTTGGGATTTTCGTAGTGTTGGGCACGATTGTTGTTACTAAAGCGGTTATAATTGCGATTATAATTGCGATTGTCCTCGTTGAAGCGGTTGTTGTTGTTATTGTTGTATTGATTGGAAAAGCCGTTGTTATAGCCAGTGTTGCTGTTGTTGTTGTTGTTGTTGAAGCGATTATTGTAACCGTTATTGTTGAAGTCGAAGCGATAGTTGCGATTAAAGCGACGATTTTCCATTTGATTGTTGTTACTGTAATCGCGCTGACTATCTAGGCGCCTAAAAGCTGGCGAACGACTGCGATAATTTCTACCGCGTTGACCTGGAGAATTTCCAAACTGACCCCCCTGGCCATGATTGTGGCCATGAGGACCATTGCCACGACCATGATTATATTGTAGATTTCCATGAGCATGATCGCGACTATATCCATGATGAGCATGTCGGCTTTTGAAGTGGTCGTGCGAGTTGCTTTTCTCGCAGCTTTGACTGCGGCTGCGAAAAACTCCTCCTCCATTGGTAGCGGCTTCGCCATGTTTTTGAACCTCCTTAGCCCTCATTTTTTCAATGAATTTCTCAGCTCTCTCTGCTGATTCTGATCGACTCTGCGAAAGCTGCGACTGCTTTGGCTGTTGCGGCTGTTTTGGCTGCTGCGACTCAAGAGTCGACTCTAGGGGCTGCGCTGACGGCTGCGACTGTGCAGGCTGCTCTGACTGGCGGTCAGCTTTTGGCTCTTTCAGGACATCCGCAGGCAACTTTCCGGAAGCAATCAATCTAGCAATGCGTTCCTGATTCGCCGCGTAGCGAGCCTTCTCAGCATTCAACTGGTTTATCAGCTCCTTGCAACGGGCCTCTTTGCGCAGCTTCCGTACCTTCTCAATATCCGCCTCATACTCATCTTCCGAATCGGGGGCCACCTCCTGCGTTACACCAGGCGATAGCGGACACGGTGGCATTGCTTGCATTAGGTGCAATGGGGCCACCAATTGCTGTGGTGACATCGCCGGCATCCACGTGGGGGGGAAGCCTATAAAACCAGCGTTCATTACCTCCAGAGCAAGATCTTGCTGCATCGATGGGTATCCCGGGTATGGGCAGAAGGGGTGACGTGGTGGTGGGAAGAATACAGGTGGTTCCATCGGTCGTGGCATCATGGGAATTGGACGCACAAGCTGATAGTTGTTGGCGAAGCGTTGACGGCGCGGGTAACGTTGATAGCCGCGTGGCTGCGGGGGCTGATTCTGATACACAGATTCACAAGGACGATAGCCCAGACGGTACTTTACGCTCACGCGGTTAGGACTCTCGGAGTCAGAGACGCGCCTAAAGTGGCACTGTGGGCTGCGCGAATAGATCTGAGGGCTGAGCGACCGGCGTCGTGTAAGGGAACGCAAAGAGCCACCAGGCGAGTAGCGGCGGCTAAATTTGCGGCTTAGGTCGCCAGAGTAATGTGAAATGGACGATGGAGATGTGCTACGGTGCCGTGGACGCTTGAAGGGAACCAACTGCATATTATTTTCTGGCTCCTTTTTAAGCTGCTCCAGAGCTATCTCCTCTATTTTGACATCTATTTTACGCTTTTGCCCATGTGGGGAAAGATTTTCCGGACTTTGTTCCACTTTAATCTGCACCTCTGGCTGCTCCTGCTGCTCCTCCTCCATATTCTCAAGCTTAGGCAGAAGAACAGCAGCAACCTCCGGCTCCGGTGATACAGCCATTGGCTTCGGCCCAGCGTTTGCTTCTGGCTGCGACTCGCTTTTTAACTCCGTTTTTGTGTCCGGACTTTCCTTACACTTCATTTCGAGCCTCCTTTTTTCCGCTATGATTGCCTCTCGCACACGGTCTTTCATGCTCTTGCCTTTGTTCCTATCGCGTACCAATATTGTCTCCAATTTTAAGTTCAAGTCCAAAAGAGCTTTAACACGCTTTTCATATACCTCTCGTGACTCCCCTGGGCGCCTTGGACCCCAATACAGTTTGTCACCCAGGACTATATCGACAGCTCGAAGTGCCTCCTCGACTTCAGCATCGAGATCCTTCTCCTCTTGCTCCCTATTCTTTCTAGCTTGCTCATCCTCTTTCGGTGGCACCACCTCAGGCGTGGGAGTGGGCGTGGAGGTAGGGGTAGTCGTAGGCGTGAGAAGACCAGACATTTCCTCAAATTTCTCTGGATCAGCCATGTCGTTTCAATTAACGGCCTGCGAATAAATACCAAAATTGATGAAAATTTAAGTTGCCTCGTTAAACTAAACAGCTAAGGATATCAATAAATACTCGAAAACGGTCTGAAAAAGGTTAAAAACAAAAACTACGAATGTCCATGTTGAAATTTGCATATCTATGCAAAATTAATTTATTCATCGTTCGGGCTTGCGTTTTGGCCCATTCAAAAAAAAAAAAGCACAGTTTGTCAAGTAAGTGTTTTCACATGACGAACAAAATGCAGTTGTCCATTTTTCCTGCAAATAAGTACCTACAGAATGAAGGAATAAAATGTGCCCAAAACGGTTATTTATTGATATTCATACAAAGCTATTAAAAAACAATATTACATTCATTCCTGACTGAGACATGTTCCATTCTAACATCGATGTTTTAGCTCTATTACTCTTTTTTTAAGAAGTAATCATTCATTTGCGTAAGGTCCAGACATTGGAAAGTATTATCCATCACTTTTCTTCGGTTATTTTTGTATTCAAATTTAAAATAAGAGGTTTCTATGTACACCAATTCCGAATGTCCATATTTGATATGAACTGATATTTCAATTAAAATAAAGCGACAAATTTATATCGACAGAATTCTTCTTCTTGTTAAACAAAATAAAATAATATACATGTAGAAATCCATAAATCTAGGCATCGTATCATAAAGATGGAAAACAGATTTTATTCATCACGTAAAGACACTTCCTTGACCAACTGTTGTGTATAAAATTTATGCAAATTCGTGCACAATGTGCGGCCTGCGATTTGATGTCAACGGCAATGGCATTGGCAATGCCAACAAAATTGATTGGCCGCAGCCGAGGCGCCAATTTTCATGTCACATGCTGGTCAAACACCCCACTAGGACCCCTCTAGAGAGCACCCATCAAGGCTCGACAACCACAGAGAGCTAGGAGAGCTGCCCGCCAAACTGCTCCCAACAAAATTAAGTTAGTCATTGTCCCAACTACTGGTGAAAAGGAATGATGAAAATTGTTCTGTAAGTTATTATTCTGATGGTTTTTAAAAAGTTACGCGGCTTTTGCGAGCGCATTTTTGAATGCTTTATTGTTCAGAAGAACAAAATGACTGCATTCCGGTCTGTCAATTACTATATACTTACTAGATATAGTATATCCCAAAGCTGTCGCAGAAACGATATGATTTATATGGTTGACTGCGAATGTCAAAATGCAAAATAAGTAGAAATTGCTTTCTAATGAAAAACAGGATAGCACGGAGGCAGAAGGCTTTATAGTACAAAGGCCATGACCTTGGAGCAATAAAGTGCTTGCTGCAGTGAAGGGTGTATATATGTATACACATATATACTATATACATATGTATATGTATTTAGCTGACACTGCTTCAAACCCGATTTGTATTTATTGTTGTTGTTTGGCTGCGTCACACATTAAATGACTGCCTCATTAACTGTCGTCTTGAAAACGTTGAAATTTATGTTGCTGCTGTGCTCAGGGCCTTGCGGCCATTTCGGCCATTTAATAAAAAATCTAACTTAATTGCTTTATGCGCGCGCCTGTTGGTATGCTACGATATTTTTCATTCTTCGCTGCTTTGCAGGTGACTTGACAAAAAGTGAAGGCGTCGAAACAAACTGTTGTTGTGGCTGTTGTTGTAATCGTTGTTGCTGTTGCTGCCTTTTCAATTTTAACGCCGCTCTTCGTTCAGCTTCGTTATCTTTGATTTGTCCGCTGAGAGACATTCCAATGAAATTTCACAGCTTCGCGCAGACAGACATGCACATCCACACGTGCCGCAAGACAAAGGGAGGACGACAGAGACAGAGACGAGCAACTTTAGATGGCATTGCAAGGAAGAGATGGCGGAAGCAGGCGTTGCGCTTTGGGCCCAGCGGAAACCTCCGCATGTCGTCGGCAACGTGGTTCCCAATTTACGACAGCAAACACACACATGCATCCGAGGGGCATGCATTCGTATGTGTAGTGCTTGCTTATGTATTGTGTATCAACGTGGAATTCTGCAGCATCAAGGACGCAAGGAGCTGCGATTGTTTTTGCTTGTGCTGTGTGTATGCTGGGCGGATGGTTCTGTGTCTGCCATCATATAATATTCAGCAGTACGAGTATAGTATACGTTTCGTCTCGTCCGCTCCCTGATGAGTGATCACTTTAATTGCTGCATTTCTTGACTCGCCCTCCTTCGCTCATAAAAGTAAATCAGAATTTTATATGAAACCAATTTGTTAGCGCACTCGAATAAATTTCTGACATTTATGTGTCCATTAAGGTGGCAGTGATTGCAGTTCACGAATTAAATTGACATTACGACCACCCAACATTGGTGGAAACGGGGAGATGGCAGAATGATGAAATGAAATGTGAGACCTTAAAGCCAGGAGCCGCGTGTTCCTCCAACTTTTTTTTAATTTTAAAAAGGGCTTGTTTTGGGTTCAGAGTCACTCAACTTTATTTTCATGAAATTTAAAAGCGTATTGAGGAAAGCAGTAGGACCTCCTGCACTGCCGAGCCTATTATAATCGGGAAAAATATCCAATTATATGGGAGCACAACTAGAATAAATGGTAAATATGATAAGCATATTTTCGTTAGAGGCGAAAGACATGCACAATTAGTAGTCGTGTTTGGGTCACTTGTTTCCCGATTCGTAGTTAAAGCTTGCACGAACTTTCTATTACAGTCCATATTCAGTATAACTTTTTCCGAGTTACATTGCCAAAAACTACAACTACTATATTAAGTCTAATGATAAAACCCGAAGCGCTATTATAACGTTGAAAAGTCAAACTTTAATAGTCTGTGCCAACCACAACGAAAGTGATAATTAGTTTTGCTGTAGACACATCAAGCTGTAGAAGAGACAGTACTAGCGCGAAATGTGAGGGTCAACAAAATGTCCAGGTCATAAATAACAATACATAGTAAACCAATAAATACTCTCAATTTTATGGTAAAACAGGTGCACACTTTTCATAAAATAGTTGGCAAAGCATAACGCACTTATAAAATTTATTTATTTATAAGCATGATCAGCGTAAGAAATCCAGAAGCTGAGACAGACTGACGAAAGTCTTTTATGCCTTTTTCGGACTAGTTACTCTAGAAACAAAAAAGTTGAAGCTATTAAAACTTTAAATTTCATCAATAAATCCCATAAATGACGGACATGCTTTGCTTGCCTTTGCTTTGCTTAGGCTATAAAGTAAAACTATCTCGCACCACAAACATTTCACACTCAAGTTGAGGATATATATTTCAACTGCCTGACAAGCCATCGACTCCCTATCTGGTTGGGTCTGTTTGCCTGCCTGCCTGCCTGCCTGTCCATCCATCCATTCTATGCCTGTTGAAATTGTTTGCAGTAAAAACTTTGACTGCGCTTTCCCGCTATTGGGGCAGCGTAAGAGATACGAGTCACAAGCGCGCAGCAGGAACAACCACAACCACAAGACTAACACCAACAGCATCAGCATCAGCATCCGCATCAACAATGGCGATGCTTTGTGCAAACATTTTGCTGTTGCCTTTGGCAACTACTCGTATCTAATAGCTTAGCCAGCTGATTGATTGGATGTCCGAGTGCTGCCTCGGTTCCTTGTTTGCTGCATGAATGATGATGATGAAAACAAAAGAAGAAATATTTGTATGCATTGCTTTGCATCCCGAACTCTTACATATCACGTGTGTACGAGTATATAGAGTATATGGTATGTGTGTATGAGTCCGCAGATCGCAAGTGCAAATAAACACGAAATTTGATTACCAAATTGGCGAGGCGCCAGCTGTGCTGTTGGCAGCCAAAGGGTAGCTCAAAGGCATCGGTTGGGCACACAGGAGTCAAATATCGGAGCACGTGGCTGAATTGTACTCGTGGCATACAATTATGTGATTCGTAACCTAACCTGTTCCAGCGCTGTTCTGTTCTAATTTCTAGATAGGAATTAAATAAAAATAACCATCGCATTTAACTATAGATATAAATGTAAACAAAAACTGATTCTTTGCCCATTCAATCAACATTTTTAATGCAGAAAGTGGTATTAAAACATCACTCTTCCATTTACTCTATGGGCTGACATTTTCTACTTCTTTTTTTAAATATGAAATGAAATGAAGGAGTTAATGCAGGCAAATCAAAAAACACAAAAGAAATTTAATTGAAATGCAAAGCCAATTTCAGGCTTATTACAAAATAGCTATCACAGCCACAACTGGCAGCTTAGACAAAAAGCTAATGCTGCTGCAGTACCCTGACGCATCAAACAACGCAACACGGAGAGAGGTAGAGCGAGTGGAATGCAGCGCGGCCCTGCAGCAAAGGCCCTCGATGCTCCTGTTGCTGGGATGCTGCTGATGTGATTAATCACCAAAGTTGAGAGCCAGCTAGCGCAGTAACAACTACAACTACAACAAGAACGTTTGCCACTGCAACATGTTTATAATTGGATTTTGATGCAAGCACGAAAAAAGGGCTGGGTTGGTGGCTGGAGGAGCAGACAATTCGGATAGGGACAGACGACGGGGTACTCCATCATCGTAGTGTCGCGCAAGTCAATTTGTTCAAGTGCATAAATCAGTTGGCCACTAACAGCCCACAGCTGCTGGACAATGTTACATCAATCACTGCATCAGTTTTTTCTCTTCTGGTGTTTCATTTTTTTGTTTCGCTACTGCCGTTTTTGTTTTGTACTTCGTCCATAATTACATAGAACCAAGGGCACTGTTTGACCTTGTCGAACAATGTGTCTCTTCTCTCATGAAAGGAGTAGGGCCGGGGGCCCCATCTCACCAACCATTTGGAGTGATAAATGCAATAAAAACCAAAGAGACGATATCATTTTCCTTGTATAGTATGCTCCTTTTATATACTTACATACATCCAAGTATATGCTCGTAGTACATATATTTGGCGCAGCCCTCCTCCCCTAACGCCCCTCGCCGACAACTGCTGTCTTTGTTGTTGCGAGCGGTTTGATTAATGGCAGCCATTGCGGCGCTGAGTGATGAGAGGCTTTGACAGTGGGCCCCCACAGTCACACACACACACAGACACACTCCGACACCCGCATATACATGCATTAAAGACACTTTATTATAGTGGTGAGGAAAACTAAGTTGCCCGTTGCCTGCGCTCAATTTACGTTTTACGAGTCCTCCCCCGATTTAAAGAGCGCCGCCGCACTGAAATCAATCAATGCGCGTTGCCCCGAAGTGTCTGCAATCAACGGCCGCCCAACATTGGCAGTGGGGGGCGGACAAAATGGAGCGGACCGAGTTGACTGCAGCGCCCAACTGTCATCAATGTTTATGAGCGCCTGTAATGACGACAACATTGAGAATAAGGAGCTTTAGCAAAATGTCGGCACAGCTGCTTATTATGTCGCGACTACCGCACAATGTGACAGTTTAGCCATAAAGCTGGGAAAAATTGAAATTAAGTGGAAATAATAGATGGAAACTAGCACAAATATTGACCTATTATGTCGGATAAAAATTAAAAAGTGATAATACTAATAATTCAAATACTTACAGCTGTCAAATCAATACACTTCACTCAAGTTTCTCCGCAGTTTCAGAAGATGATAAAGTCTGGATTATTAATTGCCGTTCTATGTTGATAAATATGTTTCCACCTGTTGATAAAAAGTAAACAATATTAGTCATGAATAAATTATATTATATGTATAAAAAAAGAATGACAATAATGTTATTGTTTAATGAAAATACTTACAGTTAATTTATTATCCAGAAACCACAAGTCAATGAGGGCTTTACATAAGTATTCCGGTATCTATGCTGGAATAATAAACCTATACACTCAAAGGCAAATGTTTCTGAACCAGGCTTATTGAAGAAATTAATAATGTAAAGTTTTCCACCTGCACGTAAAACATCAAAAAACATGTATTAAGACGTAGGTTATAACGCAAAAGTAATAAGGATAATGACTGGGCTTTTAATAATGAAAAGTCAGTATGACTTGAAGAATTAAATGCACTTACACTACTTACATTTATATCGTCAGATTACGGAATGTAAATGTTTAAATAGGATTAATACAGAATCATTAAACTTTGGCTTTCACTGACCTCCGTATGGAGTTGTATCCGTCTGGGGTAAAAGAAAGAGCATAAAATATACAAATATAGGTATTAGCAGCAATTAGAGAAGATGAATTTAAATACATATAATGATGATGAGCAGTAAAGATTGGAGTCCAAGAAAATTATGAATTAAAACTGGGAACTGTGGCACATTTTAAGAGCCTTTCCTAAGGATTGTTGCATTCTTGCAATGGATAGGACTATTTAACTAACTATTTACGTTTCAAATTTCGCAGAAGATGTCTATTGAATAATAATGCAAATAAATATACTAGAGGGAAATAAAAGCACTTACCTATAGTGATAGACCAGCGAATTAGTCCAACTTGTTTCTAACTGACCACAATGATCGCCAAAGTGAAAAAGATCGATCAGAGAACTAACTTAAATAAGTAGTGATGAAGCCGAGAAATAGTCTTAGTGTGTTCTGAAAGAAAATGTTGGAGTAGTAGAGATAGATAGAGAGTAAATGCCGTGTGTGGGAGTGTTAAGATTAACAAAGCACCCAGCTCCTGCTGATTATCTGCCCACATCAAACTGACCTAGGCAGGCTGAGCTAGAAACGAATGCTAATTTAAAGAGAAGAGAATGCTACACTCGAGTAATTTTCTGAACAAAGAAGAAAAAGTTCAGTTGAGAGGGAGAGAGGGAGAGAGAGAGAGAGAGAGTTTAACGCATTTCTTTGAGTGCTCTTAAAATTGTATTTGCTTTAGCGATCAAAATGGCTCATGAAATACTTCGAATTATCGAATTCTCTGCCTGAGCCGTAAGCCTGCGAACAATTATGGCTTTCTTATCAGGTGTGCACTACAGTTGGTTTCTTTTATTTATTTTATTCACGCGTCGTCACAGCCGTGTTTGTTGTTTGTGCCCTTGTTTCCAAGTTCGTTTTGCAGCGTGTGTGTGTGCGTGTGTGTGTGAGAGTGTTTGCTTGTGTATAATCTCCCAGGCACATTTTGTTGTTGCTTTTCGCTCTCTGAAATATTTCGTTACAGTTATTGCTTATTGCTGCTCCAGACGTTATTTTTCTGAGTCGCTTCTAACGTTTTTTCCTTGTGCTGTGCGCTCTGGAATTTCCAAATTAACTCCAGTGCTAAATTTTAAATTGTTTAAGTGTCGTGAGGCAAAAAAAACACTCTTAAGGCTGCTCAAGGATGCTGGGCTCACTGATCGTGACTACGACAATGTAAAAAAAGGCCAAAAAAAGCTGCGACGGCTTGAAATAATCATGCCTGGCATGCACCATTTTCCAATTTGATTTTTCCTAGCTTATAAGGTTATCTAAGATCTTTTATATTGTTTTTCCTATGCCAAGATTCTGTTTGTCGACAAAAAATAAAATCAAAAGTAACAAAAAGAACTGCGACTCACAGCTGTATTTGCTTTACTAACAACTAACCGATCCAGAAATGAATGAAGACATTACGTTAAATTAGCATCGTATTTGTGCCCAGTATTGACGATACTATGTAGCGGTGGATCAAACAAAAAATAAAGCTCATATTTCCTAGGGCTAGACGTATTTTGTGGCCCTTTCACTTGCTCCCAAAAAGTGTATCGCCACTAAACTTGTATCAAGGATATCTTATGAGCAGTCATGGAAAAGGCCAACAAAAAGATGCAATTTATTGGGGTAAATGGACAGAATGGCCCACAGTGTGTCAGTGAACAATTGTAGGAGGAATGGGCGGGTGTTAGGCTGCAAGTGAGGTATAGCGTAATCAAAAGACACGCAGCCTCATCAACTTTTTCCCAAAAGCGTGGGTGGGTGGGTGTTTCGGTGGCTGCAGACAGCAACAAAAGGCAATGAGCCGTCGTCAATGCTTTAGAACATATAGAAGTAAAAAAGAGCGATAATGAGTGCGTGGTCCCGCTGACCCAAATACATAAAAAAAAAAAATAAACACCATCGGGCAGTTGGGTAGTCAAGCTATCCGGCGGTCGGGCAGTGCGGCAGTGGGGAGGAACAGCGAAAATATGCTCGCTGTAATTGTGCAGAAACTGAAAAAGGCAACAAGCCATAAAACGTCATAAACCAGAGCCAGGCCAAATGCCTGAAAATTGAGCTGTCCAAGACAGCAACCGCCCAGAACAGGCCAACTACCACGCCCATCCCCCGCCATGGCACCAACCATCAACTGCAATCCCGATAAGTCCGCCCACTAAAGCGAGGCCTCTGTTTTTTGTTTCATTTGAAGGCCCCCACTTAAATTTGAGTTTCCATAAATGCGTAAAGGTCGTTGATTTCTTTTTGATCCCCTTTTCAAAGCACACCGCAGGATAGGTCGAGTTTGAAGGGTCCAGTTATGGTTGCCGCTATGTGACCGGCTAATGACTATCGAATGCTAATGAAGAGACCTTCTTGGAAGATACACACATATACAACAGGCAGATGTCTTCCTATCCATATCCATTGCCCCCAAACAATTTATAGACATGAAAAGCCACAGCAATATAATTATTATGAACGTTTCTCAATTGTAGCTTGAACACAACAACAAAATTTCCACTGATGTAAACCCTTGCTTTTAGTATTACTTCATTGTATTTCCTAATTTTTACTGACGTGTCGCTCCCCAGACAAATGAATGAATGTGACGTACTAGGTAGGAGTACTGTACTCTCAGAAATATGAATGCTTATCCATCTGATTTCAACAACTTTACTCTACTACATACATATAGTATGTATATACTAGGCAAATAATTTTGTTCTTGAAAGTGTGTTGCCCCACTTTTCTACATTACGGAATAAGAAGAATCGTGCTACGTCGATTAGATGATCAAAGCAAAACCCAAAAGGAACTGAATAATAGGAGGGAGTATATCTCGATTGAGCTCTATTGCCACGTGCATGCGAAAGTCTTGAAATTTGTGGATATTCAATCAGCTTTAAGAGTGAGGACTTACCTACACACTTTCCTTGTCTACAACAGCAACACTTTACTAATTTTTCACCATTTCATCACTTTTCTATTTTTTAATTGATCTATTTTAATAATTTATTTTTTAGCTTCGCGTGTTGACTAAATGAAATCTGAGCGTCGAATGAGCTGTGCTGTATTTTTTATTGGCCCGTATGTTTGACATCTGACTAAAGGCTCATGGCATATGTGATTTAAGGAAATGCGTATTTCATTTGATGGAAACTTTTGAAAATCTTGTCACCAAGAAAAATATGCCAATCATATTTTGATTAATAATTAATGTGGTTGGTTCATTCTTCCCGCGAGAATATGCGACGAAAGAAGTGAGACCAAAAACACATTAAAAAAGGAAATGCAATGAAAGGAAAGATTTCCAGCGCAATGTTTTCCATGGCTGATCACAACACTGTTCGTATCAATAAATAAATATGTATTTGTATATGTAAATATATCTAATGTACGATTACCTGTTATGTTAGTAAGTCTCCGGACCACGGAAGAGACCGAAAGGCCCAAGTAAATATTGAGCTTTGTATATGTATTTAACGTATTAAGAATCAGGTACAAATTTCGCTAAGATAATACCAACTTTACGAAAAGTTGTGTCACTTGTATTTCAGAAAATACAGAAAAATAGTTTCTAGCACAAAATCAACTAAATATTTGCACAGCTAACTTATGATGAATTTGATTGACTGTTCGTGGAACACATGATTTCTTAAACAGTCATCTCGATAGCTTTCTAGATAAAATGTCATGTTTATCGACAGTTTGACAATGTCTGAAAAGCCAGACAGATCATTCCTTCCTGATGAACATTTCAAAGGAACTCCTCGAACTTTTGCTTTGTAGACATCATTCACAAGAGTCTTAACTAATTCACTGTAATTGCAAGTTATCGTAAAGGATAAATCTTAAACACATATATATTTCGTTTATGCATCATAAATTATCAAAAGTCAACAAGTCTATCTTTAGATATGAGTATGATATGTATATGTATGTGTGTGAACCTTTTGGGGCCCAGTAATATACTGAGCCGGCACAAAACATAGGAAACAAATACACCAAACTAGTCTACCAAAAATATACTAATATCGATATATGTATGTATGTATGCTCTACATGTACATATATGTATGTACATAGCTGTGACGTTTAAAGAAACTGCGGAGATTCGTTACACGTGACAATGTTTTCATGCGGACTAAATTTACATTTCACGTTACTAAAGCGACTTCGTTGGAGCATCGAAAACTACACACCCTGCTAGTTTTCATTTAAAATCCATACTAAAGGGTATATGTACATAATCTTAAAGCGGTGCAATGTGGCTGCCATACATCGTTTTTTATAATTCTCCTTAGGCTCCACACCTAACTAAAAACATTGTGAAATAAATTAAAATTGTTGTTCATTTTTTTTAAATATGAAGGTTCTTATATAGGAGGATCGATTCTCGCTGCCCCATCCCAACATTCCCAGGCTACTCCTTTGGTAGTATAGCATGGTAGAGATCCAAGCTCATAATTAAAAAAATGTTTAATATAAAATTTTCATCAAAATTTGTTGGCTTCATCCCATAAATTTTATAAAGAATAATAATTGATTTTAGTGATTTTGATTACAAATGGCACTCAATATATAACTTGCTTGTTTCTATAATTACTAATTTAAAATGCTGTGCAAAAAGTTATGTAAAACTGAAATGAAATATGATTGGCAAATTCTTGTATATAAGATACAGTCAACTAATTAGTGCAATGGGCTGAAGCTTTATTTGTGAAGTATTTTACTTGGATTGGAAAACTAATGTCTACATAAGCTAATTTATTTCTTCAAAATAGTTCTTCTATTTCAATAGAATTGTTGTAATAGTTACTGTATTAATATTTATACTTTCTTTTCGATAAACATTGAAACGAATTGAAATAATTTGAACAATTCTTCCAGCTACAATTTTATTACTTAAATTTTTTTCTTGGATAAAATTATTGAACCATCGGCAACTTTAACACCAATTGGTCATCAGTGACATTGAAGTTATGAATGTCAGTTTTTGAAGACATTGAATTTGATTGGTATGTATAAATTAATCAACTTCGATTTCTAGGTGTTGAAAATCGAGTTGTTTTACCATTAATTCCCCAAATTCGAATTTTAGCAACAGCTGCAAATGTACACTATGCCGAAACAAAAGCTTATGGATCATAAAATATACACCTAATTCTGATTTTACACGGTTTGAAAATCAACAAGTAAAAAAGCTAAAGTCGGGTGTCCCGACTTTGAAATACTCTGTACATATGTTTACAATAATTATAGAAAATAAAAAAATTAAGAAAATAAAAAAAAAATTTGATCGATTTTACCTCTCTCGGTATTCGAACTCACGTAAAGGGTGTATAATTGCACATTTACATAGCAATTGCGTCTGTGTGAGTGTATGTATGCCTATGCGCATCTATTCGTGTCTGTGTAAGCATTTTCGCAGTCAACCAAACAGCAACATCAACAACAGCCGCGGGCAGCGCTTGAGCAGCGCTGCAGCAGCGCTGCATCAGCAAATATATTTATGGCTATAACTTCTTGTTAAATCGGTCTATCATAATGAACGGACACGGACATAATGAACGGAAACATACGGACACATAATAACCAACTGGAGGTATTTCCAAAATTTTAGTTCGAAATTCCAAGAATTACGGGAGTTACGATTTGCGGGGTAGAGGGGGGAGGGAGGGGAATTCCAAAATATACATTTTCTGCGTATTCACATAAGGCATCTGGGACTAAAATTTGGTGTTCCTAGGTCTTATAGTCTCCGAGATATAGGCGATTATACGAATGGAAAATCGGGAAAACCCCCATAGGGGGGAAGTGGGGGGGAAAATCAAAAAAAAATAAAACAAACTCGTATAGAATACACACATAACGCATCTTTGTGCAAAATTTGGTGTCTCTATCTCTTATAGTCTCCGAGATCCAGGTGTTCATACGGACGGACAGACGGACAGACAGACAGACAGGGCTAGATCGACTCGTCTCGTCATGCTGATCAAGAATATATATACTTTGTGGGGTCTGCCACTCCTCCTTCTGCCTGTTACATTTTTCAGCTCCCGCAAACCTAATATACTCTTGTACATTTCATGTACAGAGTATAAAAATTGCATATTGTATATTTCTTTAGAGATAAGGAACCAATCACCTACTCGTACTGTCTTTTTTTACACGGTTGTTTCTGGAATCAATCTACCGTGTAACAAACTAAATTAGGCGTGTTAGATGTACATATATGTATAAAATTAATCAATTTGATAAATATGTGTATATTAGAACGCCTTACAATTATGATTTTTGGACAGCTTTGCTCAGTTCAATATTAAAACAAAAATGCAAAGCTCTTTAAAACCGTACAACTATTGAATAATTATGGATGCTTTTGTGGCAACACTCACAGCTTTGTGAAAATCGATTATAAGTAGTCGATATATATAGACATTTACTTATTTATTTTTTTACTACCATATTTATGATGTGCATATATAAATACTTGTACATATATATATTAATATGTCGCGCGTATACATGATTGTGTTTGTACATACCGTTCGGTCACGCAGCCGCAATTTATATGTTCCTATTGTATGTATATATGTATGTATGTACATATGTATGTATTTAAACGTATGTACATTGTTAAACCGAATTCTAGTCTTAACGAACGTAATAAATATATAACATTTTAATTTCACACCTAAATGGTGTAGCCAGAACCAGAACTCATTAAAGCCGACGAGCTGCTCCCTTTTTTGAACGGATTCTACAAATTGAAGTTTCGTTGCGATGTATCGATATGCCTTTCTACATGCATCTTTACAATAAAAGACATTAGTGAAGAACAATCTTGCCAGTTTGAATTAGTTCTAGGCAGCGGCTACTAGATTTTGTCTGGAAACTGTTGGCGGTGTGGATATGCTCGTGGTCTTCGGGTTTTCTCTGAGATTGGTTCCTAAAAACTGCAGCTCGAGACGCACCAAAGGCGACTCAACGGCCAAATACATCAGTAATGAAAAGAGCAGCGTGATACCAAAATGCGACCAGAAATTCAGTATCTGTAAGAAGCGGCAGTTCCATTCTCCGAATCTCCTTCGATTAGTTGCTCACTACTCACCCCATCGTAGTTAGAGAAGTGAACGGTGTTCTGGATGCGACCCGCATGCGCCGTCTCCACAAGCAGATGCCAAATGTACATGCAATAGGAGAGCTTTGAAAGTGGCTGCCAGAGGGACCAGGAGAGAAGCGAGTTAATGATGCCACCATAGCCGTTTTGGCAAGCCCAGATAATCCAGCACAGGGCCAGCGACCAGGCTATGCGACTGCAGCATAAATAAAAGGCCCCAGCCAACGGTGTCATTTCTGCCATATTGGGTTGTGTGTATGGAAAGACGCCAAAGATCACGACGCAGAGTAGGGCCATCGCCAATAACCAAAGGCAGAGCACCAGCCACTTGGAGCAACGGCGACGGATGCGGCTCCGCTCGCTGTGCAGGAAATATCCGAAGAGCAGGCCAATCAGCCACGGCGTGGCGCGCACGTGAGTCGTGTAGTAGATCTTACGCATCTCTACGCTATCTGCGCCCAAATTTCTGTTGGATATGGAATACTCGAGCACACACAGGAGAGGCTAAACTCCTCAAACTCACCCGTCGCGATTGAAGACAACCAATCCGTTAAGCATAACGATGCTGAAGACGCAGGCAGAAAGCAGCAATATGATTACCACAATACCTGCCACCGCTTTGCGACGCCAGTGCCACAAGGGCAGCAGCAATAGTGGCGATAATATGTAGAGCTGCATGTCCACAGCCAAATACCAGCTGTGGCCCAGGCACTGCAAATCCGTAATTGAAACAATGAAGCATATTGTAATTTGAAAGGAGCGAAAGATGCATACCATGCGTCCTGGCGCGGCATAGTTCTGCACATAGAGCAGTGTGGCCCACCAAGTGGACTTGCACAGCTGGTACGAACTGGTCATCTCCTGCCACAATGGTCCGCTGTCTAGGCGCGGGAAGAGCGTGACGAAGAGCAGCACAGCCACGGCTAGGACGGGGGTCAAACGGACCAGGCGATGCAAATACATGAGCGGCACATTCAATTTGCCCGCGTTGCTGCAGATATTGAAGAAGATCAAAGTCGATTGATGTTTAAGGTACATATAATAACTCACCCACACTTACCGATCCAACTCACGCATCGACACCAAGACCAGCAACATGCCGCTGAGCATAAAAAAAGTGTCCACTGCAGTGGAGCCGCTCTGCAGCAGCATGGAGAAGGGTGTCTGGGCCCAGCCAACTATCTTGTAGCTATTGATATTGGGTAAGATCAGCATAAACATAAAGCCGTGTCCAAAGATGATCCAAATAATGGTCAGACACCGAATGCCGTTTAGACAATAAACGACATTTGAGGACCCACGATATATATGCTGCAGCTGTTGAAGATTCGGTCGCAATGCAAAGGCGCTTAGCCAAGGCAATGGAACTAGGGCAAGTGGGTATAATATTTAATTAAATCAAGCAAGTATCGCATTGTCTAACAGCCTTACAATTGCTATAGTCCAGTATGGTGCTAAACAACACAAGGCAGCCGAAAAATATTAGTAAAGCTCTGAAATATATTTTTAATTAGTTTGACTAGCAATACAAACGCAGTCAATTAGGTAACAGGATCAGAGAAGATGAACCGTTGATGGCAGTAAAGACGTAGTTAGACATTTTTATACCCTGTACCCGTACGGTAAAAAGAGTATATTAGGTTTGTGCAAAATATGTAACAGGCAGAAGGAAGCAACTCCGACCCCATAAAGTATAAATATTCTTGATCAGCATGACGAGAGAAATCGATGTAGACATGTTCGCCCATCCGTCTGTCTGGATGAACGCAAGGATCTCAGAAACTATAAAAGCTAGAATAACCAAAGTTGGTATCCAGATTCTCCTAGGTCCGAGAAATGACGAGTTTATTTTATTTTTTGGAATTTGCCCCTTCCCACTATACAGAATTTCGTCAATACTGTCCACATTTCAAAAGCTAAAACTTTACGTACGCCATCTATGTGCAGTTATCTACTTTATTTTAAAATTTCATCTAAATTGGTTAATGCAAAGAATTATTATTATTAGCGAAACAATTTCACTCCGGTACTACGCCCACAAGATGCAGCATCAAGTTCGCTCTTATTCTTGCTTTTGCTTCTGCTAGAGGCGCATATACCTTAGTGTCGGAAGTTTACCTGGGTACAGGGTATTTCACTGTCGGGCTTGCTCGACTGCAGCGTTCTCCCTTGTTTACCCCACTTTAATAGCCTGTGATGTGCCCCATCATCATTGTGTGTGCTCTCCTAGCCGTTTTTATAATACGATCACTGTTTCTAAAACATTCCCTAGCTTTTGAGACCTTGGCTCTTTCCATTTTAGGATGAGATGATCCCTGCCCTTAGCCCTACATACTTACACAGCAAACCAATCCAGCCCTGTCATCGGCGCCTTGCGAGCAACAGCACAGTTTGATTCATCAACCAGTGTGGTTATTTGGGTCGTGCGCTGCTCCATCAGCCAATTCACATAGTCATTTAGCCATATGTTGAGCAGTCTGGCGCTGCATAAAGCTGGTATGCAAGTGCCGATGCGGAGAGAGAGGGAGTTGAGAGCCGCCGATGGCAGTGGCATGTCAAAATGGATGCTTGCGAGGCAATACTTTGTATCGCTGTTCGTATTCCCTAGGAGACACGACTCATAATTGCCCATATCCACAAGGTGGCCGTAGAGCAAGCCGCTGGGCAGCTTCCCCCAGGCATCAAGTACTAAAGAAAAATGGCGACAAAATCGTTAGAAACAGATAATTACTACTTTTTACTTCTACTCTACCCCGTAGATCTTCCAGTTTGTTTTCAACTGCTCCCTTTAACACTTGTTCGAGGTACCACATGCAGTTCGAATCGTCATCCGAAGGAGAGATAATGCTGCTCCCATTCAGTGCATGTGTCAGCACCTCGTATCCGAAATTGCTGCGATGCCACCATTCCAACAGGTTCTGTTCCGCAAAGGATTCTGCACCGATGCCAGCACTCACAAGCCCCAATAGCACCCATCGCAAGTAATGCATCTTTCCTAATGCCTGTCCAGGGACATATGAACGATTTGGGGCGCTCACGTTAGCTTTTATACTGACTTGGGTCCGCTGCTCACTTTTCTAATCAGAAGCCAGAAAGCAGCAACAACATCTGCTGGGGCCCACTTGGCACGTGGGAGAAACTGCAGCATATTGGGGCGCTCCGATAAGAGAACCATTGGCAAAAGCTAAAGCAATTGCCATCCACACGAACGTCTAACAATCTGGCGCCGATCTTTATCGTGTGAGGGACTTTGAAAGTGAAATACAAGTATTTGAAAGTGTTATTTGGGTGCATTGGCCGATAACCCAACCAACACTATCACCTACACACATATTCAATATTTCAATTTACTCGTGTATATGTAATTATATAGTTACTATATGTATAACGTAAATCGGCCATTACCTGCGCAATTTGTAAATTCTCCCAATGAAGCTGTTTATGAACTGGAACCACCCCGAATATTTAACGGTTCGTAAATGTTGCAACATTTTTCGGATTGGTATTCAGGTGGTATGAAGCTGTACAGATTATACAACAATCTTGATTGTTGTAACAAAGCAATTTATTTTTAGGTCCGTAATCGTCTTGAGGAAACGAGAGCTTTTTCCCAAACACGCCACATAAGTATTAGTTCGTATCATGCTGGTAGGATATTGGCGGAAATCTTATTCCCATCAAGTATAGTCTCTTTCACACACTTTTACACTTGCCACGAAAATTATAATATCTTATACACGCATTTTTTTTGGACTGTTCTTATGTTAATTGCATTCCAACAATGACTGCTTGTCAGAATCTTCCCAACCATAATCGTCTTGTCGATTTATAATTTTCACAATTGGAGCAACAACCGATAACGTCACCTTCAACGGATACGACGATATACTCGTACATACGAACGTATTGCTTGGCTCCGCTGATATTTGTGGTTGCTCTTGCCGTTGCCATTGAAATCACATCAATGCCAATGGACTAATTATATTGGCACTAAAGTACTACACTTATGTACGTGTATACATATGATACAGTAGAAACGCTTTATAATACAAGTATAGTATAATCAAAAGCAGGGCGACAATTCAAACTGTTATACGAGTTAAGAGCTTTCAAGTTCTCGCACACATTTCGCATAGCGTCGTTCTAGCCGAATTGCTAACTGATTAAAAATTAGAAAGCGTCATGGATTTGTACTTCAAGTGGGGCACCACGTGAGTCATACTGTTTGTTTATATTTCCAGACGATATAGGCTGTTCAATGATAAATTTATCTTAATATAAGCTTCATTGATTACCATCAAATAATTTAAATACCTACAGCCCTAAAAAAGTACCCATACTCTTATCGCCTACAGTTTGTAGGCTCACACTTTAATTTCTTGAAACACAGCCATTAATGCCACTTATAGGTTTTAGAACCAATTGAGGCTTCAAAGACAAGGGTTATCAATATTAATATCTTCTACCACTACTGCCTACGTAAATCGACCAAGCTCCTAATCAAATTCTTCATATTTTATGGTTGTCAGTACTACTGACACAGTGGTGCTGACATTGGAACTTTTATAAGGGGAGCTATTATGACTTTATACCTAACCCTATTATTGAGTTAATCAGCATTATATAAAAGCTATAAAACATTGTTTCACCAATCGGAAACTTTTCCCTGACACAATTTTCTGAAACCTACCGATAACATGTAGGATTAATCATACTGAAGATCAGGGTTGGTCACAATAGTCGATTGTAACGCCACATTTCGAACCCAGGCATACGTATTAAAAATAGGCCAGGATTATGAAATATGTAAAAAAAAAACGTTGATTTAATAATTAAATATTATTAATAGATTTAGATGATACATTAATATAGTTATATATTTAATTATAGTAATAGAATTGTGAGGCTTTACGAGCTATTGTTTTCCGTTTTCGCCAATTTCCACTGGGGCCGGTAATTTCGGCTCAAGAGGAGGTGCTGAGTCCACGCTATCTGAAACAGCCACCTTGGCTTCAACGGGCGCAATGGGCGGAGATCTGGGCCTTCCACTAGGCAGTAAAAGGCCCTCCAAACTACCAAAGGGAGCCTCAACGAGATTATACATGAGGTAGGCCATCAGCACTGTGAAGCCGAAGTCGGCCCAGAACCGCAACATCTACAAAGAGATAAACGTTTGACTGCGCTCCTAAAAGTGCTCCTTAGGCTCTACAACTTACCAGATCGTAGTCCGAAAAATAGGAGTTTGTGCGCATACGTCCCCAATTGCTTTCCGTTACAAATATGTGCCAAATATAGGCGCAGTAGGAGAGTTTGGAGAGTGGTTGCCACATGGGCGACGATAGGAAGCTATTGGCTAGACCACCATAGCCATGCATGCAGGCAAAGACCACCCAGCACAGGCCCAGGGGCCAAGCTATGCGAGTAAGAGTCATATAAAAGGCATCACCCAAATTGGTCAGTGTGGGTCCATTCGACTGGGAGAACGGATAGAGCGCAAAGAGCGAAGCCATGAGCAGGGCCAAAGAGAGCAGCCAACCCAGCCAGACACTGATGCGATTCAGTTTAAAGGATTTGCCCCGATTGAGGTGCAAAAAGTAGCCGAAAAGGAATCCAACCAGCCATGGCGCGGCGTGAGTGTGTGTTGCGAAATAAATCTTTATTTGTGAATTAGCCGGAGTAGACTTATTTCTGGAAGGAATAATTTGACTCGTAAAATATTTGATTCAAAATCGATTTATCAACAGATAAATTCTACGGATTCGTTCAAAATAATCTGGCATTACTACTTATTTTTTAGGATTTTTATACCCTGTACCCGTAGGGTAAAAAGGGTATATTAGGTTTGTGCAAAGTATGTAACATATATATTCTGAATCAGCGTGAGGAGAGAAATCGATCTAGACATGTCCGTCCGTCTGTCCGTCCGTCCGTCTGGATGAACGCAAGGATCTCAGAAACTATAAAAGCTGGAACAACCAAATTTGGTATCCAGATTCTCCTATGTCCGAGAAAGGACGAGTTTATTTTTTTTTTGAATTTTCCCCCTTCTCCCGCTACAGAATTTTGTCGCACACAAAATTTATACATAATTATCTACTTTTGTTTCAAATTTCATCTAAATCGGTTCATTCTAAGAAGAGTTATTAGCGAAACAAATTCTCTACATCACAACCCCCACAAACTGCAGCAACAAGTTCGCTCTTCTTCTTCCTCTCTTTGCTTCTGCTATGTGCGCATATAACTCAGTGACGGAAGTTAACCTAGGTACAGGGTATTTCACTGTCGGACTTGCTCTCTTGTTTTATTAGGAATCATAATGAGAGCTACGTACTTACATGATGTTCATGGAATATTTTTTAATGACCATTTCGCTGAAGAGGCACGCGGAGAGCAGAAGCATGAACAGGAATATACCAGCAGCAGCCTTTTTGCCCCACTTATAGAGCGCAAACAGAAATATGGGTGACAGGATGTACAGCTGCATATCCACGGCCAAGTACCAGGAATGCCCGATGCACTGAAAGGTCACAGACTTAATTGGTTATATGTTTGAAAGGCGATATCAGGCGTTGAGTTACTATCTCTGAGGTCGCATAATTCTGCACATATAGAAGGGTCCAGAACCACGTGCGTTCACAAGAGGAGTAGTTGTCAAATTTAAGAATACCCCAGAGTGGCCCATCGCCTAGATGTGGCTGCAGCTTCAGGCAGACGAGTATCAATAAAGCCAGCATGGGCGTAAGGCGCAAGTAGCGATGAAGATACATCAGCGGCACATTCATCTTACCTCTCTGTCTGCAGGATACAATCAGGTTTGTAATACCTTATTCAAATCTAATACAGAATACAACAGTTGCCTTACTTGTGAATTATACGCAGAGCGATCATGCAAACCAGCATGCCACTGAGAAAGAAGAAACTGTCCACTGAAAAGAAGCCATGTACAATAAGCTGAGTAAATGGTTGCTGCAGCCACTGTAAAAGAAGAGATTGCAATGAGCATCCAGAAAACCTAAACATTCTTCATACGCCGTACCTGGAAAATGTTAACGGTATTCACATTCGGCGACCTCCCGGCCATTATATAGTCATGTCCAAAGACCACCCACATGAGTGACAAACAGCGAATGCCATGCAAACAGTCAATGACATTGGGATTGGTTTTGCTGTCCACGATACGAAACAGGGCTCTGGAATTGACGCGTGCCGAAAATACCTTGACCAGGGCAGGCATTTCATCTGAAATTAAAAAGATTACGGAGTTCAGACACGCAGCAGAACGCTAATTCATCATTTCCTCACTTTGGTTGGAGCACAAAAAGTAGTCGTAGAGCGTGGCCAAAACCAAGGCTGTTCCCAGGATTGCCAGAATGACTCTGGAATTAGACGAATATAAGTTTAATGCCCTTCTGATATAAGCTATTCTATAGTACAAGGTGCGTTCCATAATAAACAGGAATTTTTGAATCTAGCGCCCCCTGGTGGCGCTATCTATAGGTCGACTGGTGCGTTAGAATCTGCTATCTTTATCGATTGTCCAGTTTCATGACATTGCATCGATTGGAAGTGAAGTTATTGCGTTTTAAGTGTCAGCATGTTTGTGTTATCGGTCGGAAAATGAGCTTCGAAAAAAAGAGCCAACATTAAATTTTGTTTTAAAATTGGTAAAACTTTTACCGAAATTGATGAAACAAGTTTATGGCGATGATTGCCTATCCCGTAGCAAAGTGCACGAGTGGTTTCAACATTTTCAAAGTGGTTGTGAGGACATAAATGACGATCAACATGTGGGCCAATCAAAATTCGTGATCACCGAAAATTCCATCAAAAATCAACCGAAATCATCATTGAAATTGATGGAAATGGAATTGAATATCTCCAAAACATCGATTTATCGCATTTTGACCGAACATTTGGGCTTACGAAAGGTGTGTGCACGGTTTGTTCCGCACAAATTGACTGACGACCAAAAATTGCTCAAAAATCAACTGATTGTGACCGATTATTTGACCAAAAATCACATTTTAACCATTAACCACTCGCCGTATTCACCTGATATGGCACCGTGCGACTTCTACCTTTTCCGAAAAATGCACTTGTCCATAAAAGGAAAGCGTTATGCTGACGTTGATGCCATCCAACAGGCGGCGACCGCCATCCTCAACGCTATACCGACAAATGACCTAAAAAAGTCGTTCGATCACCTTCTTGAACGTGCAAAACGTTGTATTCAGGCGGAAGGAGACTATTTTGAAGGCGACCAATAAATTTTTCAAAAAAAAAAATAGTTTTCGTTTTTTAATAAAAGTCCTGGAACTTTTGAATTGGACCTTGTAGTTCTGTGTATGGTTTATGATATGCCCATAAATGTTAAGGTTAGATAACGATAAGTCTCCATTATATCACTTTTCTCGACAATAATATAAGGATCATAACGAGCTACGACTAGGTGGAAGGTTCAACTTACATGGTAAAAATCGCCCATCCATCCAAAGGCTCACGCTCAGCCGTCTTACAACTTGTATCCTTCACCAGTTGTCCACTGAATTCCACATTCAGCAGTCGTTGGATCAGCTGATTGATCAATATATTCATGTGTGTTCCCGTACAGGAGGAGGGAAAGCAAACAGCAATCTTCACGTTGTACGGAATAGAACTCATCCCCAATGCCTTGGCCACGGGGAGCGAAGCGAAGCAATACTTGCCCCTCAGTTGTTGACTCGAGCTGAGTGCGTGATCGATTTTAACACACTCATCATAGTTGCCCAAATCTCTGTAGTTACCATACAGTAATCCCGAAGGCAGCGAACCCCAAGCATCGAGCACTAAAGCAAACCGTTTAATATAATAAATAGAAGGCATCTCCCTTCTTAGGGGCTGCTCTACGTACTTCTCATTGCCCAAATGTTGCCGGAGGACAAACCTTCGGTCACAGCTTTTAGTTCGGCCAGACACTTGAGATCCTGCGCACTGGGAATGCGTAACCGTGCATTGTCTGGCATTAAATCTTGCAGTGTAATATTTTGGAAATGACTAAAAAATTTTGCGCTCAGCTGGCGAAGCTGCAGAGTTCTCTGGTAGTCAGAGGAGCTGAGCTCCTCCTGCTGAGCAGCCACAGCGGCAACAAGCAGCAACAGCGGCAATAACTTGGTACTCCACTTAGCCATAGTCGTTGGCCCTTGTAACACGTCTAGGTGTTTGAATAGCCAGCCACCTGTTGTCATTTTATATACCCGAATTCGATATGTCTGGCTCTGATAAGGTGCTACTCAAGTAGCTCTTATCATGGCGCTACTTTGGCTAAATGCTTTTGTTTTTTTCCTAATCTACAATGGGCCAAGATGAATTGCATGAGACCGGCGCGTATGTAGATAATCATTGAAAAGGTTCAAGATAGGTGAGTAATGCCTTATGGTCAATAGTTTATGGTGGACTCTATGAGTCAGAAAGCTGGCGATCTTAAGATAATAACATTGCGGTCGAGTTTTTAAATTTCAGGAACAAAATATTTGCAAGATGTTGATATTCATATGTAGTGTATGTCTTAGGAATGCTGCAACACCCATCATAGGCATCCAAGGCGAACTTTTCATTCACGAGAATTTTAATGCTTCGACAAAACCCCGTTTAAAGTGAACTTAATTAGTCTAATATTTATAGAGTTATGCAATGCATACAATTAGCTCTAAGGCACTCAAGCTCAGACCGGCTTTGTCCCTATGTAGAGATGTAGTCACGTTGTTAGAGTCTAACTGAAAAAAGATAATCATAAATCAAGATCGAAATTAAAAATGTTTAAAATATACACATATAGTAGTAGGTACTCAAAACTGTCGGTAGCGGACGTATCGGTTAGCTTGGAATTGTGGAACTTCTGAAGTCACATGCTAGAGCAATGAAACGAGCAACTGAAACGGCAAAAGAAACACGGCCTTTAAATAGACCAATATAGATAAAAATATTGGACGAACATCTCAAAGTCTTGCGAGCAGAACATTTGTATAAGCCGGCCAATACCTATTAAACGATAGCTTGAACGATTTTGCAATAAATTCCTTGTTCATAAAGCTTTTTCCACCCATTTTAATATATGGTTGTATTATTATTTGTATAGATTTTTCAAATTTGATTTGCGATTTTTATTTACTGAGACGACAAACATACTTGTAAAATCAGACTGCCGACATACGATGTCCAAATGCAAACGTTATGATAAAGCTATGAAAGTCAAGTAAGAAAATCGAATGGATCTTGTTTTGTTTTCTAATTAAAAAACTTCTAATGAAATTTCATTAATAAGTACATATCTAATAAACGCCTCTTATTCGTGGGGGCAATTTTATTTGTCATCCGAACAGCAATGTCTTGGTTTGATTTCATATTACAACATTTATACAACATAAATACAAAACAATAAAGGATAAGCATGTACATAGGAACTCTGGCAGCCCTATCAGCTGTTTCCCCGATCTCGCTGTACATTGTAGCTTGAGCAATTCGCTCGAACTCAGTCTCTGACGAGTCATCGAATAAATAAGACGTATTTTGTAATTGTGCCAAGTGTTGTGTTTTCCGCTACGTTTTGTCTTCCACAATACATACTTGAGTTTGAACTAATTTATCATATAGAAGGGATTGGAACTATCAATTTAAGTTATGTAAGTTATTTTTTAAATGCATCGTGCATTATTTAATCAACATTTTAATTTGTTGGTCCCCCCTTTGGTAAAAGCTGCCTACGCCCTTGTCTCAATGCAATAGAGATTTATATAGTATTTGTGAGGCTATTAATTATTATTAATTGATCGCTTGCTATACATAAATTTTCCACGTAATGCAATGCCAATTGATTAATTATATTGGCACTAAAGTACTACTCTTATGTATGTATATATGATATTGTAGAAATGCTATATAATTTATGATCATTAGCAGGGCGACCATCCCAACTGACTAGTTAAGGGCTTTCCAGTTCACGTACACATTTCGCATAACGTCGTTCTAGCCGAATTGCTAACTGATTAAAAAGTAGAAAACGTCACGCGCAATGATAAATTTATCTTAATATAAGCTTCATTGATTTCCATCAAATAATTTAAATACCTACAGCCTTAAAAAAGTACGAGTACTCTTATCGCCTACAGCTTGTAGGTTCACACTTTAATTTCTTGAAACACAGCCATTAATGCCACTTATAGGTTTTAGGGCCGATTGAGGCTTCAAAGGCAAGGGTTATCAATATTAATAGCTTCTACCACTACCACTACTGACGTAAATTGACCAAGCTCCTAATCAAATTCTTCATATTTTATGGTTGTCAGTACTACTGACACAGTGGTGCTGACATTGGAACTTTTATAAGGGGAGCTATTATGACTTTATACCTAACCCTATTATTGAGTTAATCAGCATTATATAAAAGCTATAAAACATTGTTTCACCTATCAGGAACTTTTCCCTGACACAATTTTCTGAAACCTTCCGATAAGATGTAGGATTAATCAGGGTTGGTCACAATAGTCGATTGTAAAGCCAACATTTCGAACCCAGGGATACGTATTAACAATAAGCCAGGTTTAAGGAATATGTAAAAAAAACGTTGATTTAATTAATAATATTTAGATGATACTTAAATTTAGCTTGTGTTAATAAAAATAAAAAATAAAAATTATCTTAAGCCAATAAGCTTCGGTATCAATATTTACGAACTATTTAAGAGTTACGAGCTACTTGTATGGTTTTCCGTTTTCCCCGTAGGAGGAATTTCCACCTCTGGGACCGGTAATTTCGGCTCAAGAGGAGGTGCTGAGTCCACGTTCTCTGGAACCGCCAACTTGACTTCAACGGGCGCAATAGGCGGAGATCTGGACCTTCCACTAGGCAGTAAAAGGCTCTCCAAACTACCAAAGGGAGCCTCAACGAGATTATACATGAGGTAGGCCATCAGCACTGTGAAGCCGAAGTCGGCCCAGAACCGCAACATCTACAAAGAGATAAACGTTTGACTGCGCTCCTAAAAGTGCTCCTTAGGCTCTACAACTTACCAGATCGTAGTCCGAAAAATAGGAGTTTGTGCGCATACGTCCCCAATTGCTTTCCGTTACAAATATGTGCCAAATATAGGCGCAGTAGGAGAGTTTGGAGAGTGGTTGCCACATGGGCGACGATAGGAAGCTATTGGCTAGACCACCATAGCCATGCATGCAGGCAAAGACCACCCAGCACAGGCCCAGGGGCCAAGCTATGCGAGTAAGAGTCATATAAAAGGCATCACCCAAATTGGTCAGTGTGGGTCCATTCGACTGGGAGAACGGATAGAGCGCAAAGAGCGAAGCCATGAGCAGGGCCAAAGAGAGCAGCCACCCCAGCCAGACACTGATGCGATTCAGTTTAAAGGATTTGCCCCGATTGAGGTGCAAAAAGTAGCCGAAAAGGAATCCAACCAGCCATGGCGCGGCGTGAGTGTGTGTTGCGAAATAAATCTTTATTTGTGAATTAGCCGGAGTAGACTTGTTTCTGGAAGGAATAATTTGACTCGTAAAATATTTGATTCAGAATCGATTTATCAACAGATAAATTCAACGGATTCGTTCAAAATAATCTGGCATTAATACTTATTTTTTAGGATTTTTATACCCTGTACCCGTAGGGTAAAAAGGGTATATTAGGTTTGTGCAAAGTATGTAACATATATATTCTGAATCAGCGTGAGGAGAGAAATCGATCTAGACATGTCCGTCCGTCTGTCCGTCCGTCCGTCTGGATGAACGCAAGGATCTCAGAAACTATAAAAGCTGGAACAACCAAATTTGGTATCCAGATTCTCCTATGTCCGAGAAAGGACGAGTTTATTTTTTTTTTGAATTTTCCCCCTTCTCCCGCTACAGAATTTTGTCGCACACAAAATTTATACATAATTATCTACTTTTGTTTCAAATTTCATCTAAATCGGTTCATTCTAAGAAGAGTTATTAGCGAAACAAATTCTCTACATCACAACCCCCACAAACTGCAGCAACAAGTTCGCTCTTCTTCTTCCTCTCTTTGCTTCTGCTATGTGCGCATATAACTCAGTGACGGAAGTTAACCTAGGTACAGGGTATTTCACTGTCGGACTTGCTCTCTTGTTTTATTAGGAATCATAATGAGAGCTACGTACTTACATGATGTTCATGGAATATTTTTTAATGACCATTTCGCTGAAGAGGCACGCGGAGAGCAGAAGCATGAACAGGAATATACCAGCAGCAGCCTTTTTGCCCCATTTATAGAGCGCAAACAGAAATATGGGTGACAGGATGTACAGCTGCATATCCACGGCCAAGTACCAGGAATGCCCGATGCACTGAAAGGTCACAGACTTAATTCGTTATATGTTTGAAAGGCGATATCAGGCGTTGAGTTACTATCTCTGAGGTCGCATAATTCTGCACATATAGAAGGGTCCAGAACCACGTGCGTTCACAAGAGGAGTAGTTGTCAAATTTAAGAATACCCCAGAGTGGCCCATCGCCTAGATGTGGCTGCAGCTTCAGGCAGACGAGTATCAATAAAGCCAGCATGGGCGTAAGGCGCAAGTAGCGATGAAGATACATCAGCGGCACATTCATCTTACCTCTCTGTCTGCAGGATACAATCAGGTTTGTAATACCTTATTCAAATCTAATACAGAATACAACAGTTGCCTTACTTGTGAATTATACGCAGAGCGATCATGCAAACCAGCATGCCACTGAGAAAGAAGAAACTGTCCACTGAAAAGAAGCCATGTACAATAAGCTGAGTAAATGGTTGCTGCAGCCACTGTAAAAGAAGAGATTGCAATGAGCATCCAGAAAACCTAAACATTCTTCATACGCCGTACCTGGAAAATGTTAACGGTATTCACATTCGGCGACCTCCCGGCCATTATATAGTCATGTCCAAAGACCACCCACATGAGTGACAAACAGCGAATGCCATGCAAACAGTCAATGACATTGGGATTGGTTTTGCTGTCCACGATACGAAACAGGGCTCTGGAATTGACGCGTGCCGAAAATACCTTGACCAGGGCAGGCATTTCATCTGAAATTAAAAAGATTACGGAGTTCAGACACGCAGCAGAACGCTAATTCATCATTTCCTCACTTTGGTTGGAGCACAAAAAGTAGTCGTAGAGCGTGGCCAAAACCAAGGCTGTTCCCAGGATTGCCAGAATGACTCTGGAATTAGACGAATATAAGTTTAATGCCCTTCTGATATAAGCTATTCTATAGTACAAGGTGCGTTCCATAATAAACAGGAATTTTTGAATCTAGCGCCCCCTGGTGGCGCTATCTATAGGTCGACTGGTGCGTTAGAATCTGCTATCTTTATCGATTGTCCAGTTTCATGACATTGCATCGATTGGAAGTGAAGTTATTGCGTTTTAAGTGTCAGCATGTTTGTGTTATCGGTCGGAAAATGAGCTTCGAAAAAAAGAGCCAACATTAAATTTTGTTTTAAAATTGGTAAAACTTTTACCGAAATTGATGAAACAAGTTTATGGCGATGATTGCCTATCCCGTAGCAGAGTGCACGAGTGGTTTCAACATTTTCAAAGTGGTTGTGAGGACATAAATGACGATCAACATGTGGGCCAATCAAAATTCGTGATCACCGAAAATTCCATCAAAAATCAACCGAAATCATCATTGAAATTGATGGAAATGGAATTGAATATCTCCAAAACATCGATTTATCGCATTTTGACCGAACATTTGGGCTTACGAAAGGTGTGTGCACGGTTTGTTCCGCACAAATTGACTGACGACCAAAAATTGCTCAAAAATCACATTTTAACCATTAACCACTCGCCGTATTCACCTGATATGGCACCGTGCGACTTCTACCTTTTCCGAAAAATGCACTTGTCCATAAAAGGAAAGCGTTATGCTGACGTTGATGCCATCCAACAGGCGGCGACCGCCATCCTCAACGCTATACCGACAAATGACCTAAAAAAGTCGTTCGATCACCTTCTTGAACGTGCAAAACGTTGTATTCAGGCGGAAGGAGACTATTTTGAAGGCGACCAATAAATTTTTCAAAAAAAAAAATAGTTTTCGTTTTTTAATAAAAGTCCTGGAACTTTTGAATTGGACCTTGTAGTTCTGTGTATGGTTTATGATATGCCCATAAATGTTAAGGTTAGATAACGATAAGTCTCCATTATATCACTTTTCTCGACAATAATATAAGGATCATAACGAGCTACGACTAGGTGGAAGGTTCAACTTACATGGTAAAAATCGCCCATCCATCCAAAGGCTCACGCTCAGCCGTCTTACAACTTGTATCCTTGACCAGCTGTCCACTGAATTCCACATTCAGCAGTCGTTGGATCAGCTGATTGATCAATATATTCATGTGTGTTCCCGTACAGGAGGAGGGAAAGCAAACAGCAATCTTCACGTTGTACGGAATAGAACTCATCCCCAATGCCTTGGCCACGGGGAGCGAAGCGAAGCAATACTTGCCCCTCAGTTGTTGACTCGAGCTGAGTGCGTGATCGATTTTAACACACTCATCATAGTTGCCCAAATCTCTGTAGTTACCATACAGTAATCCCGAAGGCAGCGAACCCCAAGCATCGAGCACTAAAGCAAACCGTTTAATATAATAAATAGAAGGCATCTCCCTTCTTAGGGGCTGCTCTACGTACTTCTCATTGCCCAAATGTTGCCGGAGGACAAACCTTCGGTCACAGCTTTTAGTTCGGCCACACACTTGAGATCCTGCGCACTGGGAATGCGTAACCGAACATTGGCTGGCATTAAATCTTGCAGTGTAATATTTTGGAAATGACTAAAAAATTTTGCGCTCAGCTGGCGAAGCTGCAGAGTTCTCTGGTAGTCCGAGGAGCTGAGCTCCTCCTGCTGAGCAGCCACAGCGGCAACAAGCAGCAACAGCGGCAATAACTTGGTACTCCACTTAGCCATAGTCGTTGGCCCTTGTAACACGTCTAAGTGTTTGAATAGCCAGCTACCTGTTGTCATTTTATATGCCCGAATTCGATAGCTCTGGCTCTGATAAGGTGCTACTGTAGTAGCTCTTATCATGGCGCTACATTCTGGCTAAATGTTTTTGTTTGATAACCCTACCATTAAAGATGAATTGCATGGGACCGGCGCATATGTAGGTAATCATTGAATAGGTTCAAGAGCGCTGAGTAATGCGCCATGGTCAATAATTTTGGTGAACTCTATGAATCAGAAAGCAGGCAATCTTAAGATAATAACATTACGGTCTAGTTTTTTAAGTTTCACATTTTCAAGATATTGATATTCCTATGTCCAAGGAATGCTGCTCCATCAGAAGGCGAACATTAAAATACGCTGCTATTGCACGAAACTGAGCCTTTGTATTCAGGACAATGCGTGCTGTTAGCCCGAAAGCCCCGTTTAACTTAATTAGTCCTATATATAGAGTTATCCAACGTAAAAAATTAACTCAAACCCACTCAAGCTCCGACCGGCTTTGTCACTATGTAGAGGTAGTCCCGCTGTCTGACTGAAAAGACAATCATAAATCAAGATCGAAATTAAAAATGTACAACAAATACATATAGTATGTACTTAAAACTGTCATTACTGGACGTATCGGTTAGATTGGAAGTGTGAAACTTCTGAACTCACATGCTAGAGCATTGAAACAAGCACCTAAAACCACAAACTATTCTGCAGCACTTGCCCGTTGATCGGAAATGCTACAAAATTAAGAAACTGAAACAGCCAGATTCTAAAAGATTATCTTACCACTCAATTAGACACTCTTTATAAAAACGAAACACATTCTAGAGTGCAGAGTACAATCCAAATAGGATTGACAATGCATGATATTAAAAGAATGCTCTTCTGTTTCTGTTGCAGGAAAAGAAACACGGCACAGGTACTTGGTACATTAATGAGCTGCGAATTAATTAGAATATAAATCGATATGTCCTACTGTCCACTCTGCCGGTTTTTTTTATTCAATCTAAGTCTTGCAAGCAGAACATTTTTCTTTCTCACTGTTATGAGGATGCTTAGCATTTCGAATATTAACGCCTTCAATAGGGATTGAACGGCTATAAATCGGAAACATTTATTTACGTTGAATAGCTTCAAATAATATTGATATACAAGTATATTAGATGTAGCTCAATAGAGAATTATACTCGTAAAGTTATTGACGTGATTGAACGCATGTTGTAGATAAATTTTCCGTCTTCTGCAATTCTGCGAAGCTTCTGTTATCTGTAATTCAATAGGAAAAATTTGGCTATTTTTCCACTTATCAAGGCATCTGATTATTGAAATGTTCAGTAGAATTTTGTTCGATTCGCTTGATTTAAGGTGGTCAGTACTTATACGAGTGTAACTAAGATAATCAGTTTATCAGCCAAGCTTATCTGCCAGACGGTTTGAAAAGTCCATTTTGCTTATGGGGATGATGAGACAATATTATTGTTTTTAAAATTTCCTAGCCTGGCAATCTAATCGATCTTAATAGTATACAACCGAATTGTTACCGTTAACAACAGCGGATGCCACTCACTGGAGTAATCGTTGCTACAAAAATTGAAATAAAATTTATTATTACGCTAGCAGCACGTGTGAAATGGCCGGCAATAAAAATGGTAGCTAGACAGTATTATTGTACAAGGCCGATTGGACGGCCGAAATGCACTTTGCTCGACCAATTTTAGACAGATACTAAAATGGTTAAACGTCAACATCGGACTATAGAATTTCAGTGTCTAATCTGGAGTAGCAACAACATGTGTGATAATACTGTATCTCATCTATTAAAATGCTTGACACAGCCAGTAGTCACCTGTATGTCTCCTGAATTGACCAACTTACTTAACTAAGCTCGATTGTCAGCGCAGCTTAACAAGACTACTTAGCACAATTCCATAAACAGAGTAGAGGGCAATCAATAGAACTATTTATTTATTTAAATCAATCATTTTCCATTGACAGCAAATCGGATTCATCAGATTAGTAAGAACAAGAAAGGAATGCTGAAGTCGAGCTGGCTCAACCCTTAATACCTTGTACCACCAAAACTGTAATTAATTAATTTAATTAAATATAAAATATTTAACACATGCATACAGACATAAGTGTTTACAAGTATGTACAATTTTCAACAGCATACATTTACATCGAATCGTGTTCATGCGTGCTTGTATGCAGTAAAGAAATAAGTCAAAGCAGCAACCCCTGCCGGCAGAGCATGGGCAGAGATTATGTTTATGGCTATAACTTTCTTCATAATTAACCTATCATGGTGAAACATGGCATACAGACACATAATCACTATATGGATGTATTTGAGTACAAATATCCAAGAAATACGGGAGTTACGGGAATTATGGGAAAAACACGATTTGCGGGGGAGTAAGGGGTGCATCAGAAAAAAATACAAACTCGTCCTTTCTCGGCCTTAGGAGAATCTGGATACCGAGTTTGGTTATTCTAGCTCTTGTACTTTCTGAGATCCTTGCGCTCATACAGACAGACGGACGGACGGACAGACGGACATGGCTATATCGACTTGCCTTGTCATCCCGATCAACAATATATATACTTTGTGGGGTCTGCCACGCCTCCTTCTGTGTGTTACATACATGCGCACAAAGCTAGTACAAGGTGCAATTCAAAGGAGACAGGACTTTTTGAATCTACCGCCCCCTGGTGGCGCTATCTATAGGTCGACTGGTGTGTTAGAATCTGCTATCTTCATCGATTGGAAGTGAAGTTATTGCGTTTTAAGTGTCAGCATGTTTGTGTTATCGGTCGGAAAATGAGCTTCGAAAAAAGAGCCAACATTAAATTTTGTTTTAAAATTGGTAAAACTTTTATCGAAATTGATGAAACAAGTTTATGGCGATGATTGCCTATCCCGTAGCAGAGTTCACGAGTGGTTTCAACGTTTTCAAAGTGATCGTGAGGACATAAATGACGATCAACATGTGGGCCAATCAAAATTCGTGATCACCAAAAATTCCATCAAAAATCAGCCGAAATCATAATTGAAATTGATGGAAATGGAATTGAACATCTCCAAAACATCGATTTATCGCGTTTTGACCGAGCATTTGGGCTTACGAAAGGTGTGTGCACGGTTTGTTCCGCACAAATTGACTGACGACCAAAAATTGCTCAAAAATCAACTGATTGTGACCGATTATTTGACCAAAAATCACATTTTAACCATTAACCACTCGCCGTATTCACCTGATATGGCACCGTGCGACTTCTACCTTTTCGGAAAACTACATTTAGCCATGAAAGGAAAACGTTATGCTGACGTTGGTGCCATCCAACAGGCGGCGACCGCCATCCTCAACGCTATACCGACAAATGACCTAAAAAAGTCGTTCGATCACCTTCTTGAACGTGCAAAACGTTGTATTCAGGCGGAAGGAAACTATTTTGAAGGCGACCAAAAAATTAAAAAAAAAAAAAAATAGTTTTCGTTTTTTAATAAAAGTCCTGGAACTTTTGAATTGCACCTTGTGCAGCCTTTCACCCTTTGGGTAAAGGCTATAAAAATCAGATCTCCAGCTGCTTAGTGTAGGGTTTTTTTTTATTTCCTGTACCCCTAAAGGTCAAAGGGCAAACTATTTTAGTGCGAAAAATGATAAATGGTGTGATTGATTTGCCACTTCGCTATTTATTTTATTCCTAATTTTGTTCCTATAGCTTATGAGCTTCATAAAATACAATAAAAAAAATATAAAAAAAACAATGTCAAATTCGAATTTCAACCAGAAAGCAATTAGTTAGTATTGCTTGTTATGTGCACCTTGTCCTCATACGCAGATTTCTCTTCAAGTGGTGGTGCCATTTCTGTAATCTGCGGTGGTGGTGCCTCTGTCTCCGCCTCCAACTTCACTTCAGCACGCGCTTTGGGTGGCGGTTTTGACTTTCCACTGGGCAGCAAAAGGCTCTCCAAGCCACCGAAGGGAGCCTCGACAAGGATGTGCATGAAGTAGGCTACCAGCACTGTAATGCCAAAGTCTCCCCAGAAACGCAGCATCTATGTACATGACATGGAGATTGTGTTATTCATACGCGATAATAAAAAAAAGGAGAAGATAAAATCTGTTTAACTTACGATATCGTAGTCCGAAAAGTAGGTGTTGGTGCGCGTGCGACCCCAATTGATTTCCTCAACGATCATATGCCATATATAGGCGGAGAATGAGAGTTTCGAGAGGGGTACCCACATGGGCGAGGAGAGGAAACTATTGGCCAGACTCCCATAGCCATGCATGCAGGCAAAGACCAGCCAGCTGAGGCCCAGAGGCCAGGCAATGCGGGTCAGCGTCAAATAGAAGGCCTCCCCCAAAGGGGTTAACGAGGGTCCATCCCATCTGAAGAACGGATAGAGAGCGAAGATCGAGACCAGGATCAGGGCCAAAGAGAGCAGCCAACCCAGCCAAACAGTGATGCGATTCAACTTGAACTGCTTGCCCCGATTGACATGCAGAAAGTAGCCGAAAAGGAATCCAACCAGCCAGGGAGAGGCATGCGTGTGGGTTGCTAAGTAAATCTTGATCATTGAATCTGGTTGACGAACCAAGTTTCTGCAGGAAATTGAAATGTTTCATCGCATATTGTGTATAAATATAGGCATTTTTTTGAGGCACTTACGATGTGTTCATGGAATATTCTTTAATGACCATTTCACTGAAGAGGCACGCAGAGAGCAGAAGCATCAACAGGAATATACCAGCAGCAGCCTTTTTGCCCCACTTATAGAGAGCAAGCAGAAATATGGGTGAAAGGATGTACATCTGCATGTCCACGCCCAAGTACCAGGAATGTGAGATGCACTGAAAATGCACAGCAAAGGCTGAAAATACAAATCCGGAGGCATATAACAGTTATGAACTTACCAGATCTTGAGTCGCTGCTGCATAATTCTGTACATAAAGCAGAGTCCAGAACCAGGTGCGTTCGCACACGGAGAAATCGTCGAATGTTATGCTATTTATCAGAGGACCGTCAGCCATATAGGGCTTCAGCTTCATGCAGACGAGTATTAATATCGCCAACATGGGCGTGATGCGTAGATACCGATGCAGATACATCAGAGGCACATTTAACTTTCCCTTTTGTCTGGTAAATAAACACAGTCAGTCGAATGGTTCTTAATCAGGAAGCGCAAATAATGATTATTTTGTTTTTTTTTTTAAACGAAAAAATCATTCACTTATAGTAACTTTTGGAAAGCGAGGAATTTACTGGCATCCTTTTTTAAGGATTATGTATGTATTTTCACCATGATTTATAAATTTTAATTTGTATTCATTCGCTCACAATTTAATGGTTAATTTTGAGTTTTTATTTAAAAATTAACCAATAATCATTATTGATGAGCAAAAAAATAAAACTTATAAAATAATGATTTGAGTTTTTTTTTTTTTTTGATCAAAAATAAAACTCAAGCTGAAATTTTGTCTGTTTCAGAAGGATTAAGGACAAAATTTATATATATCCCTAATCAGTGAGTTAAGGCGAACATTTGTAATGATTGTCGGTTAATTTTTAAAGTAAAACTCAAAATTAATCATTAAATTGTGACCGAATTAATAAAATTAAAAAATAATCATTATTTTGAAATTGTTTTAATAACACTTATAATGATTACAGTCCCTGTTCTTAATAACTTAAAGTATGAGATGTCCAACTTACTTTTCGATGAGACGAAGAGCCACCATACAGACCAGCAAGCCACTAAGGAAGAAGAAGGTGTCCACAGAAAGAACACCGTGTATAAGGAGCTGAGCGTATGGGGTTTCCAACCACTGTCAATGCAGAGTAGGAAATTAGCAACTGAAATGCATTGCATTGTTTTTTTCTACATTCCACATACCCCGTAAAGCCTGACATTATTCAAATTTGGTGACACTATGCCGAAGAAATAGTCGTGTCCGAAGATCACCCACATGAGCGACAAACAGCGAATGCCGTGCAGGCAATCGATGACATTAGGATTTGTTTTGCTGTCCACAATACGGAACAGAGCTCGGGAATTGACGCGTGCCGAAAATACCTTGACCAGGGCAGGCATTTTATCTGTAAGATTAGATATTTATGATTAAGCCACAACAGGGCACATTTCCAAATAATCACCTTGGTTGGGGCAGAAGAAATAATCGTAGAGCGTAGCCACGACCATGACAGTGCCCAAGATAGCCAGAAGCACGCTGGAATCATGAAAACAAAATCCAGTTAATATTTACGAGAATATGGGAGACTTGGGACCTGATAAATCGGTGGATAGATCAACTTACATAGTGAATATGGCAAGGCCATCTAAAGGCGGAACCTCGGCCGTCATGCAGTTGTTATCTTTAACGAGCTGACCGCTCATTTCGATGTTAAGGAGTCGTTGGAGCAGCTGTTTCAGCAACGTATCCATGTGTGCGGCCGTGCAGGAAGCGGGAAAGCAAACGGCAGTCTTAACTGTAATTACTGATATCAACGGCAGCTCGGCCAGGCAGTATTTGCCCATCAGTTGCTGGTTAGTTCCCATGGCATGATTGATTTTAATGCACTCATCGACATTGCCCAGATCCATTGTATTGCCATACAATATGCCGGATGGCAGTGAGCCCCACGCATCGAACACTAGCAGGGTAAAGGGAGGGTAGAGAGTTAGTAAAAAAAATGTAGACTCTAAATGACTGAACAACCATACTTCTCATGGCCCAAATGCTGCCTGATTGCAAGCCATTGCTTACGCTGTTCAACTCAGCCAGACACATAAGATCCTGTTGGCTGGGAATACGCATCTGTGCCTGCGAAGGCATCAGATCCTTCAGCGTAATATTCTGAAAAAAGTCGAAGAACTCAACGCTCAGCTGCCGAAGCTGAAGGGCGCGCTGATAGTCCGAAACGCTCAGCTCCTGCTGCTGAGCAGCTACCGTGGCTAGAAGCAGCAGAAGCGGCAGTATCTTAGCCACGCTCTTGGCCATGTTCGCTAGCCTTCACAATACTGTGGATTGTCGGAATAGTCACGCGTTGCCATTTTATATATGCTTCAATTTCCGATAATCATATTGATAACGTTACTACAGACATTTGTAAGTAGCTATAATGATATCTGGCTGATTGGCGTTGTTCTTGCTGTAATCTATTATTGGCCACTGATTAATAAAATGGGGGATTGTCGACGAAATCAAAAGCAGTTTGTCCACAGTATATGTAGATCGCTTATTAGCCTCAAGTTATAAGGCACTTTCGACTTATTTGAACTGTATGAACCCTATTTATGGCACCCTTAATCTCTTTATTTCAATCATGCTGACTTAGCTGTGTACTGTATGTCTAGGAAATATCAAATGTGTGCACTTAATACAATACTTGAACTCGTATGTTCCGCATTCCCTCTGTAAAATAAAAATAATTCAAAAATTGCTGAAAACATATTTTTTATTGGAGTTTGAGTGAAAGTAAAATATTTAATTAAAAATTGAAGCATGGCTTCTATTCATAAGCTTTTATGAATCGAATGCTTAACTTAAAGCAGTGAAAGTATCAAAAAGTAATTTTTGTTGCTGAAAGAACCACCGATCCTATGATTTCAAAAGTTTGTCCATTATATCAAGCTTGAAGCCGTTGTTCGTTCACTCTAACGTAATCAGTTGGAAAATAATGAACACAATCAAGGTATGAATGTCCCAACAACTAAGTTGAACTGCACTCCCAATGACCAGATCAACTATAAAGTTACGAAAAGTTTTTCTTCAGGTCTCCAAAGACGACTGGAAACAAATGGTTGCTATTTTTTATGGTCTAATCTAACCAGTTCTTCCGAAGAAACAGACGAGCAAAGAAACAGTCGTGAAAATAAATATGTAATTCTTGATGAGAAAGGAACTCTGTTCCAACTATACTGCTTAATAGTAAATGAGTTAAAAACATATATTATCTTATCGTGGAAAAGTATATCTGTAGTTCCTTATATTGTAGATGCCAATCAGTTTCCAAATCCACCAATTATTGTTAATATACAAAACAATAAAACAAACACAAACATGTTCACGTTTTAATTTTAGTTCAAGTGACCTATGTATAAGAAAACAAAACACCCCCTTCGAACAACACGCGCCCAGCATTTATTGTTAAAAATAACGAAATTCACGATCAAATGTCAGATTTGATATGATAACGGTAGCATTACTCATTCTATTCATATACGTAAGAAGGTGGTAAAAGTTGGTAAAATCTTAGTTTAAAAATATAATTCATGCATTCCAGAAACTGTGCGACAAATGCTCACATATCTAGTGTTGTATTACATTGTGCCACCTTTTAAAACCCTGATTAAAGTCATGCTAGGACCTATAAATTAATTTCTAAGCACATATTGGATTTGCCGCATTTAAAACTAACCATAAATATAAGCCCCTTTAGTATGCCATCATATTTAATCAAAATATTTTCAATGGGCTGTTGCCAGAGGGCGCTCTAGGCACTTTGGTTATCGATTGCCATGCACCCCTTCAAACAAGAAGCATAACTTGCAACTCTGTGTATAGCAGAATTCACAGCTTGCCCAACTGACAGCTAACAGCTGTCATCTCGCTTTTCCTTTCTTTCCGGTCTCTGCTCCGTAGAAGACGCAAAGTACGTGAATTGGTGAAAAAAATCTTTAAAATAAAGCGAAATCCGCAAAAGTGATAAATTAAATGAAACTGTATTGCATGCGTCGGCTATTGCTGAAACTTTCAATTGTTGTGTTGTGCGCTATTTTTGTTTACAGTTGCCAATATTTGTCAATTAGAAAAAGGGCGGCTTTTGGTCCCATAAAATGACAACAACAATAAAACAGCTCAAGTGAACTTATACTAATTTTTTTTCTATTTTTTGTGTTTTCGTGCAGCATGTTTATGCCAAAGGCTCATCGTGTCGCCATTTATGAGTACCTCTTCAAGGAGGGCGTCATTGTGGCCAAGAAGGATTTCCATGCACAGAAGCACCCTGAGTTGGAAAAGATTCCCAATCTGCATGTCATCAAAGCCCTGCAGTCGCTGCACTCCCGCGGCCTCGTCAAGGAGCAGTTCGCCTGGAGACACTACTACTGGTATCTAACCAACGAGGGCATTGAAGAGCTGCGCAGCTACTTGCACTTGCCTCCCGAGATTGTGCCCTCAACCCTGAAGCGCCCGGCCCGTTCCGAAACTGTGCGTGCGCGCCCAGCTGCCGGTGGCCCACGTGGACCTGGCGACGCCTCCAAGACCGGCGAGGATCGTTCGGCCTACAGACGCGCCCCTGGTGGCAGTGGCGTCGACAAGAAGGGCGATGTTGGTCCCGGCGCTGGCGAGGTTGAATTCCGTGGCGGTTTTGGACGTGGCTCCCGCAGTTAGAGCGGAGCGTTTGTGTTTTTACAAATTGCAGAGTAAACGAATCAACAGTTTTAAATACCACAACAAACAAAAATAATCTGTGTATGTTTTGTAAGATGAGATGAAGAGTGCAGCAATGCAAGAAGACAAATTATAAAACAAACGCCAAGTGAAATTGATTTTTTTTTAAGGCTTTTTTTTTAATATTTTTAGTTTGCAAATAAATAAGAACGCGCCGATGTGTGCGTGCGTGTGTGTCCAAAAGGAAGAATCGTATTTCAAAAGATGCAGATATTGGAGCAGGCAGCCGTGTGATTGGAAATACGAGGCTGTCCAATCTTTTTTTCTATTTTCTAGAGCACTAACCGTTGCCATTCGCTAATATTCAAGGAGGGCTTCATATATGTATATCTTTCGTCCCGTTTGCTACGCCTCCAGAGATATCACCTTCCATTTTGGAGAAATCTAAGATTCGCACTAATGCACAGAATTTGCAAAACTTGCGTCTTGTGGAGCAGGAAGCTTTTGCCAAAGCAATGTAGCCATATTTTAAAAGCACATTGATTTATGTTCAAATGGACCACGTTTGATTAAACCAAAAAATTAGCAATTTTACAAATGCAGTTTTTGAAGCGCTCTGCGAGAGTAAGTGTTCTATGGCAGGAACTAGCACACTCATATTAAAATGGATCGCCTAATTTTGCCAAATAAAAATGAAATTTGATTTTTTAATACATAAATGTATTTACAATGTAAAGGTTGTTTTCGTTATAATTTAAATAAAAGTGTTTAAATATAGTCTAGGTAAATAAATTTCCACTATACAATCATCCTACCGCTACGAAGCGGTTTCGGCTCTTAAACAACTTAACTATCGACGCTTTATTGATATTTTTCCTTTTGCCAAATGCGACATATTAATCTTGACTTTGCTTTCGTTGGATCGCTTAACCCACACCTGCGGAAAATAAAAAAATTTGGCAGCATTAGTATATAGAAGATGAGGTGAATGTCAGATATGGTTACGCACCACCTCGTTACCAATTGCCGTAATTGTCGCCGCAAACTTCGCCATGTCCTTGCCCTCCACATAGACGTGCTGTCCTCGACAGAACCAGCGACGTTCATATAGTAGTTTGTTATCCTCGATACGCGTCTCCACATAGCTATTCGCCGGCGGCTCGCTTAGCACGTGCGCCTGCTGATGTTGCTGGGAATTTGCGTAGGAGCTGAGGCCGTTTTGCTGGAGGGCGTTTGGGACCAGTGGCTTGCCACGCTGTATCATTTTGAGATCCGTTTCAATTTCCTTGTCGTCTAACTGGTAGACGAGCAGCTGGCCTGTGGCAGGTTTGCGGCGTTTCTCAATCACGGGCATTGGTTCGTTGGGACGCCGCCGTAGTTTGCGTGTAATCGTCGTCTTGATCTCCATTGAATCATTGGTGAGCTCTAAACTATAGCGTTCGTTTTCAATTTGCCGCTTGCGATCCTCGAAATCGGCCAGCAGATTATCCTTGAGGTCCATCATCTTCTCGTCACATTCCTTCTGCGCTGCCTTCTTCTCCAATATGTAGTCGCGCTCGACACATTCCCGCATGTAATCCCTGTACGTTTCGTTGAGCCTCCGACGTTCCTTTAGCTGAATCTCTAACTTTTTCACACGCTTCAAGTACTCGGGATGTATGAGATGATTAAGTTCATCCAATTGCTTCTCAAGGTTCATTAACTTGTGCTGGTACATTCTAAAGAGTCATGACAAATTTAGTAACATAATACAAGGGTTAATAAATGGGGATCCGCTTACTGTTCTTTGAGCTCGCTGTTGCTTCCGATGTTGTTGTTGGTGCTGCTGTTGTTGTTGTTGCTGGACGACGTGCCATTCGTGCCGCCATATCTGTTCGGGCTGCGAAACTCCGTCTCGCTTGCATCGTCGGTATCTGTGGTAATTGCGAAACGTTGCATAGTTGAAAGCGTACTGATTTGCACTTTTGGCGGTCTCGCCTCCAAACCTTTTGTGCTTACCTTCTTCACTTCGCTCGTCCCCAATGGACTCATCATCATAGTTATCACCTCCGTACATGTTGTAGTAGGCGGACATGGTGCTGGTTAGCTGAACAAGTGCACTTTGGGCCCAAAACTTTCACGGTTTTTAAAAATTTCTCTTTATTATCCTGTTTTTTTAACTTATTTATATTTTTGCTTGGGACGCTGGTATATACACACATATATACATATGCAATGCATATGCGTAGATGGCATGTAGTGACACTTTCAAAAAGCGCCCTCTACCTTTTCCATTAACTACTTAAATAAAGCAATTGTTCAACACTTCTTTCATGCTATCGCATATATAGTCATCTCTTCGATAGAATGTAGTAATGAGTTTATATACGCTTAGCTGCAGCGATAATTAAACGTTAACTAAATGTTCTTACTATTAAATTAGAAAATAGAATATGAAATATTTTACAAGCATTTATTCAGCTTATCATATTCCTTTTAACTGTGCTTTTAAAGTTGCTAGGTTGAAACAACAATAGTAACTGAATTCAAACTACCTTGAAGATTGATAATTATAAATTCCTCTTTAGAAACGATGGTCAAATTAAATTTTGATAATTTTTTTATGGCTATTCAACACGTCTTTTCCAACTGGAAGGCTTGCAAGTTTTTATCCCGCAATAATTGAAGGCTAAAGTGTACCAAATAAGACTTATTAATTAAACGTATAAAGGGTCTGCAAACTGACTGAATAAACTATCGGACTAGACGGTCCAAGCAATACAAACGGTGTTTAAAGTTAAATACTGGCTTTTAGCAATTGCCATATATCATATACCATATAGTCCCAAATTGAATAATTTTTCTTAAAAATTGAAATACTTTGTAAATTGCTAAGACACGGTGTAACCTCCACATATCTAAGGGACAAACATTTAATTTATACGCGAGATAAATAATAACTATCGTTTAACACCATCTATTGATTCTAATATTATTCTTTTATACCAAAATAATTCACCCGCCAAAAGAAACTGCTAGTCGAATAGCCGAGCACTTAAATCATCCCAATCATATGCCTTGTATGACTGAATTTAAATGAAACGATATTAAAATGTGGGCTTACACTATTTATAAATGGTAAGGTATTCGATATTTATCGCAGTACATGTAGTGGTGAACAATGCATTTTGACTGCAAATGGCTATCGATACTTTTGCTAACATAATCAACTGAATGAAAATAGCGGGGATAATATCGAGTGCAGCTCAACTATTCGATGCATGTAGCGAGACCACTCATCGAGTAGTTAGTTTTGCCTGACAGCTGACAAGCTGCAAGCTTGGGGCAAGAAGTTAAAAGTAAATTAAAATAAAAAGTGCTGTTAATTAACACTTGTCGTCGGCATTGCATTGCAAGAAAACACGGCTTAATCCATAGTGCGCTCTGCAATAATTTTATTTATTTATTTTTTTGAACACCACTGCGGAAGCAAAAAGTAAAAGTGCTGCTTCTCCTGCCATATTAATTCATGGGTGTTGGTGTGTGTGTGCGCGCGCGAATGTTTGAGTGTGCAAAGAATTTGCAAATAGTATAAAAAATTACGCAAAAAGAAACAAAAAGCGGCTCGTATTATACTACAGCAGCGGCAACAACAACATTAGTTTGCGTTTCGTAGTCGTCGACGCAGCGGCGACAGCGACAGCGAAAGAGACTGCGAACCACCGGCGCAATGAGCAGCATCATTGGGGAGAGCAATGGCAGCAGCGGCACCACCATCACAGCGTCCGCCAATGGGCCGCGCGTGGTGACCATCTATAAGACGGAAACGGGCTTTGGTTTCAATGTGCGCGGACAGGTGTCTGAAGGCGGCCAGCTGCGCTCCATCAACGGCGAGCTCTACGCCCCGCTCCAGCATGTCAGCGCAGTGCTCGAAAATGGCGCTGCCGAGAAGGCGGGGATCAAGAAGGGCGATCGCATACTGGAGGTGTAAGTACACACATACAAGCGCACCACATGGCTGGTCCAATTACAGTTTTTTTGGTAAATTACGTATGCGTGCGTGTTTGACCTGCTTTCCATTGCTCGTATGCTTGGCGGCGGCAACCACCACTGGGACCACCAACGCCAACTAACAGAGCGCCACCCCTTTTTGTATATGTGTATGTATATATGTATATTATATGCATATACATATGTACATATGTATGTATATATTGTGTGGCACTCAAAATAAAAAGAAACTCGCACTCAAACTCAAACTTAGCCAGACAGCCGGGCTAGTAGGAGAGGAAAACAAGCAAGGAAGGCAAGTCAGGCAGGTTGCCAGCCTACAATGTTGGGAATCAATAAACGCTGTGTTGTTTGTCTGTATGTATATATCCAAGGATGAGTGTGTGTGTGTGTGTGGGTGGGTGTTTGACTGGATAGCTGGTCGTTTTTGGAGTTCCCTCCTGCCCGGTCGAGGGTTGTTACAGAATTTTGCCTCTCATACAAATATACAAAAGCTTAAGCTTGTGTGTATGCTTGTACTTCTTGTTGCTGTTGTCGCCTGCTTTTCATTGGCGTCAATGGCGTAACATGCCATTGTTTGGCCAAACACACACAGCCACGCACACACCGACAGACACAGCTAATTAAAAGGCCTGCCTTGCCTTACCTTACCTTACCTTGCCAACTACCTGTCCACTCACTATACTCACTGCCAAACGCTCATATCTTCGTGTGTTTGTGTGTCGAGAGTGCGGCATGCACAGCTTTTGTTTCCACCTTTGACATTTTGCACTCCAATTGTGCGGTCTCTTATCAGTATAAGAGTGTGCGTGTGCGTGTGCCTGTGTGTTGGTGTGTGTGAAGCATACCCTACTTTAACCTCAAGCTCTATCATCCAAACAATGCCGTCAATCAAAACGCATTGCATATAATTTTATTATGCTGCCCTGCACTCTGCCCTCAGCGTACGGACTCTCATCAACAGTGTGGGTGTGCCAAACGAGCCCCCAATCCCCTCAGAATCACCAAAATGTCAGGCAGAAAACGTTGGGCGCACCGCGCGCAAATTCAATTAATAAATTTGCAACAAATTTGCGCACATCGCCATCGCCATCGCATCGACGCAGTAATTGTCAACGATAGTCGAGGCAACGATAGTCGGGGCAACGAGCATGGATTGCCGCTCATCGTCATCATCGTCGTCATCATCATCGTCATCATCATCATTATAGTCAACATCACACCCTGGGCAAATTTGATTTTAATATTATTTTGGAACTGAAGCGGTTGTTGCTGCTGATTTTTGTTGCTATGCACTTAATTAATGGCAGCAACAAACTGTCGCTGTACAACAACAACGACTACGTGTATAACAACAAAAACAATACTCATAATTTGGCTGCAAACAAACAAGCAGAAAAATAAATAGACCGGACAAGCCGCGCAAACAATCATAGTTACAGCCGTAATCCGTTTAATTATCTCTTATTTTTATGCAAATATCGCTCGAATGCAATAAACAACAGTTCTCTGCTCCTCTAAAGCCAACAAACAAGCCCCTACACACAGTCGCTATTTAATTTATTTCAACTCTGACTAGATTCCTGATTTACACACTTAAGGAACAGATTATTTCATTGGTTCTAGGATTAAATTTTTGTCTGCGAGTCGAGGGAAAGCTAAGACTTATAGAAATACATATGCCTTGCATATAGTATGACCAAATTTATTTCATTTCTGATTGTTTTCTCAACTTATGACTTTACTATTTACTGCTGGTTCGCCTAAAGAAACATTTTTTTGTTTGATAAAATTATATTATCTTCTGTATAGAAATGAGTCAGTTCCACGAGTATGTTAATTTAAAAAATAATTATATTTGCAAATTGACTTAATAAAACGAATGCTGATAATGGTGGAAACAACAAAATCAAAACGTTCCACAATATTTGAATGCTTTTTTACCCGTCACTGAGAAGTTTAAGTGTATATTGGTTTAGTTAAAGGTTTTATGAGTATTAAAGTTCCATAAGAAAGAATGGTATAAGTACATTCATAGATAAGTAGTATAATAAGTATAAACAGCAAGACGAGATGAATCCAAACCGCGATGTTAGTTTGCGCAGTATAAATACTTTCCCTGTCCATATTCCTATTACAAAAAGTATGGTATATAAAGGATTTTAATAATGTCCCGGAATATTCTGAAGTTACGTCCTAATATGAGTACTATATCTTATATCTGTCTGCATTGACACGAATTATTGGTGCAATGAAGTCTATTTAAGTTGAAGACCTAGGGTATACAAACGTCGCTCTTGAGCGACTCTGTAGTCAGGCTAATTTTTAATGTTTGGGGAGTGTTTAGAAATGCAAAACGAATCTGATCGACTGTCGCTTATTTTCAATAAATGTTTATCAATGAATCTTACTTTCGACACAATATATGTGCATACATATGTAAGTACTTATACTTATATTACATTTTTCTATAGCGATATTCGCGAATAATTTTGATACTGCTTGTGACATGTAGGGGCGTTTTTTCGCTGCCTGGCAACTGAAACACTGCAGTAATGAGCTGTTTAACGCTTAACATCTCGGAGGCCTGGACGCCTCGCCGCCACCACTTCGCATTTCTCCCATTGCCTTCCATTTCTCCTTCTGTTGGTTGCCTTCAACGCTTATCAACTTCGAGTGTTTTGCATTGTTTATGGTGTTAAAAAATGCCGTGAATATGTTTGTTGTTGTTGCTGCTGCTACTACTGTCGTTTCTGTTACCGTTGTCGGTATCGTTGTTGTTAGCTCATGTTGTTGTATACATTGTTGATGTTGCGGCTACTGTCTAGGAGGATGCCTCACACAAACGGCCACAGATATTTCAAGAGCGTTGTGGCCAGACGTTGCCGCTTCATCGGCTGGGAATTGCTCTTCAAAAGGCTCAAGCTTGTCACACTTAATGCCTTCTCTGTCCACAAGGTGGACGCCGTATTGCAAAGGCTGCCATTGCAGCGCACACAGTAAGGATCATTGGAGGTACACTCGGGCACCTCACCAGCACAGCCGCGTACCGTGTGGATTAGATCCAAGCGACTAATCACGGTGCTCACGCACAGCTCCGTTGCCGAAGTGCAATTGCTGCGCCCCATCTCACTAGGTTGAGTCATTGTGCCACAATCATCGCCGTGCTCCAACGAATTACAACGATAGCAGGTGCGAACCGACCACTGATTACAGCCATCGGCACTCCGGCACAGCTGACAGGCCTCCTGGTCGCCAGGATGGAAGTCGGCGTCAGCACAGCCTCTTCGCAGCTGAGTGTCTGTTTTGGGGAAGAAGTGCGAGAGGGTTAATTAGATAATTCAGTTACTTGTATTAATATAATAAAAAAAACTTCCTTGAATATATTCTTAAAGTTCTTCCTCTTCTTTCAATTCAATTGAATTAAATTTTGCAATTGAAGAAGGCCATTTATATAGAAAATTAAATTATATTTATCACTTTCTGCTTTCTGTAGCTATCTATACCTCACAAGCTTTCAAATTCCTTGAAGCTTATTATTTAAAAACGATTTTCATTTCATACTTAAAAATGAACTTCAAGTCTTCCTTGCAGCAAAGGCAACACGGCAAGACGTTTTTCTACAGTCACGTAAAATGTCTAGGCTAGTGCAGTACCCTTAGTTTATTACGGAAATTAAATAATGCTCTGAAATATATTTGTTTTTGAAATTACTCGTATATGGTGTTTGCCGGTTAAAAAAAAAAGAAGTTATTTTTCTTCTCTCTCTCTCTCTCTCTCTTCGTAAGCAGAAAATATTTAATTTTTGCAAGCTTATCAATATATTGTTATTAAGAAAGATGCTTTTAAATGGGAAATTTTTCAGGCAAAAGCCGTGAACTCTAGCCATTCTTTAAAATACATAATTAACAATTAATAATTTATTCTTATTAGTTTAATTAGTAAATATTGGCATAAGTAGCTACTTCTCGTCATGTACGAGCTCAGAATAATTTGAATATTAATAAAACGGGACGAAGTTTAAATAAACTTTTAAGTTTAGAAGGCAACATCCACTCACCGCCTAACCTTGCTCGCAGGCATAGCAGCCGACTGTTCCGTTGGCACACTTTTCCGCCTTCAGATTTCGCCCAGTGCGGCAATTGGCATCAGTCGAGGCATTGCAGGTGGCACAGGCGATGTCCAGACAGTCTGTATTGCAGAATTCGCCATAACACTCCTGTAACTCGCCCGTTGGATAGAAGCCCATGATGCTGGAGCAGCCCCGCTGCACAACCTCGGTCTGATCATTGCGATACAAGAAGCAGCGTTCCTGATGCCCGTACATGACCTTATTGACGCAAGACGTCACCGTCTCATTGCTCAGAGCACACTTCGCCGCAGGCAGTTCCGACGACTGCGTCCGCAAGCACGCAGGACTGGGCGAATTCCGGTTGTGGGTGCACTGCAGGCAATGTGTCTCGCTCACCGTGAGCTCGGCATTACAGCCATTGTAGTTGCACTTGAGGCACACATGCGGGCAGTCCGAGGGCAGGTTCGTGTGTTCGCAGCCGCGTTGTGTGTTTGACAAATGGATGATGTTCGTGTAGCACCGATCCTCAGCATTATATATGGGGCAGGGCAGCAATAGCTGTGGTCGCTTGCTGACGTCAATGCACTCGGCACCACTGCACTGATAGCAGCGCAGTCGATCCGTCGGATAGACGTCGCGATTGCAGAGACTTGTGTTGCAATGCTCGCATGGCTCGGCACAGTAGCCATTTGGGTAGAGACGTCCGAGGCAGCCGCGACGTGTCAATCCCGCGGTTATCGATGTGACGCACTCGTCATTGGCCTTGGCGCACTCCTCCACCTCCAGTTGTTGACCCGGCCGGGTGGCACACTCTGAATCCTCGGCAGAGTCACAGGCGTAGCACTCGAGTGCCTCCGTAACGCGATTACATGCAGTGATTAGCGTCAACAAGAGCGCCAATCTTTTAAGAGCGGCAGCAGTGGTGACCATATTCTTTGTCTTAACCAAACTGACAATACGCTTGACTATCGTGTCCATTTTATAAATATGGGAATCGCTACGGGACAAAGAAATGCTTGCAGATTTAACTGGAGATTAGATTAGGGTACTTCAAGTGCTGCCACTGCCTATTATACTCGTAGTTGTTGTTATTGTTGTGAGGCTAAACTAATTCTAATATGTAGAAACAGTAACGGATATTTGTTTATGTCCAACTTACTGTTTTTGCCTTGCTACCAAGGCAGTTTATTGCGATATCCAACTATATTCTAACAAATGAGAACCCTTTGTAAATAGCATGGATTACTTTTTTGTGCGACCAAAGTCGGTAATTTTGCTATAATAAAATATATAATATTTGTTTATTTAGTGTACAAGTTTATTACATTGTTACTTTGTATATTAATAAATAAATGACTTATTGATAGTTAGACTATTGCATGACTGCGAGAAGGAAGCGTCGAAGATCATAGTACATATAGTAGCGAAGAGTTCAGTTTGTTTTGTTAATTATTTTCCACTGTCCTCTGCGCTTCTCAATATGCTGTTATTCATTTTTATTTTGGTACCCATTCGTTCTTCCATTGTATTTACTTAATAGTCTTCTAATTGTTGACGCATGTCTCGCCTCTTCCCTTGCCACAAGTGCAGTCTGAGCCACTAACAGAAAAAAGGCACAACCATGGCGCTATTTTTGATGTTGCTATTGTAGTTGTTATTGTTTTAGTTGTCATAGCACTAGGTTATGGTTGTACTTGTTGTATTTATTGTTGCGCTTTTGTCATGCTCGTCAATGCCACTTTTTTTTTTGTATACGCTGTATCCGAAGGGTTATAGGCTATCTATCCCAAAAAGTCATATACAACGGGCAGAAAGAGGCGTGTCATATAGGTACTCTTATGTTCAGACGAATCGATAAAGACATGTCCAATTGTATGCGAACGTAGAGAACTTTTAACTATAACAGCTGAAGGCACCAAACTTGATATGCTTTTGCTTAACCCTACCCAGAGCAAACAATCTCTGATTTATAAATATACGAGTATCTCGTATCAAAATCGGTGCACTTCAACTGTCATAAGTGGATATATTACATGGCTGTTTTATTAATGATTGACGCAACAAAGTTTATTTTAGTCGAACGACTGTAGCGGGGTGCTCGCAGGGTATTGAAGTGTCGGGCTGGCACGACATTAACGTTATGCTCGTACCCGTTTGCTTTTGTTTTGTTGTTAATACTGCTGTTGTTCTTGCCACTACCACGTACTACTCGTACTACTACATAGGGCTTTTTCTGCTACTATTGCTGCTGTCGTTCCTTGTGGCCTCCCTCTGTTGTATGCAATCAATGGGGATTATCAACTATTTTCATTTCTTGTTGATTCTGCCTCAACACAATGCTCGCTCGTCTGCTCGTTAAAACATTTGCGACAACAATGCCAGCAGCAACAGCAACAACAACAGCAACAACAACGACAACAGCAACAATGCACTTTACAAGTATGAAGGTAGTTGAAGAAGCAACAGCACACAGTAGTAGCAACAACAGCAACAACATCAACGTTGTAAGCCCACCCACTGCAATAATAAGCCTCGGTCTGCCCACCAGTTTCGTTTGCTGGAATAGGAATTTTTCTAATTTTTTATTTTTATTATTATTATTATTATTTTACTTATGTTGTCCCTGCCACAAAATTTGTACTGTAGTATTGAGGTTTGTGCTTGTTGCTATCATTGTTGTATTTGTATTTGTTGTTGTTGTTGTTCTTTGGCATATGCCATGCAATAATCAATAGACTTTGCGTCACTGAAATGTTGCTTCGTGTGATACATAAAACTTCATCAGTGAACAACAAGACGAAAGCGGTCCCGAGTGGTTCAAGGCGGCCCCAGCAAACAACATTTATTTTGCAAAGACTGGCAATAGGCGAAAAGCCAGCATTGTACGAGTATGCCTGATGGAAAGCGAATGTGGTGATGAGGGGCGATGAGTTGAGGGGGTACGGAGAAATGGGGATGGTTGCGCATTGATGGCCATGGAAACAATTTGTCTAACATTTTTTTTTATTTTTTTTTTTTTATTTTGGACGGGAACCAGAAATAGAAACAACAAACATGGCAGAAAATTAAATATAAATAACATTAAAGTGTTTATGGCAAACAAACTTGCTGCCCAGCATGCCTCTCTATCTACCTTTCAGGCAGCCTGTTGGGTTGGTATAGTGTCTTGTGGATTGTGGCTTCTCGATTCGACAGGGAACTAGCCAGTGAATAGCCCATCACTTGACGGGCAGGCCGCATTTTATGGCCTTAGCCTTGTCTATACATTTCTCCATTCATTTCCACATAATATACGTGTACGAGCAGTACACGAGAATTTCTATTTGCATTTGCGTCCGTTGAGTTTGCGTGGAATTTCTTCTTCATGCCCGGCCCAATACCAACGAACCGTGTGTGCAGATGGACTGTTAGAGGAGGGCGGTACGTAGTTGCTAAGGAAAATGTTCAATTAGTTGCAGTTCGAAGAGCATTGGAAAATAATTTAAGTTGGCTAATTGGTTGGTTTTCGAGTGTTTCTCTGCTCATGTGTTAAAAGCTGTATCGGACCAGCTTCATAAATCAATTGCACAGAACCTGTTGACCAGCAGGAGTTTCCTCTTATGCCCACTTCTTATACAGTCTATATAGGTGTCCTTTGCAGACATTCAGCAGCGTAGAGTGCATGTAGGCGAGCATTGATGCAATATAAGTAACATAAAACGGCAATATCTTAATGTTTCAATTAAAAGTAACGCAGACACTTCTTATCAGGCCATCTAGTTTGAACTTCTAGAAAAATGGTTAATTGGTATTTTAAAAAGACTTGTAATCAATCGATAATGTAATTCTAAATTACTAAATATTAATATTATATAATAAGTATGGATATCATGGGGACTAAAAGTAACCTTTTCAATGCCACAAATATCCCAATTAATTACACCTGGCTATGTTTAATAACAATAATCATGAAGCTTATTGAAAGTATTATTAGTATTTAATTAAAAGATATGTGCTATGTGCTGCTCTGATATTTATATGTGTATGTACTATATATTCAGAATTCCATGCGGTTCAGAATACATATTACTTGTATATATGAAATATAGTAGTTGTATCTCAACATATACTTTTCTTTTCTTTTCTATTCGCCCTTGGGAATACAAGTAGGGTGTGTAAAAGTTTGAATTTTCATGTTGCATGAAAACTAAAACACGATGGAAAACCAACTATAGACAATTCCACAAATTTCATTAGAAACTTTGACTGATATTTTCATTATGTTTTAAGTAAACATTTTGCACACGTTTCAGCTTCAGCAAAACTTTTGATGGAGACCGTTGAAGCTACCCCTACCCCTACACAACCCCTACACCACCCCCACCTCTGTCTGCCTTCTTCTATTCGTATCCATTGTGCTGCCTTTAATATTTCGAGGTTTGGGTTGCATTTGCTGGCAGTTTGGCTTGGACATGTTAATCAGGTGCAGCAAAGTTGCAAATTCCAGTAAACACACAATCGCACACGCCTGTAAACAATGCGTGTGTATGCGTGTGTATGTATGTATGAGTGACTGTACATATGTATGTGCATGCGTTCTCAGTTATACTTGTAGTTATGGCAAAATAACACAAAGTCCGAAATCAACTGCTGCTCACTTTTGTTTATGCACATAATATCCCACAGATACGTTTTGTATAAACAACTACATTTGTATGTATATATATACATACATATGTATATAGTTTGTATTGTTGTTGTTATTGTCGGTTGGACGACTAAGGCGCACAATTTTGTTATTTCTGCGAGGTTATCAGAATAACTCAAATTGAAATGAAAGCGAAACGAAACGAAACGAAATACACAAGACCAAGCCGAAATAAAGCAAAATGAAAAGCAAACAAAAGAATGCATTAAATATACATACATACATATATGTATGTATGTATATTTTTTTAATAAAAACTGCATAGCGTATTTACTCGTTCGTACGAATATACATACATACATATGTTTTTATTAATTTATTCATGCACTCATGTTTGGAAAACAATTTATAAACAAATAAACCATATTTGAATAACACTTGCTGATAATATTTCGGCTTCAGTTTTGCGGATCATTTAGTCAGAGCGCTTGGACCGATGAAGAAATGGAGCAATGGAGCATTGGAGAGAGCTGGGTCGGTTCGGGTTGGGGGGGAGCAACCTTTTGGGTTTGTTGTCTCTGCATCTGACATTTTTCTTTTCCAGTGTTTGCATTATGCGCATTTCATTTCTATTCGTTTTGTTTTGTTTTGTTTCGTTTCATTTTTTTTCTGTCTTCGTCTTTGGCCGTTTTGTCACTTGGAAACGGGTTTCGGTTTCGGTTTTGGCCTGGCTCTGGCTCTGGGCCCAAAGCCTGGACTCTGCCGCAGTCGATTGCGTCGTGTCTCTTGCACCGCTCTTTATTGTTTTTGTTTATTATTATTATTATGTATGCATGTATATATGTACATATATTTCTATAAATTGCGCTCTGACTCATTGCAATTGCCGACTGTCCCCCTCCCCCTCCGCGTCTGCCACTGCGACTGCCCATGCCTCTACGCCTGGTGCTTCGGGGTGTTGGTCGCCAGCCACGTCAAGTCGCCAAACACGATAACAACATTCACACTCACAAATAGTGCCACATTCGATGTTTTCACACACATACACATGAATACACCAACTACACATACATTTGTGTGAGTTCAAGCCGGAATGATATACAAATCGCATTGCTTTAAGTTGGTCTATTCGATTTGCTGAACATTTCGATTTGCTGCTCGCTCGGCAGTGGCACTCATTGAAAGCGCCGGCAATTGACAGTCCTCTACCTCTACTACCTCGAAGCAAAGACCACAAATGGCAAGATGGGGTCTACACTTTGCTCTTAACGCGAATGAATTCCTCTGGCTTTATACTTTATCAAGACAACATAATTTAAATCAGATTACATACAAGTATGAAACATTCAATCACATCAGCTGATTGACTATGGTTAGACACATTTCTGATTAATTGGAGTACCAACTATAAAGCTTCATGCAAATAATTTCCTTCAATGTTTTAAAAGAAATCTTGCTTTCTGTGCAGCTCTTAAAATGTTTTCTGAGCAACTATGTATACATTTCTTAATCCTTTAATTACATAGCAACTCTGTTGAACATACTTTTTAACTAAAACCCAAGAATAGATTTGTCAACTAATTGTAAATATTGTTAATTTCTTGAATCGCACCTACATTTTATTTTGTTGAATACAACTTCTTAGGTTTGGGTCTGATTGCAAGGGACTGACTACAAGGGAGAATGCTACAGTCCAGCTAGCCCGATAATGAAATACACTGTACCAAAAAGAAGAAGAAGAGAGAATTTGGTGCGGCAGTTTGTGGGCGTAGAACTGAAATTAAATTGATTCGCTAATAACTTTTCCTAGAATTGAATTGATTGATTTAAATGAAATCAATATAAAACAAATGGAGATAAATGTTTATAAATTACGTGTGAAAAGTTTAGTTTTTGTCGCTTTTGAATTTGTACAGTATTGACGAAATTCTATATACTATTTTAATTAATTACAAGTAAAATAAATGGGTATAAGAATTATAGCCCCTATTTTCAAAGCGCAGCAGTATTTCTACCTTGAATTAAAACAGCTCATACGCAAATGGTTAGTTTAGTTTACAACACAGACATTTACTATATATTGTTGATAACAAGACGCGTCGCTCTAGACATGTCCGTCCGTCTGTCTTTCGGTATGTACGTAAGAATAGCCAAAAGTGTAATAGATAGAGTCAACAAACTTGTCATACAAGCACTTCAAAGTCCGGGACAGAACAAACTTGTGTTTTATTCGATGCATCGCCCAGTACTCCGCAATGGGTTAAAAGTGTTTATATGTTCTCGTATTTGAAAAAGTATGAAAGCTACAACATCCAAATTTGTCATCTAGATACACCCAGGTACATAAATGTTATGTTTGATTTCCCCTCTAAATATAAATTTTTTAAAATACCTGTAATTTCAACATTTTTTGCAAATGCATTTTTGTTTTAGAATAAAAGTAATTTTGTTATTAAATATCAAATAATATCTACGAGTATAATTGATACAGGATACAGGGTATAAGTAGCTTTCTCATTAAAATAAACTACACATTAAATATGCAATATGCACACCTATGAATTGTAATTGAAATGGCAGTCGGCTAGAAGAGATTACGGTGACAGAACTGGACTAACATGTACAGGTACTTCCAATTGAAGGTTGATTGGAATGCTCGTAGCTCACAACAACTTCTAAGCACTCATTGTACCCTTTATCATAAGTAAATGCAACTTGACCTGATTTGACAGAGCTCTCTTGAATTCGTAGGCTCACACCTACACCCCCACCCACCCATCCAGAGCCACCCAAAAACCCACCCGCACTGTGCCACAATGGATGGCACTGCAACTGCACCACTTCTTATCAATTATCGAGAGTCGGTGCACTCGAAGCGGCCCAAAGTGCAGGGCGATCAATCGAATTGCATCGTATCGCAGAGCCTATAGACTCAAATCATTATGTACTGACTTTTCTGAACACTGAGTAATGCCTTCCCCCCTGCTCCATTCTGGTACGTTTTGCTGCTTATCTCTGAATGGACACAGCTTAAATTTGTCGCTCATCATGAGCTGGTCTGGCAATTTGCTACGATTCGTGCGAGCCAACGGATCTAAAAAAATAGTTATAATAAAAAAGAACGATATTAGTTAAAAATGTTGCCTTTCAATTACGCACAATTCGCAGTACTTGGGGGCAGTCGCGTCCTAAGCGATTACGAGCGACGGTGCCAGCGGTGCGTCCGATCGAAAGGAGTGGCTATTCCATAACAATTTAACTAATCTACTTGAACTCTTGGTTGCGTCTCTTTGCAGAAATGGGGTGAGCGTGGAGGGTGCAACACATAAACAGGTCGTGGATCTAATAAAATCCGGTGGTGATTGCCTCACTCTGACGGTCATATCTGTGACACAACAGGTGAGTAAATACTGAGGAGAGATCTTCATTGAAACACTTTCTAATGTAATATTCTACTTCTATTTTTGGCCCAAAGGAAGCGGATAGACTGGAGCCGCAGGAAGATCAAAGCGGCTACTCCTACATCGACTACTCAGACAAACGCTCCTTACCCATTAGGTGAGTCTTTGAGAGCGCTTAAACGAATCCAACAAATTGTGGCATACAATTATTTAAACGTTGCTAGCAACGATAAGCCCAGCTAAGTCGGGTGCACATGATATTCATACATATATGTATGCGATAAGAAGTTATCCGTTTATGTTTATACGTTGTTGAAAACGGTTTGCATATATGTACTTGTAGTTATTTATTTAATATGAGTTATTCTAAATATGTTGCTCTCCTTTTTCTGCCCTTGTAGCATACCGGACTACAGCATAGTGAATCGGAATGGGGAACGCTACATTGTCTTTAATATACATATGGCCGGACGACAGCTGTGCTCGCGTCGCTATCGGGAATTCGCCAATCTGCACTCGCTGCTGCGCAAGGAGTTCTCCGGTTTCAATTTCCCAAAGCTGCCCGGCAAGTGGCCCTTTCAGCTGAGCGAACAGCAGCTGGACACGCGTCGACGCGGCCTCGAACAGTACCTGGAAAAGGTTTGTGCAGTCCGAGTGATTGCCGAGAGCGATGCTGTGCAGGACTTTCTCACCGACACCGAAGACGACATTTCCGCCTCGCCGGTAGACATTAAGGTTATGCTGCCCGATCACGAGGTTAGCACAGTCTCAGTTAAGAAGTCCTCAAATGCCCAGGTGGTCTGGGAGATTTTGGTGCAGCGCGCCAATCTGACCGCGTACACGCAGCAATATTTCTACTTGTTCGAGATTGTCGAATACAACTTTGAGAGGAAGCTGCAGCCGCACGAGATTCCGCATCAGCTGTATGTGCAGAACTACAGTACGGCCTCATCGACGTGTCTGTGCGTTCGACGTTGGCTCTTCTCCGTAAGCAAGGAGCTGACTTTGCCCGATGGCGAGCAGGCGGGTCGCTTTATATTCTACCAGGTGAGTGTGGTTAACAATCCAAATTATATGGATTTAAAAGTAAAAGAAAAAAAAACAATGTACGCTAATCGATAAGCCTTTTCATATCGCAATTGAATCAGAAATTTATAGATAATTATCCACATTTTTTTAAACGATATAATGAGACTATACTTGTGTCATTTTCGCAGGCCGTCGATGAGGTTAACCGTGGCAACATACGCGCCGATGGACGACTTTACGAGCTGAAGGCGCTGCAGGATGCTAAAAAGGCTGGCGATTATTTGGCGCTGGCGCGTACATTACCCGGCTATGGCGACGTTGTCTTTCCGCATTGCTCATGTGATAGCCGCAAGGAGGGTCATGTGGTGCCTGCCGTGGGTGAGTGTTTAATTCCACTAGCCATCCACTTGTGTCCACTTCATATTGCTCTCCTATAATTGACAGGCATGAAAAGTTTTCGCTTGCACGCTTGCCGCGAGGATGGCTCGCTGGAGGCGCAAATGGTCGAGCTAACCTGGGACAGCATCACAAGCTGGGAGAGCGACGAGGAGTCCATGTCGTTTTGCTTTCAGTACAATCGTCCAGAAAAGCCCGCTCGTTGGGTCAAAGTCTATACGCCATATGTAGGTTATCCGTATGAAAGTTGTTAACAATTCGCGCTCAGACTCGTATCTTGGTCTGTTATATTTGCAGCACGCATTCCTAGCGGATTGTTTCGATCGCATTATGGAGGAGCGCAAATGGGATGACAGTGGTGACTAGAAAAAGGAGGGGAGCAGAGCAATCCACAGGCACACACACGCATATACATACCCACACCCTCATGGCTACATGGCGAACCCGACACTGCAAATTGGCTTAAAGCCTTAGGTGTTAACTTGGGTTTGCCAACCGCCATACACACACACACATCGGACATATTCACCCACAAACTAGCGCGAATTGACAGCAGCAAATTCACAAATTATGCTTATGCATTGCCATCATCATCATCCCCCAACATCATCCGCCATCCGCACCCCCGGCCACAACCATTTTCTTATTGTTTGTTCCATTTTTGTATGCCATATTTTGTTATTGTAAAATTGAGTTCACTTCGTATGTTTGTTTGTACTCGTATGTATGTGTATGCAAATGGCAGGCACATTAATGCAGAGCTTAATCGATATGTAGTAATTGTATCTATAGATTAGTTTTTCATGCATTAAACGCCAACATGTTATTGTATTTGTGTGCCCTGCTGTACTTAGTTTAATTTTAAACAATCACACATATATATACGTTCGTTCACATATATTGTAAAATATATATACATATATATATATACTGTACGCATATAAACATTATGTACTTGTAAATTATAGTATAGTATATATCCAGGGTTAAACAAAAGAGGAATGTTAACAATGCGCGCAGCAACAAAAGCAAAGGAAACTTTTTCAAATTTTGCACCATACAACAATACATATGTATATTTAAGCACATACATACATAGGAAGCACCAATTTAGCAAAACAAAAGTAACAAAAAGCAAAAAAAAAAAAAACAAATAAAAAAGAGGGATAGGAAAAACGAAAATTTAAATGAAAAGCAAAAACCGACGATTCTCATATAATTTATATACATAAATATACATACATATATAGCCTATATACATTTATACATGCATACATATATTTATATAGCAACTATGTATATAAATTTATATATACATACATACATACGCAATGGAAAATCTCAGCGTACGTTTTTTTTCTTCATACAGATGCAACAAAAACAATATTAAAACACAAAGCTGCTAAATGTAAAAAGTCAATTTTAATTATACATATGTACATTATATAGAAATTTATACATACATAAATGTCTTTAACGAAGCAACAACAACAAAGAGATAACAACAACAGCATTGAACAAACGATTTTTGCAAGACGACTCATCGGAGGGAGCATAAATCGAAATCGAAACTTAAACCTGAAATTGAAAGAGCAACAGCAATAGAGAAACAAAAATTATGATTAATTAAAAGTTAAACATATGTACTCAGCATTCTAACTTACAAATAGAAACTGTTAGTTATCGTTAAGTAAAGTTAATAGTTAAACAATTATTAAAGACACGAAACCACACGAAACGAAATGTGAACAGATGGAAAGAGATGCAGGCATATAGCGTTCTCTCACTCTCTCGTCTCTCTCCCTATCTCTGTCTCTAATAGTTATTTCTGTGTGAGTGATTGTGTGGATATGGGGAGTAGAGTCTAGTAAATTCTGCAAACCTTATAAACACACATATAGGCCCGTTTGTAACGACATGCGATCGTGTTAAGTGCCGATTAAATAATCTATGCAATCATAGTAATTTTATTTAATGTCCTTTCATAACTTTGCCAACAGCAATACGTCAGCTCGAGGTAGTGTTGAAAATTTGCCTCATCTATTTCATCAAAAAAAATAATACGTGTTCGTAAAATATACATAACTCTGAGTTCGTTGAGTTCGCTTTTGGCAAAGTTCTAAACTTTCATTGGGCGCATTTAACAGAGTAAATTAATAAATTTTATTAGTTGTTTTAACTAATTAATTAATTAGTATGAGAAGGTATATATGAATAAATGCAGTGATCAGTGATCGAAATTCTCTGTTCAATGCGTTTGGTTCTTAAACTAAAATTTGCAATCATAATGTTGATTATTTTGATTGATTTTTTTTTCTACATAATAGCGCGTAGCTTAATACCATTGAGCTCAGTAGGCCATTAAGTTTATAGTTGAATTAAGTAAGCCATTTACTCAAGTAAACTTAATTACCTGACATGTTTCGAAGCATACAAACATATTTATTTGAAAGTGAATACTTGCGAGAGTTATGATGTAAATGCATTCATGTTGAAATAACTGATCTATCTGCTGGGCCAATGCATTTAAGTTTCGCGCTGCCTCGAACTTAGGACGCCAATTTAATCAAATAAAATAAAATTGAATTAAATCGAAAATGATTAAAACCAAATACATTTGTATGTAAAAACTTGTTACAGCTTTATGAATTAAACGAAACGACATAAAAAATAAGGTGTTGAAACAATTTAGATGATATAACAAATTTGTAACAATTTCGAACATTTAATGATAATCAATACAAACACACATACACAAAATATATAGCATATTTAAGGCAAAAATCGACAAGCAAATGCGTATAAAATATATGAAAACTGCAAACATACCAACACACTTACACGAATATAACATTCATACACACCCACATACATACTTATATACAAACAAATATTTACATTTATCAACGATGCAAGTGACGTCAGCTTGTGATATTTACAATTTAAAAGCATTATTGTTTGTTTAATTTTTACCACGATGTATGTGTATTTAAACATAATTATTATCTGTGTAAAAATTGCTCTTGTTTGGATTATAATTTTTTTTTTTTTTTTTTTCATTTCTGTTTTGGTTATGTGGCCCACACTTTGTTTTCGTAAGATGTATTTATTATGAATATTATTGCGTATTATGTATATCATATGATTATTGTCTCAAAATTCGCAACACCAATAATTGCAAAATGTCACGAAAGTCAAGTCCACGCGCTGCTGCCAAGTATCTGAAAGATATTTTGCATACAGCCGCTCCAATCTGTGTCTCAAATTGCAAAATGCTTAGCAAGCTTCTTTCGTTGATGCTGATCTATTGGCCATCTATGTTTAGTATTTAGTGCAACATACCGATCGCTATTCCAATTGATTTTGTTTGACTTTGAATTTTTTTTTTTATTATTATTGATATAATATTATGATTATTATTGTCTTAGCAGTTAAGTGAACAAATTGTAAACAAATTTTAAACGCACTCTGCAGTGCTCCAGAGTGAAGGAACACGAGCTACATATAGAGGCGAGCAAGATTTAAAAAATATTGAAAATTGAGTGTTAACAGTAAACAAAAGCAAAAACATAATTGTACGTGTAATACATAACTAAATTAAACAACAAATTTAAACAAACAAACGAACCTTTCCATATATTTCTTAATATAAAATCTAAAACAAAAAATGAAACAAACTAAAGACATTCCTTTAAAATACAAAAACAACGTATGTATCAATGCTTTCACATTAAAAAAAAAAAACAAAAAAAAAATCAAATCAAAGAAACAACCATGCATACAAATTACTAAATTATATAAATAGATATATGCATTAATTAAAGCGCATAGATAAAAAATCAGAAATAAAATCAAACATAAATTGACATACTATTTAAAAGAAAAGTCAAACATGAACACACACTTACAAAATTGATATGCAAATGAGAGTCTTTAAACACATATACCCACACGCATACACACACTTATTATTGTAGAATCGGGACTGCCTTCGAATTGCTGAGAATACAAGGCTCGGCACACACGGCGCATACTTAACAAACAACACGAAACCGTACCGCCGAGTCGGAGATCAAGTGTAAAAACTGAAACTAGCAACAAGAACAAACAAAAAACAAACGAAACGAAACAAATCAAATCTATAGAAAATGAGAAAATACAAAAAAACAAAAATGAAAACAGAAATAGAAACAAAAAAAAAATTAAGAAATTATTGAAATAAAAATTGCATTTTTCCCCTTTTGAAAAATGATGCCGTTTTCTTGTTGCACGTCTTCTCGGTTCTCCATGGACGGGCGCCCATTTAAAGGCGAAAGCACCAGCATGTGGAGTCACTCCGCTGTACTAACTACTTACAACAATCGAGGTGAGTAAATTTCGAGCTAGTGATTATTTTTTGCTCTCCTTAAGTAATCTAATTCGCTTTATTAGTTTATCCCTTCTATTCACTATTTTTAACTGGTAACTCTGGCTCACAGGCTTATAGTAATACATACTTATAATTAAGCAGAATTCTTTTAAAATAACATTGATATCAGCAATTTTGTAAGTATTGCTTATTTTTTGAAACAAATCAATATTAGAAGTCCTTGTGAGTTGTAGTTTTACTTCCGCCATTAGCTAAACTCGTCAGGAAGTTTTTAAAAGGTACTTTCTTGTAGCGCAAAAGCCTTAGCCAATAGTTTTATTCCAACAGAATATATATAATATTGATACCATTCTTATGTTTGTAAATTCTGCATCATATCCTGAAGAACCTATAAGGATTACTGCGGCCGAATCAAAAAACGAATGATTGAAAAAAACGACTGCCATAAATTTAGTCGAATTTTATTTCTGTTGGCACCACAAAAGACAATCGATAGGTGCTGAAATTGACATTCAAATTATGTTTATGTGAATTGGAATTCGGTTGACTTCTACGGCGTGTAGTTATGGGAATTTTAATAGTCCTACGTAATCGACAAGCCAGGTTTATAAATATGCCTAAGGCCCCTTCAAATTCAAAACTTAAATCCTAGAAAAACGAACTCCTAGTTTCTTAGAAACAGGAATCAATTGATTTTTCCAATTCAAAATTAAAAACTTTTTTCACTCTGCTTTTTTATAGCGTTTTCTAAGTTTATTCAGAATCGCTAATATTCACCAAATATAATATTTTAAAGGATGTTTAAGAAACCATTTCTAACGGAAGAGTAATCGACTATATTCTATAGGTATCTTCCGATTAGATTGTAAGTAAAGGGAAATCTTGGATCATTCAATAAGTTCCTATGTTCATGATCTTTAAACACAGCCCCGGAATGGTAAAAAGGGTATATGAAAAACTTTTTACCATAAAACATAATTGCCTTGCGTGCAGAAACTTCAAACCTACATACATAAACAATTAAATGACATCCACACCCAAATCTGTAGACACATGTCTATAAAATGTATTTTATTGGGAAGTGTTATCACGGTCTTTAAATGAACAATCAATTAGGCCAATCAAAAAGAGGTGTACAGATAAGCAACGTAAACAATTGCGAGATATTCGAACAAATTCGCCAATTGTGTTTTATTTTATACTCGTAGTTCTATTCTCGTCACAAATTTGTTATCGACAAGAAATAATTGTGATAAACAAATTATGTATGGATATACATATGTATATGAAGAGTATGTGGTGAGAAAATATGCATGGCAGAGTTGACCATGTGTGGCAAAGGCATCGGGTTGGACTGGACGGCATTGACAATACAAAACAGACCCTGCATGATAATTAATCGGGCAATGCGAATGGGTATTGTTTTGTGTCTGTGAGTGAGTAGGTGGTTGAGTATTGTGTGAATTGGTGTGCTATTTTTACTACACACTTGGCATGACTAAATTGCTAATATACGTACATATAGTATAATATGAAATACACAGTTTTATTGCTGCTTGACGTTTGGTAGTGGCCAGAGAGAAAACAACTTTGCAAAAGTAGTGGGTAAAGGGGGAAAGGGCTGCAATAGTTACCCTATTGTTTTGTAACCCTATTAAATAAGTATGGAGAATAATAATATTTGGCATTCAATTCTTATTGATTTTTTATCTTTTTTGTAGACAAAGGTATGAACAAGAAAATGTATTAACTCACACTTTTCACTATGCCTATATTGTTTTAAGGAACTGATGTATTGCCGGGGTGTACCTGATAAGCTGTGATCGATCACTATATTTTGTAGCTGATTGATGCCTTAAAATTTTGGTGACCCCGAACATACGTGAGCAAAAATTCGTTCAATGTCGAAGGCAGAGATGGATTGAAGTGAATGCGTGCGTACAATAATTTCGAAGATTTCTGTAGAAAAGGGTGCTAATAGGAATGGAACATTTTTGGGAAACTGTTAATAAGATATTCACTGATCGAAGGCGCATATTTGTCATATTGTTGATACATATACATATATACATGTGTGTACTATATACTCTATATGACATTAATGAGAGCAGCTTGTTAACAACAATGCGAATTATTTTTATTGCTTTGTCAATTGCCAACACTCTGATAGCCATGCTAATGAAATGTGCACAGGAGGAAGGAGGTGGGGAGGCAAGCTTATCAACGACACATGTAATTGCTAAAAAAAACTTTGTTTAATTTATTTTGCCGGGCTCTGCATTCAATTGCGTGTGCGTTGATTAAAACTTTTTCCGGCCCTAGATCGTACAAGTGGGCAGCGACAGCAACAGCAACAGCAATAATAACAACAACAACCACGACAATTTGGAGGCCTTCAGAGCAATGTATATGAGCGGTATATGAGCTACCAATGAGTATGAGTATATGCCTAATTAGCGCCCAGGCTGAAAGCAAACGAAGCGTTAGCGTGGCGGCGGCGCTTGATCAGCCGCTCGTTTGTTTATTTGTGGCTAAAATAAAAGAATTTCATTAACTGAATCAATACATGTGTGCGACAACAACAACAACAACGAGAGCAACAGCAACAATGACAACAACAACAAAGAGAGCGGCAGAACGAGAGCGACAACCGCAGCAGTTGAAAGCGGGTTGGGGTCGGCGTCAGACGCGGCGTATGCGTAATCAGTGCTTGTGATAATCGCAGCGTGATAAGCAATGATTAAAAGCAAATAGTCGATGGCAATCGAAAATGTCGCCAACTTATGAGAATAAGAGTCGAATCCTTAACGTCTCCGACTGCGACTGCAACTGCGACTGCGACTGCAACTCTGACTTCGACGTCAACGTCAACGTGAACGTGAACGCTTCGCCCTGTTCAGTTCAGTTCTGCTCTGCTCTGCTCAGCTCGGCTCAGGTTTGGCTCAGCGTCGTCGTTGGCTGATCGCTGTAAGCCATTCGAGTCGCAACCTGAACGCGTTCGTGTGCGCACGAATCGTTAGAGACCGCGCGCGCGATTTGTTAAGAAATTCAAAAGCAATCGAGTAATCCAGTCAGGTATTTAATAAGTAGATTATGTTCTATTGCTAGTCCAGCATGGGAGATACGCAGCCGGAAAGTGTTGCCCTGCTCGCAACTCATGCGGTAAATGGCCAACGGTACCAGGAGTTTCCCTATGCCGATGATGGCGAAGGAATTGAAGAGGAGGTGGGGGAGGAGGAGAAAATGCAAAAGATTGAGATGCAGCCAAAAGATGGAGAGCCAGTTCGCAAACCCTCGCTTGGGGAGCGTCGCAATGTGGAGCTCACCCGCCTGCTTGTCATTGATGAGCAACGGGAGCCAACGACAAAGACAACGACAACTTCACCGACTTCGACGACAGCGTCGGACAACAGTGGACGCCAATCGCCCATATCGAACAGCCCTAGGGAACACTTTACGCCCGGACTGCGACGCAATTCAATATCGATGCCATCGGGCATTAATGCCCTGGAATTAGAGGCCTTGAGACTGCGACATCAGATGCAGAGCCAAGATCCCCTCCATGAGGAGAGTCAATCGGGCAGTGTGAGTAAATGTGCTGTTGTCTTCAGTTTATTTTATTTTGTTGCAGCTGTTGTTGTAAGTGACTCGGAAACAAGTTTTTTTTTACAAATGATATGCCAAATTATATTGGGGAATCTCGCGATGAATGCTTAGCAGGCACTCAGCTAATTTTATACATATAATAAAAAGAAGACGAAAGCGAAGCACTAATTAACTGCTCGTTATCTGCAACGTATTAATATATGCATATACCTATTTATATACATATGTACATGTGTAATATGTATGTGTGTGTGTGTTTGTGTGCGACATTAGACAAAGCTGTTGCTTTTGAGTGCAGCATTTATGCAGCTCTCAAGCCTAGCAGTTCCGACATATGCACGAGTATCTAGAAGATATAAATAGCCATCATTCCAGCTAACCAGCAGACCAAACAAAAACATCAAAAAAAAAAGAAAAGTATCACCTGACTGTACGACAGTTAGCTAACTCAATCAGAACTTAATGAAGTCCCAAAACATGACGAAGTGACAAATAATTAGCAAATGCCATAATCGAAAGTGTGCCGACTATCGGCCGGACGAGGAAGGGGTTTGGGGCCAATACCGCCCCATAACTCACATAATGAGTGTTATGCGCAGTTGTGGGCCCATGTAACGCTTGTGGCTACGATCGCTCTCTTTACATGGCCTGATTGTGGGCATCTAGCTTTCTATTGCACAAATCGTGCATATACAAGTAGTATACCCTCAAATCGTTGAACCATTAACAACATGAATCAGCCCTACGCTGACGGAGTGTGAGAACATTACCAGAATTTTTTGCAAGCAATGCAATTTAATAATCACATACAATGTAATTAATGTCTTAAACGAAATGAAATGATTTATGGCGCTTACGTTAGTTGTGTCTAAGTGGATGGGGATGGGGAGCTTACCTGCAATTAGTGAAGAGGGTCATTGGTTTTATTGCCAGCCTAAAAGTATGCAATCCAAATTCATGTATATTTGAAGTACTGAGAAACAGAGGTACTCTGCAAAATCTTATACACCATTAAAGGTAAAAATACTTTTAATGGGGTTTTCATTTCGTCTTTTTACACATTGACCTGTTGTTTGCTTCATTTAGCTTAAACTGCAATAAAATTGCTTCTCGCTTTTTAATGTTAGTCGTCTTTAAAATCCAGGCTAAGAAGTCGCACAAACGGAAGAACATATCTAGATTCATTTCGAAAAGTTTCGAAAACTGAATCACACATATTATTAAAGATTGAAAGTATATATATAACTATATATAACAAGAAATATTAGAAAGTCAAAAAGCTTATATTAGAAAGTCAAAAAACTAGTCGCTTTTAAATGTTAATGTGGGCTTAGCAGTTTTTAAAATCCAGGTGGACAGTGGGACCAAAGGAGCGTCATATCTAGATTAATTACGAAAAGTTTTCATTGAACTATTAAGGATTCAAAGTATACATAAACTTACATCAGTTAATTTGTAAGTTTAATTCTTTTAAAAATTGTGCAGGGATTAAAATGATAAAGAATACATAACTAATATTGCTAAATTGAAAAACCAATTAATTCCGATCAGAAAGTCAAAGAGAATCGTTTGAGTAAAGCGCATTGTGATTAGTTTTAATAAGATTATAACAAAAGTTCACTACATTATCTGTCGAAATGACAGGGCCCTCAATTCTCTCTCCTCTCGCCATCTCAATCTTATTTCATATGTGTTGCTTAGAAGTCTCAGTTTTCGCGCTGATTTCAAATTATCACTTCTTTCTAAGCCAACACCCACACAGATAGACAGTGCTCTATAATTATCACATGATTTACAACAGAAACAATGCCCGGGACCTGATAATGGGTTTTATTTATTGGCATTCGTTCAGTTAAAAAGCAAATTATGGGCCCTAAATCTTAACTAAAATGAAAGCAACCGTTTGTGACCAATTTTAGCAAATTAATTTATGGGACAGCGTGCAAAAATTACGTCGGATAACCCCGCAAACCAAGAATAATCGCACAGACCCACATGCAAACAACCAGAAATAAATGTAACTAAGGGTAACAGACTTTTTAATACCCTGCACAAAAACAATACCGTCCAGGCCTATTCATTGATTACCAAACATGAATGATGTAGATTTATATGAATTTATTGTTATGTAATTAATTTACATGTATATTTACGCATATACATATCTGCTAAGCTTTTCTATGTTTTCTCAGATTTTTGGCTAATTTTCAGCCCAGATTCGAGATGTATGTTTATCGTATTTTTGGAAGTGCCGCTCCAAATGTTTTAAGTGTCCTTTTAACTCCAAGCATTTTTAAGTCTTTAAGCCGATGCTTTACATTTGAACAAAATATTTACTAGAAAGACTTTTAAAAATAACGTTGATTGGTTAGTTGAATTGGTCGATTCGATGCCCTTTTTGTGTTTCTAAATAACTTTTTTTTTATAAACCTAAAGTGTATGTTTTTTTTTAGAGTGAAGGCACGAGCAATTAACGGTTCTTTCAATTTAAAATACTCCAAAAATGCATGCCCAAAAAGAGTTTGGTGACTTTACCGTTCTTTTTAGCTCTCCTGTGCTTCCTCCTTCACAAAACTAAAATACACGTTTACTCTCTCACTGTAGGGTATATAAGTAGGTGCATAAACAAAGTGTCATATTCTACTTGTAAGTAGTATCAATATATGTAATACACACATACATACATATATACTGGTACGGGTTTGTATGTACATTCCCATATTTAAACATATGTATGTAGTGCGGAAAACCGCACTGAAGTCGTGAGAAAAAGTGTCATAATTGACACACACATACACACATACACACACAAACACACATACACACGAAGGTATAAACAAAGGCATTCTCATGCCGGCCACTCGCCGCTCTTTCGTGCTTGAAACTCGAAGCGCGAGCGATTAAAACACAAAATTTCTATATTGCATATACAAGTATGTATGTATAAAGCCGACGTTCTTAATACAATATTCGAACAATTATCAAATGTAGCGGCAACAGCAACAGTTGCTTGTGGTACGCGTTCGTTAGCGGTTTGTCGAATCGGAGGCACTAGCCTCTATTTATAATGAGCGCACTCGGAGCTTGCCGCATGCCACAGGATCCCCTGACGAGTCAGAGGACGAGTGAATGCGAGAGCAACAAGGCAGGTACACTAAGGAATGTTCCAAATCAGCCTTCCTTCGTTGGGCTGTCTGTTATTAATTGGCAACGGGTGTGGGACAAACGTGTTCAAGGCGCTGTGCCCATCCACCTGAATTTGGTTGCAAGCTGTGCGAACTGGTTCTGGATGGACTGATCTATTGATCTACTGTTGATGTGAAATGACGCGACGCGATAAAGCTATAGCTGAAATATAAGCTCATGAGCAGTACGCATACGCCTCGTTGCGCTACAATAAGTGTATTTGTTGATTGAGAATCGCAATATCATTTCCATTTAGTCGTGACATTTTATACATTTCGCTTCGCACAATAACAATAACAACAAAGTGCCAACAGTAGGGCCAAGCAAGACTCTTGGCCTATGTCCTTGATAAAGCCATTAGCTGCACATCTCCCTATACCTGTGTATTACTCTCTGCTACATTTCAATATCTCGCTCCTCTTGCAGATGGTCGACGATGGGGCCTCTTCGAATGTGAGCACGCCTGTGGTGGTGGTGAACACGCCGGATAAGGGAGTGACGACCATAAATTTTGGCAACACCGATGACAACAACGATGACAGCGACGATGAGTTTGGCAATGCCAAGAAGCCAGTTTACCGGTAAGTTGTAAATACTCGTGCTGTCACAAATGATGTGGCTGTGGGTTGTGGATGGGGGCTTGAATGTAAGTGGATTCTGATTTGTTGCCTTCATTGAATGATAATGAAAGCGAGTGGGAGGGGAAGATGGGTGGGCAATGAGCATAAATCAAAACATAATCAATAAACAACTGTTCAAGGAGTTTTGAAGCGCAAATAGAGGCTTAAAAAGCGGCTTTATTTAATTGTTGAACTCCCTCACATGACTCTTGGATCAGTAAAACTTCAATGAATATTATTTTTTGTTAAAATTCGCTAATTAGAACTTTAAAAATCCTGCCAGACTTAGATCGGCAATATTTTAGTTATGGTAGCCTCCAAATTATTGTTCTTGTTATGAAGGAGTCTTCTTAATCATATTTTACTCAAGATTTCCCTTTTGTAATAAGATAAGAAATCCTTCTTGCTAAACATTAAATAATTATGGACAGTTTAAAAATTCAAAAATAGTTTTTAAATGCTTTCTCCTACTACTGTAAATTTTCTATACAAAGAGTGTAAATGCAATTATATTTTTCTTAAAAATGGAATCTGAATTCGGCACATATATTTTAATTATTGTTCCGATCTGTCGTTGTTGAGTTGAATGCCCTCTTGTATTGGGCTCAGAGAATATTTATCAATTTAATTACACATATACACTTTTTAATTATATAGCTCTATATACAAATGTAAATGTCTCACAACTCCAACAACATCTGCTACGTATTTATAACTAAGGTCTAAAACTTCAAGAATGTACAGACTTTCGTACAGACACATACAGATAGACATGTTAAGATTTAATTGTCTGTTAAATACTAGACTCGTATATACTTTGTAGGGTCTGCCACGTCTAGGTTCGACCTTTTACAGAAATAAATAGGGCAGACAAATGTGTATTTTTTTTAATGTAATATATGTTGCATGGATGTATATAATAAATGTATATAATAATAATATGATGTAATATCTGTGTATACTGTACACATTCAGATTTAATTGCCTTAAGAATTTAACCTCATTATTTTTCTATTTACTTGTGGACGAAATTAGATAATTTAAATAATTTGTTTTACCCTCATCTGTGTTTCTCATAACATGTACTAAAGCGTTTGGACTTTTCTAATATGCTAATAGATTTGGCTCAAATATATTTTTGTTCCATGTGGGTAAATAATGTTTCTTGCGGCTTTTCCAACTGAGGTGCAATTTTATTCTTTACAATTGTGTATATCTGTACATGCAATAATATTCATACACGTACACTGAAGCCTATGCGGTCACTCCGGCCCCATTTGATGGCATAGTTCAACATTAATTTAATTAATTATACATTGCCGCCTTTTTGTTTAAACAACATTAACGGAACGGCTACGAATGCGAGTACGCCAGTTCAAATAATTCAATTGCTGCCGGCGCCACCACTGCCGACGTGCCTAGCCCAACATTCCGTCAGTGACGGAATCGGATTCGGATTCGGCATCAACTCTAGCATTAGCATCAACAGCGAAAAGTACGGACTTCGCGTTGAACAACTATGACGACAACACTCTCTTAAATAATACTGAGTATTATTAACTAGTATTGAGCTAAGAGCTTTACTTGCTCTTAAGAGGCAACCCGATCTGGAAGGGATCGCATGCGGCTGAGCGCGAGCCACAAAGTTCCGGACGGCAGAATTGTCAGAAAGTTCAGAGGGTGGCGAAAGTACGAGTACGTGGAAGAAAGAATCGGCAGTAGAAGCTCTTGTGTTCACGACATTAAATTGCTGGTGCACATACAAATGTACAGTAAAGCCAGCTGTTGGTGCATTTTTTTATAAGCATTGTATTGTACTTTTTTTCTATATTAAGTAGTACTTCTAATTTCAATTTTAAAAATGCCCAAGCATTACCTGCGAGTGCAATCAACTTAACTTTTCACCTTGTTTGCTCTTGTTTTCTACACAAGTACAAGTATTTATATAAAACGCTATTAAACTACTAGACTTAAAAGAAAAAAAACAGTTATCAAATTGCTGTCATAAACTTTAGCTTATAAATTTTCCGCCAGACTATTATTATTCGGTAATAATCAAAGAACTTTTCGCAAGATTAATACATTTTCGGATTTAACATAATTCTTTTGCTTTTGAAAGTGATGAGCTGATTTAAAATGTATCTACTGTGTGGAGTATAAGCAGATTAAATTATATATTAAAATAAAATATATATTAAATATCGTAAAATACTAGAGTGTATCCTTGTAACTACATATTTTGCTCGTTGCTTTTTGCAAACGCTATTTAAACTCACAAAATTCTATTTAAATTTAATTAAAAGCTACGCGCAGACAGACAAACAATTTGCATTTAAAGTTATCTTACATATTTCGCCTGGAACTCTTATTGTTCTCTTATTTTTATTTTATTTATTATTATTTTACTTAATTGAAATTCCAATATATTTATGATATTCTATGCTTGTAAAATTGGACAATTAGTGTGTGAATTATTTGTCAATCTGTATACTAGAAAATAAACAAAAAAGGGAAAATATTGAATAGCTTAATTGAAGAAAAAGGAATATGAACAGAAAATGCTGTTCCAGTATTGGAAAAAAGCATGTTTCTTTCTTTTAAATAAAAACAGGTTGGTTAGGCTCACAGGCTTCACTGTACTATTTGTAAGCCCATGCTTATGTATATAGTATGTACATAGATATGTAGGTGTGTATTATTTCTGCTTCTTCATCCTCTTTATAAGTATGTGCAGTAATTTTGCTTTTTAAGCGAATTACAGCAAATCTGACGCCGCTGTTGATAAGTAAATCAAACATGCGCTTTAAATGACTGCAACAACAAATATTAACGTGTCTGGTTGTATGGGTGTGTGTGTGTATGTGTGTGCGTGTAGTTGTTCATGAAATCATTACAATTGTGTGCGTGTTTGTGCCTGAGATTTTTGCTGTATCTGTATCTTAATAGCGCCAAGATACACAGCACAAATCTCAGTTGATATTCGTGATTAGTCGTGATAACAACGGGCTTAACTGACGCTCATCGTTCCCTTGAGCTGCATACATACATACATACATATATACATATATATAACATTGGTATGTTTTTCTTACACGCTTATGTAGCCTTTGCTGCGCGAAAATATGTGCGAACAATTGATAATCGGTGATTAACTTTAAGGCGATCACAGTGTCTGTGTCTGTGTCTTGGTCTTATCGCTAGCCTTTCATTGAACCAGCTCAGCAATAAATTGTAAATAAATCTCCGGACTTGGGTTGACGATTTATCAATCGACTGTTAAATAAACGACACGCACGACTCACACTCCGCCCCTCCCCGAACACCCACACACCCATTTACCCATACATATAGTATGTATGTGTAAGTTGTTGTTTGCTTGCTAGCCAGAGAATACCGAGCAATTTCAATGAAGCATTTATTGTGCTGCGTTCATACATTTATACATACATATGTACATACGTATGTATGTATTTATTCATATGTACAGTGTACGCGAGTACATGACTGCAAACATAATTGCGCGGCACATATTGCTATATACTTTCATACATTTCGTTGTATATAAAAACATATTTGTAAAAGCGTTACTGGCCATAATAAATGCTCACTATAAATATGCATACAAGCATACAGCTTTACTGGATACTTCCAGTTTTAATGGATGTTAATAGTTAAGCTTTTAAATTCAGTTGCGTTGAAAGCAAGCTACTAAAATGTGCAATTCTAGAATATATAAGCACTGCCTAACAAGGCTACATACATACTATTATTAGTTCAACACCTGGGAAGTTTCATTTGCAGAATAGTACAGAGATTTTGATCAAATTACACTTTGTGATGAGACACTGCAAAAACATATCTTATAAATACCAATTTTGGTTACGATGTCCTCATAAACAAACAAACCAACGAACAGACGGACATGTCTACACCTAATTCTGTTTTTACACGATAGATCGATTCCAGAAAAAGTCGTGTAAAAAATGACAAAGTCGTGCAACCATATATAACATTTTTAATTTCAAGCTGTGTTAAATCAAAACCGTGTAAAAACAGAATTAGGTCTACATCGATTTGTCTCTTCATTCGTCTGATCATATATACATAGATAAACATACATATGTACAACTATGTCTGCCACACCTTCTACATTTTACACACATTTGGCGCTCAGAATTTCTAGTAGGGTATACCAGGGTATAGGGCATAAATAAAAAACTGTCAGGCAATTTTAAACAGAATGCTCTCATAACTTATGTAGAGATGACACCCCCAATCCAAGTTTACGTACATAACATATACATATATACACATGTCAGAGCTGACACACCTTAAGGCCCCATCGTAAAGCATTTTTGTCTTATCAGCCAAGAATGTTAATTGCTAATTCTTATAAACACGCCCACCACTGATGGTATCTTGATCTTTTCTTATTTTAGCGATCGTTTTCGCAGTCGACGTCGCGCCTCAATTGCCCCGCTGCCCGCGCTACGCTTGAACAGCAAGGAGATGTTGGCCAGCGATTTCGACACCCACAGCGTCGCCAGCAATCAGGCTTCGATTACGAGCATCAATTCGCTGGCGAGTCTGCTCCGAGAGAAAATGCAGGTGAGAGAATATTAGAGAGTCAGGGAAATATGCAATCGATTGAAATTGGAAAACAAAAGTATTCATATAGCTGGTAGACTTAGAAACAATTAGTTGAAGCCAAAAATTCAAAGTTAGCTTCAAATTCGCAAATCAAACTATTGAAAATTATCAAACCTACAGATGGTATGGTAAAAATTATAGCAAAAATCAGAGGACAAATTATAGCACAGTTATAGTAAAAATTATAGCAAAAATTATTGCAAAAATGATAGTAAAAATGATAGCAACAGTTATAGCAAAAATTATAGCAAAAATTAGAGAACAAATTAGAGAAAAACAAGATAGAACGCTACAGTCGAGCAAGCCCGACAGTAAAATAGCCTGTACTCTCCACAAAAAGGAAAAATAAAAAAAAAAAATTTTTTTTAAATTAAATTATTAAAAAAAGTGAATGAATTAATTAATTAAAATTAATTAATTAAATTAAATTAGAATACATGTTTATGTTCAGTTTTAACAGCATACATTTACATCACGTACCTATGCGTGTTTATAAGCGTGTATGTATGCAGCACAAAGTTGAACCAAAGCAGCAACAACAACAACAGCTGCGGGCAGCGATTTTACTTATGGCTATAACTTTCTTCAGAATTGACCTATCATTATGAAATTTGGCACACGGACACATTAGTACTAACTAGATGTACCTACCAAAATTGATTTCGAAATTCCGAGAATTACGGAAGTTATAAGAAAAAATACGAATTGCGGGGGAGTGGGGGGGTGTATCGGAAAAAATAAACAAACTCGATCTGCCTAGGGCTTATAGGAACCTTGATACCAATTTTGGTTATCCTAGCTCTTGTACTTACTGAGATCCTTGCGCTCATACAGACAGACGGACAGACGGACATGGCTATATCGACTCGTCTTTTCATCCTGATCAAGAATATATATACTTTGTGGGGTCTGCCACGCCTCCTTCTGTGTGTTACATACATGCGCACAAAACTAGTATAGCCTTTCACCCTTTGGGTACTGGCTATAAATAGGAGAAAAATTATAGTAAAAATTTTAACCAAAATTACATCTTGGCATTTACCTTGGACCTGTCATCTCTTCGAGTCCTAAAATTATGAGAAATAAATAAAAATTAAGATGAAAATTTAAATTCATTAAACTAATCTAATCTGAAATTTCTTGCTTTAACAAAAATTCTTCCAACCTGTCCCTAATTTAAAAACATCCAATTTTACGTATACAGGCCTTTCCACAGCTTATACGCAAAAAGAAGCGCGAGACTAAAGACTACAAGATCAAAATATTTGTCATCATGATGTTCTTCATCATCATCTTTCTGGTGAGTGATCATCTTCAATGCTAAATACATTGTATAGTCTAATAATATTGACCTCAATACATCCTTTGCAGATTGGCTATGCGTATATCGCATATCACCAGCAGATCCTTACACGATCGTACTTCCAAAAGATCAAGTTTAACTCCCAGGACAGGATCTTCCGTATACTGAATCACGAGGACAAGGAGGTGATCTCTGGCCAGCTCGGGGTGACAATAGGGAGTGATTCAGCTCCCTTCCACTGCCTCGAGGATCATCGGCGCAAAGATGGCAGTGTGTGCATCGAGTGGAACGGCATCGCTCGACTCCACATGAACTTCGAGAACAAGGGCGTATTTCGTTGCTACACGATGCAGTGGCAAGCCCTGATCCCAGGCCTATTACCCACGGACTGCTATGAACTGCAGCGGGACAATGGCTTGTGGTTTGGTGGGGGCATTACCAAGGGCCAGGAGTGGTCGCTGAGCTATGCGAACTTTGACTTCAAGCCCTATGCCAGCGGTGACATCAAGGTGCATCAGTTTGGCAATGGGGTCAAGCGCTACTTCATCAATTCCATTGGCGTGGCCATGCAGGTGAGCGAGCAGACGCCACTGCAGATCGGGATCAATCGCACCGCAAATCAATTTTGCCTCCGGGCGGCGAACGATGAGTTCACATTCGTGAATCGCCTCACTGAGCTGCCGCAACTGGACTACAAGATCTGCACCACAGAGGACATGCGCAGCCTTCATATGCTAATGACGCAGCAGAGTCTGTGGGATGGTCTCAAGGAGGCGGATATTCAGGTGCTTAAGTCGCTGCTAGAGGAGCCCGTCTGGAAGATACCGACGGGGCCGACGGTGGAGTCGCTAAATGAGTCGATTATTTGTGATTACTCAGAGAATGCCATTTCCATTGGTCTCGGTCACATTGTCATCAATGAGTTCTGGCAGGAAAATATCGGAGACTTTACTGTGGACAAGACTCGCTTTCCAACGCTCAAGGACACCATTGATGTGCTGCACCGTCGCGGCTTCAAAGTGGTCTTCACCATACAGCCCTTCATCAGCACGGACAGTGCCAATTTTAAAGATGCAGTGCGTCGAAAGCTACTTATTTATGAGCGCTATTCAGAGCGCAGCATTCCAGCACTGACGCGTTACAAGAGCAGCTCCAGTGCTGGAGTGCTGGACATTACAAACAATGCATCTATTCCGTGGCTTATTGAGAAGCTGCAACGCATAAAGGATGAGTACCAGGTGAAGGGGTTCTATTTGGATCTAGGCACGGGCTACAATCTGCCGCATTACTATCAGTGCCGTCAGACCCTGGACAATCCGGACATGTATGCGCGCCAGTTGACGAGCAGTCTGGAAAGTGCCGGCTTGATGGCTGTCTCAACGGCCAGTGTGGTGCCTAAACCACCCACCTTCCTTAGCACACCGCCCGCTAATGCTACGTGGGAGGGTCTGCGCGAAACGTTGGCTGCTGTCCTAAACTACGGCGTAATTGGCTATCCGTTTGTGCTGCCCGGCGCCATAGGTGGCGATTATCTGCTGCATGGACCGCTGCACAAAATGGTCTCATTCTATTCGCTGGGTCAGCCCGAGCTGCCCGACCAGGAGCTCTTCATACGCTGGCTCCAATTGGCCACTTTTCTGCCAGCCATGCAGTTCAGTCATTTGCCCTCGGAGTACCGCAGCGACCTGGTGACCCGTGTTGCCCAAGAGCTGAAGGAGGTGCGCCAGACGGTGGTCATAGCACTGCTCAAGAAGTACTTGAACCCATCGATGAACGAAGGTTGGCCGCTGGTGCGTCCGCTCTGGATGTTGGATCCGCACGATCCTGCATGCCTAATAGTCAGCGATGAGTTTTCGGTGGGTGAGGAGCTGATTGTGGCACCCATTCTGGATGCGGGCCGTGAGGAGCGTGAAGGTGTGTTTATGGAACTATTTCTGCCTGTTTATGCTTCTTACCTTCACTTCCGTTCTCTATACTCTTTCAGTTTACTTGCCACAAGGTGTGTGGAAGGATGGTATTGATGGCTCCCTGCGCAAGGGCAGTCGATGGATGCACAGCTATCGAGTTCCAAAGGACAAGATTGCCTATTTCCGCAAAATGCCAGACAACACCCGTTTCTAGTCAATACATCCTTTCTCTCCCATACAAATACGATCCATGTGATATACCAACGAGCAATGCGAAATATATTATCCGAGAAATTTAATTTGAATTAGAACATTCATTTCTTGGCAGATAGTATAATCCAGCTGTGGAGTACACGAGTATATAGTTTAGATAGTAGATTAGAAATCACGTTAGAGCGATTAAGGCTATAGAGCTCAGAAGCTGAATGATAAATAATGACATATATAGTACATATAGTATAAGACATACATCGGATATGTTTACTTCCAAAATAGTACTTCCAACAAAGTTGTGAACAGAAATCCATTTTCATACAAATCCAGTATCTTCTTTTTTTGTTTAATTTTAAGGTAAGCCCTTAGAATCGAAGACCTTATAGCAAATAGCAATATTTATGGAGTTTAACATTCAGTATACAATTGAACGATGGTTACAGAGTAATGTTTTTATGTTTTAGAGTAAAATGTATTTTGCAAAGCCGTAGTACTCATTCCAAAAGTAAAGTTACCCAAAGAATGTGACCTAAAAATCTAGTTAAATAAATAGAAGGCATCATATTGGATCATATTGGAATAAATATAATATTTATTTCATGTGGAATGTTGATTTTCTCTCTTTCAAACATTTTTCACTAAGGACCCTTGCATTGTTTCTACTGGGGCCTTTTATTTGCGGTCCTCTTTTATCCAGTTTTGATTCTCATTCTTCTAAAATTTTCGGAATTTCTTTGTTCTTTTGATCTGAGTACTAAGCATAATGAAAGCAAGGCACTTGTTTTGCTTATCGATTTCTAACGTATATACATAAACAATACTTTATACTAGTAAGTGCATTATAAGATAAATGTTTATAATCTCTATACTAAGGCGCAAACTTTTCTAAAAAGTAATGCATTATATTATATTTAAATGTAATTCCTAAGGTTTAAGTACATAATGTTGGTTTTTATTTTTACTTTTGCTTTATATTGCGATTGAATAAATAAATATGCTTCTGTTAAATTATATTAAGGCTTATATCGGCTGCAGTTCCCGTGCCACTCACGCTCTCGTCCTGCACTCGGGCAGGTGTCCTTCGCATGGCTCCGTCTCCGCGGGCTTTGCCAGCTGAGTGCACTGCCCGTCCACTACGACCACATCGTGTTGATCGAGGCACACTATGGAGCGGCGCCTAAGTGGAGGTGGCGCACCTGGTTGCCGGCAGGTTACCGGACAGAATTGCCAAGGTCCGGGCCACCAGTGTGCCGGACATTGTTGTTCGTTGCAGGCACGCGACTGCCGCAACGGTCGCTTGTTCTTGGCATGCGTCCAGCAGGGCAGCCCGTCGGCGAACTCTGTAAGGCATAAAGGTGACCCCCACATTAGTAATCGCCTAGAAGTCATTGCTGTGCTTACTTACGTTTGCCGTTCTCGTAGCAAACCGTTTCACGGTACTGCACCCCGCCACCACAACTGGCCGTGCAAGCGGTCCAATTCCCCAGCTTCCAGTGGTACTGCCGACCGGCACTCACGTTGACTGCGGGCAACGTGAACTCGTAATAGATGCCCTCGTTGGTCTCGTTGACGCGGACGATGGCCTGCCCAAGCGAAAAAAGTATGCGGTTAGTTAAGGCAGACAATTGAAATGTTCCGGGAATCACATATTAATTATAAATGTAAGCCGATATCGATTTTGGATTTGGGTTCAGCTGCGATGTAACGATTCAAATTTGAAATTTTCGGCTATAGCCACTTACGTATAATGCTATGGAATGCTGTATGGGTTGAGGTATTTTGATGGTCTCCTGCTCGTCCAGTCGATCATAGAGGCTCTCTGCGCCCGCTATTTCAAATTCGCCTGGCATCGAGATCAGGCTGTCGCCATTCAAATAGAAGTGATTGCTCTGCGCACGCGCAACGGCTAGGAAGTTCTGTGAGTTGGCCAGCTCCTTTATGACAATGTGGCGAGCTCGTGCCGGTATTGTTACAATCTCCACGTAGCCCTCGGTTACGTTGAATGGCTCGCTAAAGACCTCCTTCACGGGCTTGCATTGATCACCAGTACCGCCGCAAACACCGCAACGATCATCCTGCATGTCCGAGTCAACGAACCAATCGCAACCAACTTTCTGAATGAAATGCTTGTTTAATTGATCGCGTTTGGGCAATAGAGGGAGATGTGGGCTACTTGCGCGTTTTTCTCCACGCTGCTTACCTTGCAGATGCCGTCGATGCACATGTTGTTAGTACCCAGGGTGCAGGGAGTGCCATCGAGCACGGTCTCCCCCCAATTGGCAATGATAGTGTCATCCACATCCGTACAGAAGAGCTTGCAGGGATTGTCTGTGTATGGGGGGCGATTAGAGACTATCCATGCATGCAGGCACCTCAAAATCCTACTCACTCTTATCGAAGAAGGGCAACCATTTGTAGGTGCCGCCCTGATAGGTGACATTGTCGTAGCGTGCACACTGCTGGGCACGAAAGCTGGGCTCGTTTTCGGGGCAGGGTCGCTTTCGACAGATCTTGTAGCGCTTCCGCTCGCCAATGCAGAAAACACCGCCATTTGCGGGCACTGGATTGTTGCACTCACGTTGCTGAATGGACACACCACCGCCACAGCTTCGTGAGCACTCGCTCCACTCGCTCCAGTTACCCCAACCACCGTTTACTACAGTCAACTCCTCCATCCGCACGCACTTCCCGTTCTGACACCACTGTGAGATATCGAAAGGGAGAAGGGGAGAGTGAGTCCAGTGGCAGCGACATGTAACGCTTGCGCACAAACCTTACGTTTTCCGCAACTGGTGCCCGGCGCCGTCGGGCGCATGTTCGTCACGCACTCGCCGTTCACGCGACACCACAAGGTCGAGCAGAACTCGTGGGGTGAGGAGCAGGCGCCCACATCGCTGTCATCTGTCAGATTGAACTGCATGCGGCACTGACGGGTCGCATTGTAGCGCTCACCCGGCAGTACCTCCGGCAGGTTGTACTCATCGTGTGGTGTTGGTGAATCATCCAGACACTCGCCCAGTCCCTGACTACAAAGCACATTTACTTAAACCCTTGAACTACTTGTATGTACGGTATCAGGAGGACTTACTCGAGGAAGTGGGTGATGTACTTGCGACTGCAGTTCGACCAGCAAACCTGCAGCGTGTCTGCCCCGAATGTAGGCGTCATAATGTGAACGATGGAGCCGACCCGAGGATGGCAACCGATTTTGGCCGTATCATGGAACATGCCAAAGCTGCAAAGAAATCAAACAAATCAAATAAATAATGGGCTTTACTACTACCTATAAGGGTATACAAATTCAATAACTTTTACACCTCTATTCAAATTCGCTAACATCTATTAACCTTTGGGTACGAGTATAAGCCAAGTGAAAACATTTCCAAAATAGAAATAAATAAATAATTAATTAAACTTAGATAATTTTCTGTTTTTTACGACACCAGTCTTTGTCATACAACTTCATCTGGTCCTCGATTTGCAATTTGAAATCTTGTGCATTATAAGAAGTCCGCTCCCATGAGGGTTAAATGAAAATCAAGCAACATTGTTGTGAGCCGACACAGACACATTGTCTGATCTGACATACTACTGGCCCCCGTATGGCATGGATTCGGAAACCTACAAACATACATACTCGTACATATCTAGTGCAATTGAAAACAAGCGGCAATTTATGGTCTACACGCTCTGACACATAGACAGACAGACAGACAGACAGATAGATAAGAGGGAGGGATAGAGCGCAAGTCAAAAACCTGATTATTAGAATAGTAGTACATTCAACGCAATATAACATTTAAACAAGTGGAAACGGTCGAGCTTGGCGACCCAATGATACCGACCCAATGATACCCTGCATCGGGCACTTGATGTATTTGTTCGCAAACTATCTCAGCAGAGTGCGACCCTACAAGAGTTACCAACAGAGATAGAGAATTTAAAGTTGATAAGTGCGAATTTTAAAACCACATAAATTATTATGAATTCCGTTTGTAAAAAGATCGTAAAACGATATGTGTTTGAAATTCAACTAGCTTCAACATTACTACGTTAAGAAACAGAAATAGTTATCCTTAAACATTTCTAACCGACTTTAAAGGGGATGTTATCCATCCATTCGTATGTTTGTTTTTTTGATATATGTATATGTGTAACCCCTGGACTGGGTGAACCGATTTTGATGATTATTTTTCCATTTGAAAGCTGTTACTTTCCGAATGGTCCAATTTGAATTTAATCCCGTTCTGACAATGGCATCCATGAGAAAACTACTTTAAACAAATAGCTGAAAGCTCTAATTCCGAACATTAAGTCTCTCTAAATTTAAAAAAGAAACCATTCACTGCACAAGAACAAAAGTCGGTTTTTTTTTGGTTAAAATTTTACTTGTTTTAAATCATGATATAATTTACCGATTGTAGTAGAATAGCTGTATATAAATTTTTAAAAATTCAATGTTAATGAAATCCTAAAAATTGGAATTTTAAAGAACTGTTATTTCTCTGATAGCGGATTTATAAAGCTCCAGCTAGTATAATTTTGTTTCCTGTTACACAGCGAAATAATAAGCTAATACGCTCTTTAATACCTTGCTTTTAAGGTGGAGGAAACATTCGCCCCATTCGACAATGGCAAGATCGTTAGCTACGGCAGCTGACCGAACGACCCAATGGCGTGGCTGACCCACGACGGATACTTGTATGATGGGAGCGTTGGGCACGTTGGAGATGACTGAGAGGACCGAGACGATTGAGACGACGACGGTGGCTACAATTAAGCGTAAATTGCTTACACAACAGAAGCACCGATGACGATGCTAGCAACTGCAGTTCGCTGTTGAGTCAAGCAGAACACGCCAGACTGACAGGCACTTGGCTGCGCTTTATAAGGCGTTTTACAAAAATCCGCTTGCCAAGAAACGAGATAAGCCTACGAAACCGGACGACAGCGAGCTCTACAAATGTTTCTATAGTACATATGTATGTATGGGTATACAAGTACATATGTACATGCATCGTAGTACTATATGTACGAGTGTGAGTGTCGCTTTGACTAATTGAGTTTGAATGGCGCGACATTCAGTGGGCGTGCAACGCAGGCGATCATTGTCACAACACACACGCAGGTGTAAGGCGTCGCCATCGCCATCGCCATCACCATCACCATCGTCGTCGTCGTCGTCGTCGCTGCTGTTCGCCTGTCAAAGCATCTGACACGTCCACTCACTCACTCACTCACTCACTCACGCATTCATTCATTCATTCATTTGTGTGACCGTCCCGCTTCAATTCATTCATTAAACGCATTTGTAAGCGGCTTCGTTGGTCGGCAACACGCTGCGCCACAGCCGACACCAGTTAACATAAATCTTTGGCCGGCCAAACTTTATTGATGGCTATATCCATGCATGAACATGCGTTGGCCGCCAGTCTTGGGCCGGAGCTTGAAGTGCATTTTGGTGTCGCCAGCGAAACACGCATATGCAAATGTTTGCTGCGGCGATTAAAGCGCGCGTGGTTGCGGCTGCGGCGGCTGCGGCGGCTGCGGCGGCTGTGGTTGTGGTTGCTTGTGCACCGCAGGTGGCAGTGGAAATCGCACGCTACCGCAGCCAGAGCCACAGCAGCAGCAGCAGCAGCAGCAGCACAGTTGGTGGCTTAGCTGGCTGGGTTGCGGAAGTGGTTATATTCTTTTGGCGACTTGGTCACTTGTCACACTTACTTGTGGCCCAGTTCGTGCGTTATTGTGTGGGAGAGCATGATGCCATTGTCCTCGTTCACGCTGCACGATTGCTTTGGCTTGCACATTCCGCCCACATTGGCCAGCCCGAGGGTCCTAGACAGAGAATAGACAGATGTGTTAAGTTCAAGAATATATCTATGTACAAGTATGTGTGCTATAAATATTTATGTGCATACAGGTCGGCTATCTTTAAACGAAACTGTTTCATAAATAAAACGACAATCCAAAAAGCTTAAATAAAAATACTTATACAAGTAGTATAATCTCAGCTATGGAATGGTTTTAGAATTATAAGCGAAGATGGCACATTCTTAACATTTAGATGAATGGCATACAGTTTTCTATTATATCGAGTAGTTTTTAGGTTGTGCCAGTCCGACCTTTGAATACCCTGCACCCACCCTTTGCCAACTGCAGCATTTTCATTCAAATTATCTTTGTTTTACCAATCATTTCTAAGACACTATACAAGACTAATTATTATTTGCTCCCTAACTATATATGTATGTATATACAACTACATATAGTTTGTAATAAGCTGGTTTGTGGGGACGAATAGAGGACAATTCTATATCAACTCGTCTCATCACCTTCTGCTTCTTTCCGCCTGCCCTTCCACTCTTCGAGTACAGGGTATTCAAATGAGACACCACTGCACTGCACTGTCACTTCTACTTCTAGGGTATTGTCAAGTTGGTGTTTTATGAGCGCCACTTACATGCAATTATTGCCACAAATATTTTTACGCGTGATAAGTATTGCCACATCATGGTGATGGGGATCATTCTCATTGACCGTGTTCAGCTTGTGCTGCCAACTGGGAAAGAGAGGGAGATATGAAGCATTTGTAGGAGATGATGAGGGTCTAGTCTCCTATTTACCTGCAAAAGCGATCCAAGTTCTTTTGCGCATTCTGGGTTAAGTTGAGTTCCGGATACAGATCCTCTTCATCGAGCACCAGAATCTTTACCACCACTATCTCAATGGCGTTGCCGATGCTGGGATCTTTGTACAAGGCAGACACCATATTCATGATAGTCAACAAATAGGGTTGCACGTCCTTGTGAAAGGCGACCATGGTGGAATCGGCCACAATCAGCGTCTCCACGTGCCTCGGACTGCTGATCGAGCGTTTAGTGCGCGGCTCATGTGACTGCAGTCCATTGGCAGGAGGAACAAGAGCGTTACGTTTCCGCGGCTTTTCATATGCAGTTTCATATTGGAATTTTGTATGCGGCTGCTGATGATGGCGCCGTATCTTACGTCCGCCTTGAATTTTGACCTGAACACAAGCACAAAAGTGTGTCGAAGTCAAACAGTCGCAATCCAGGATTCAAATGACGACTTACCTTGCCCTGCGCCTGCCACTCCAGTCTCGTTTCCATGCGTCGTCGCGGCTCGCGCGTCCCACAATTGCTGATGCGAGGGCCATGACCATGCCCATAACTATGTCCCAGTCCATGACTGTCAACGATATTGGCGCCAATGTTGTTGCTGTTGCCACTGCTGCCGCCGCGCTGTTTGTGCGACTCCTTGCGCTTGCGTTTGTGGCGACGTTTCTTATGTGGCAGATGTGAGTTCTGAATGGTTAAATAAGTGTAAGTGGAATAAGCTTAGATGCGACGCCAGACGCCACAAATTGTCAGAATTAGTTGCGGGCCACTCCCTTAATTACCTTTTGCTTGACGGAGGAACGCTGAAAAACGACATGCGGATGCCCCTTGATTGGATGCGCTTCATGCTGTTGCGAAGGCTCGATAAAATATTCGTTGCTGGCGGTCTTAATGTGGCCAACCTTAAAGGATAAAGGATTAAGCCTGATACTAATAACTTCTAAGGAAATCAATGCAGAACAAGAAAGACAAAGGCCAAAGGTTGCGCACAAAAGGGAACATTTGTGATTACTCCAGTTAAATAGATGTGAATCAATCAGTCTCAATTATTGCTTGGGAAATAATTGTTGGATTTATAAAATCAAAATGATGGATAAACATTTTATAGTATTAAAAAATTGTATTATTTTCATGCATTTGTACACATACAAGGGCGTACGTAGAGGGGGGCCATCCCCCTCCCCCCTTCATCTTTAGACAAAAATTGTGCAATTTGTAGTCGACCACACATTCATCTTAAAATGGAACTAAGTTGAATTTGTTGAAGTTTTTCTGTTGATAATATATGTAAATAAATTATTATTTTACCGCATCGTACATTATTCAATCATAATTTTAAGTTATTCGCCCCCCCACACTTTGGAAAAAGCTGATCGATTCAATAAACTTTAGCCCGGGAGAGGGCAAGCTTATGTTTACATTTTAATGCAATCTGTTTGCCGTAGTTTAGGAATTCAGGATGGATGATATACAAATTTAAATTGTGTCCTTCGTCATTTGGGAATTACAAAGTCAAAACTCATCAATTATACTCGTATACTCGAACATGCATAACTCTATAACTCATTCTAATTATATTTCCATTAATTTCGAATGCCTATATACATATACTACATGTATTTACAATTTCAATATAAAATTTCGTTTATTTACTGAAATGCCAAGATGTGTGAGCTAATAACAACTGACTTAGGCAACAAACTTGCTGGCGAACGAAAAATGCTTGTAATGAAGCAAGTCCACACAAGAAATGGATAAATATAGCAAACACACATACATACACACATACATACGCGTATAGTAGTTATGTATGTACAAACACACGTGCATGTATGTATACGCACACATAAATAATAAATAATGGTCGCTAAACGAGCCATTAAATGTGTTTATGGGCAACTCTAATGACCAATAATTGTTGCTTTCGGTCGAGTGAGAAATGTGGGTGTGTGTCATGCAGGGAGAGAGAGAGAGAGAGAGAAAGATAGAAAGAGAGAGTGCGAGAGAGAGGGAGAGGTGAAATGATTAAGAGAGATGATGGAACTTACCAAACCCGCACAGGTCGATATGGCCACATTAGTCGTTGGTTGACCCCGCACCTTGCCATGAAAATGGCAATTCACATGCTCTGCGGCTGGCGGGGACCGGGTGCGTAGGTCTCGGCGATGCCGCTCGATGATCATGTGAGGCGCCACAAAGTAGTTGTGTGGCCTGCGAATGACAAACTGTGTGTGTGATTATTCATTGCCTCCCCCTCCCCCTTCCACTCCCCCTCCCCCACCACCACACGGCGATCCCGCCATGCTGTTGCATACTTACGTCAGTTCGAGATGCAGCAGCTCCTTCTGCAGTTGCAACTGATAGTGCAGCACTGGACTTTCGCTCGCCACACTGCGTCTGTGCCGGCGATGGTCGCGCCCATGGTGGTAGACCAACGTATGGGCCATGAATGTGCCGTTGGCATGAACGCGTCGCGGCACAATCAGCTCTCCACTCTGCAGCTCAGCCGAGTGCAAGCCTGGGAGCAAATAGTTTCCTCAATTGTGTGGAACGAACGTTCTGATGCGGCTACTTACCATAGAGCTTGCTCTCCGTGCTTCCAACGGCCCAAATGCAAATTAATGTGCATAGATAGAGGGCGCCGGGTAGGCCGCTTCCGCCCCCACTACCCCCTCCGCTGCTGCCGCTCCCACTCTGGCCACCACCAAGTCGCTCCATTGTCGAGCGTTGGACGGGCGTCTCTGAAGATTCGGAAGTTTCGCCGATTTTGTTTTTGATTTTGATTTCTTCTAGTCACTAGTAATTCTCTACTCTTTCTCCAGCTACTGCTGCTCCGTGGCTCTGCGGCCCGATCAGTGGTTGTGCATATTCGTTAGCCGTTATCGATGCGTTTGTGCAGCTTGGCGCTTAGCGGGTACATGGCAGCTGTCGCATTATAGGAACGCCTCTATATCGAATCCAATTGGGAGCGCGCTGCAAGAAAGGCAGAGGTGCAACATCTGGGTATAGAAATAAACGAGTAAAACGTTAAAGTTGCGCAAGCCTCCTCCCCTCCCCTCTCTCCCCACTGTCCTTCAACTACAATTTTGTTGCACGAATCGTTTTTTATGGCAGATATGTGCTATATGATATAGAACACCGATTTTTATAAAAACTGCAGGTAATGTTGAGGCACTATGATGATCGTATAAATACCCATTACGCAATAAATAATAGTTAAAGTTAATAGTAATAATAGTTTTGGTTCAAAACGTGCTATATATAGATACATATAGTGGATTGATTTTGATAAGACCCAGGATATCATGAAATCTTAAAATGTCAGACTAAAATTCATTTTTCCTCCCATCGGTTTTATGGCAGCTTTATAAAATATCAAGGCTATAAACATATGTATGATTTGTAATAAACTTGCTTTGCGTATGCATTAGATAAGTCTGCACATAAAGTTTGGACCTCTTAACGGTTACACCTAAGAAGTTCTCGGTGTTCATACGGACGGACAGACGGATAGCACTTCTTTCATCAATCTGATCAGATATGTGGTTGCGGTTAGCAAACTTTTCTTTTAAGGGTACAAAAATTAGAGATTAGAGAGAGAACAGTGAATGTGATGTTTAGGGACTTGTAAATAAATACTAATCTCTTAATGAAAACGAGTACTCCCAGAATTTTGTTTTATTCAAAATTCGAACTAAAACGTGTAAATTATAATTTGTACTTAATTCAACCTTTCAGCAATTAATTATTCAACACTTAATCTCAATAAGTATGTTTGGCCCGATTATATGAATATTTTTTACTTTATTAAAACGTTTGCACATCCCAAAAATGATCAATATTTTCCTGCGCTATATATCTAAAAGAGTTTTATGTGATATGGTTTTTTATTTTGTTGAATATGTTAAAGTTTCTGCATATTGCTCTTCTTTTTCTCTTCAGGTTGAAACGCTCGCCGTTGATTGCAAAAAGCAGCAGCTGTTCTTTTTAAAATCTTTTCAATTATAATCATTTTTATTGAACGTTTTAGTTATATAAAATACGAAGGCATTTTATATACATATGTATGTATGTATATTTCTTTGAGAATGATTCAGGCCCGCAAGTAGCAGGGTCGACACAATCCTACAATTATGGCAACAATTTCTGCGAAAACAGAAAAAAACCGTAAAGCAGCAGCAGCAACAAAAAAAAAACAATAATAATGAACGAGAAGAAAAAACACCAAAAACTACACTTCCAGACAATAAATAAAAGCTGATTTGCTTTTGGTTTTTAGCAAACACATTTGTGGGGGCCCCGACGTAATGGCCAGCGAAATTTCTGGCAGCAAGAGGCGCGCGGGCACAAATTAAAAGACACACAGGTAATAAAATTAAGCAAATGATTTGAATGCGGCGCTTCAAAGACAACAAAAAAAACAGCAACAGAAACAACAACAACAATAGCAACAAACGTTGAACACCGCCGCGTGTGAGAGCCAATGTGGAAGGAAGGCGGCGATGCCAGCGTCGAAGTTGGACTCTGATTCGGATTTGGATTCGGAGTCCGCAACGCGACAACTTAATTATTCAGTAGACTGATATATGAACACTTACATAGATAAGGGGTAGAGGGGACTGAGCAGGGACTGCTGTAGCCGCTGCAAAGTCGCTGCGAAGTCAAAGCGAGGCGTCGCGTCGCGTCTCGAAGCTCTTATCACGATCACGATTTGTAATTTATGATAAATGTTGGCAATTCCATTAATAAAATTAAACAAAGCTAATTAAGCTGAAAGCAAATTAAAATCTTTTCAATTTGCCAAGCGACAAACGTTGTCGAAAAGACGCAACAGGTGATCAGTGATCGTTACTGATCGCTAATCGCAGATCTTTGATCGCTCATCGGCTCGACTTACTGGCTGCTAGCTGCTGTCTATTGGCTGCTGACCAGTCAGCTAGTGGCCAGTGGCTAGTGGCGCCTTCAGCAAGCACCGTTTGAATTAATTCAAATTCAAAATGTGGCGAACTCATCAGAATGACAATAATAAAAACAAAAAAAAAAAACAAGTAAAAAAGCTAAAGTCGGGTGTCCCGACTTTGAAATACTCTGTACATATGTTTACAATAATTATAGAAAATAAAAAAAAATTAAGAAAAAAAAAAAAAAATTGATCGATTTTATCTTTCTCGGTATTCGAACTCATGTAAAGGGTATATAATTGCATATTTACATAGCAATTGCGTCTGTGTGAGTGTATGTATGCCTATGCGCATCTATTCGTGTCTGTGTAAACATGTTAGCAGTCAACCAAACAGCAACATCAACAACAGCCGCGGGCAGCGCTTGAGCAGCGCTGCAGCAGCAAATATATTTATGGCTATAACTTCTTGTTAAATCGGTCTATCATAGTGAAACTTGGCATACTGACACATAATAACTAACTGGGGGTATTTGCAAAATTTTAGTTCGAAATTCCAAAAATTACGGGAGTTAGAGAAGATCGCAATTTGCATGGGAGAGGGGGGAGGGAGGGAAATTCCAAAATATACATGCGTATTCACACAAGGCATCTGGGACTAAAATTTGGTGTTCCTAGGTCTTATAGTCTCCGAGATATAGGCGATAATACGAATGGAAAATCGGGAAAACCCCCATAGGGGGGAAGTGGGGGGAAAATCAAAAAAATAAAACAAACTCGTATAGAATACACACATAACATCTTTGTGCAAAATTTGGTGTCTCTATCTCTTATAGTCTCTGAGATCCAGGTGTTCATACGGACGGACAGACGGACAGACGGACAGACAGACAGACAGGGCTAGATCGACTCGTCTTGTCATGCTGATTTGTGGGGTCTGCCACGCCTCCTTCTGCCTGTTACATTTTTCAGCTCCCGCAAACCTAATATACTTCTGTACATTTCATGTACAGAGTATAAAAACGAGCTTCCCTCCTTCCCGACCGCACGTCTAATGATCGTGACAAGTGTGTGGCGCTTGGGCAAGATTAGCAGCTCCAGCTCCAGCTTCAACCTGCCGCCCTGCCTTCCCCCACTTCCTCCGCCACTTTCGCAGTGTATTTAGTAGATATTTGATTGCTCTGCCGCGGCACAAGATCAAAGCATCGCACAAAATTAGCAAACGCAGCATTATCATAACATACTATATAACACAATGTTTCTGCCGACACCACAATCTCTGTCGCAGTTGGCGTCGCAGTTGCCGTCGGAGTCGCAGTCGCAGTTGGCTTTCCTGTTGCTGCTTCTGCCATTGTTGTTGATCATTATGCTGCGTCGCCAATGCAGGCGCCACTTTTAATTATCAATCAATCACATTTGACGGCTCCCTCCATTAAATGTCAAGCAATTGATTGCATTTTCATTTGGACCGAACGACATACGACAACCGGCAGACAATCCAACAACAACAACAACAGCAACAATCGCGTTGTCCTCCTTGGCGACTGAAAATGTGGCCATGTATGAAGAGATGTGTTTGCGTGTGTATGTGTGTGTGTGTGTGTGTGTGTGTGCTGTGATTGATCAACGGCTGACTGGAGAGCATGGTGCATTGCTGGCTCACGGTTCATTTGCTCTTAAAGCGGAAAGCAATTCAACAAACAGTTGCTTTCTCAGCTTTGATTGCGTCTTGATTGAATGCTTGAGCGCATTTGATTGATGAACTGCAACCAAATTCATTTCCAGTTAAAAAAAACGCGATACAAAACACAATATAATTTGATTTATGCACATAGTCAACGTTTCTTCAAACTGGTTGAGAGCGACTTTGTTCAGATCCAAGCCAATCACAATTCTCTGAATGAGTGCTTTTTAACAAGATTGTGAGGGTAATAGAGCATGTACTTAAGAAGTACCTTTTTTCTATAAATTCATTGCGAGTTTCGCAAATAGTTTAAATGCATTGTGTCTGCTAGGTTTTGCATAAGGAAGGCGCATTTTTTCTCCTTCATATTCAGAAATTTCTTTATTTGTTAGGTCTAATTTAATACTTTTAAAGAGTTGTCGCTGGAAGCACATTTAAGCAGTTGTATGGGCTTTAAGTGGAAGCGAAGATGGTTAGAAAGGATGTCAGATAGTAGCAGAAGTACACAAATCCTTTTCCATAGATCGATCTCACATAGAAATCGACGTAAACAAGGCAGATGATAACGGTACGCCACAAGAATATGAACGATTTGTAGTCTATAAAGAAAAGAAACGGCTAGTCCTAAGCTACTAATGAAAGGTAAGAAAACCTCCTTTGCTCCGATAGTGGTAAAGCGATTGGACAAAACAACACTCAGAATACTTAGCTGACATCATTTTGACTGGGTAGTCTAGCTAGCATATTGTGAGATTTCTAATAGAATACTTTTTGACACATTCTACTAGAATGCGGGCCTATCAATGGTTGGTGACATTCCGTCAAAATTTCATGACAATACTTGTAGAATGGATTGAAGCCGACTTACCGCACACAAAGTAATACTATGTTCCAGCCAACATCTGCGGTGGAATATATAGGAATAGCGTAAATTAGCCGCATTTTTGGGTCTACTAAACCAGCGTTAAGTCGACACTTGTGACTGATTTTTATTTTTTTTTTTACCATATTCGGCTTATTTGACTTCGTCTAATACTACTACTTCATTAGAAAATAGCTTCTTTTTATAAAAGGAAAGCGCGAAAGGACATCGAAGCTATTGCATAAGAACATGCCCGCGAATTGTCTACTTGT